AAATGTGGGAGACGGTGAGTTCTAGTCCCACCTTAGCCATGAAAGCTAGCTTGGTGACTTTGGGTCAATCACCAGGAGACGGTGAGTTATAGTCTCACCTCAGGCAGGAAAGCCGGCTGGGTAACTCTGGGCCAAGACTGGGAGTTCTAGTCCCACCTTGGGCACAAAAGCCAGCTGAGTGACTGTGGGCCAATCACTAGGAGATGTGAGTTCTAGTTTCGCCTTGGGCAGGAAAGCTGTCTATGGGTGACTGTGGGCCAATCACTAGGAGACGGTAAGTTCTAGTTCTGCCTTAGGCATGACAGTCACCCAGACGACTGTGGGCCAATCACTAGGAGATGTGAGTTCTAGTTTTGCCTTAGGCATGAAAGTCGTCTATGGGTGACTGTGGGCCAATCACTAGGAGACGGTAAGTTCTAGTTCCGCCTTGGGCATGAAAGTCATCTGGGTGACTTTGGGACAGTGAGTCCCTCTTTCTTTCAGCCCAACCCACCTCACAGAATTGTCGTTGTACAGAAAATAGGGAGAGGAAGGGGCACGAGGTAAGCTAGCTGCCTTGAGTTATTTATAAAGATATAAAGGCGAGATGAATTGATTGTCGTTGACAATAATTCATCTTACTACGCCAAGCCTTAGTGGTGCCAGTCGTCTCCTTGACAACTGCGTTTGGAAGTGATTATCGCCAATCTGGCCTACAATCTTGGATTTTCCCAATCCGGAATACTCCCAATATTCAGAAAAATCCAAGCCTGTTTAACTGGCCTCAAATCTGTTAGGATCGGCCTGGAGGATCTCAAGCCCTCTTGAGGTTGTGGGGGGGGGATAAATAAAATAAATAAATAAATAATTTTATTTCTATACCGCCCTTCTCCCGAAGGACTCAGGGCGGTGTACAGCCTATTAAAAAAACACAAAGACAAACATCAGTTGAAAATAATTAAAATTATTACATAATTCGGCTGAAATTTAAAACCCCCAAAATTTAAAACCCAATTTAAAAATCATTAAATTGATAGCCCGGCTTGGCGGAACAGCAGGGTCTTGAGGGCACAGCGAAATACACGGAGGTCGGAGATCTTGCGCATTTCCGGGGGCAGTTCATTCCACAGGGCAGGGGCTCCCACAGAAAAGGCCCTCCTCCCTCTCTCTTTCCAAGGATGGGAAAGAGAGAGAGAGAGAGAGAGAGAGGTTCTTTAGCTGGAAGAGTAACCTGAATTGCCTCTTTTATTTCCAGTGTGCTAAACAGGTCTATCTGCATTTGGTGACATTCCTGGGCAAGTGTCTGCAAAAACCTACCCATCCTTTCTTTTCCTTTCTAGATAAGGCACCCTATGCAAAACACGGAGAAAAAGGAAAGAGAAAGAAAGGAAGAAGGCAGCAAGCCAAATGACATTTAGCAAGGAATAAGAAGACTAACTAAAATCTGCTTTACAGCAACACCGTTCAGGCTTCTGTTGATATTTTTTTCCCCCCTTGCAAAAATCATCCTTTGCTTCTAATCAGATCCCACAAATGGTTTCATTCATACGTCACTTTTTTTTTTTCTCTTTTAAAATCCTCACCTGTTTTGTCAGGATCTCATCCGCTTCCTAAAATCATCATGATCTCAATCGTCCCTTTCCTCTTTCTTTCCTCCAACTGGGGCCCGATCTAAACTAACAAACAAACAAGATCTAATTAATACTTGGATAAGTGCCAATACGACAAGAAAAATTCTAACGCTATCTGATATCTTACAAACATCTGTTATCTCTTTGGTGGCAGGTTTTTGTTTCCCTCCTCCCCACTATTTACCATCTGCCTGGTCTGGAATAGGAAGAAATGAGTGTTTTTATTTCTGGAATGGGACGAAATTTATTTATTTATTTTATTTATTTATTTGTTTTCATTTCTATACCGCCCTTCTCCAAACAGGACTCAGGGCGGTGAACAGCCGAAGTAAAAAACAGAACATACAAAATTTGAAAACAGTTTAAAATAATTAAATATTTTGGCCGTAAATTATAACAACCCAATTTAAAATCAATTTAAAATTTAACTCAAGCCAGCCCAGCTAGTTGAAATAAATAGGTTTTCAGGGCCCAACGAAAAATCCGGAGGTCTGTTATGAAATGAGCATTTATATTTCTGGAATGGGAAGAAACGAGCGTTTTTATTTCTGGAATGGGAAGAAATTAGAATTTTTAGTTCTGGAACGGGAAGAAATGAGTGTTTTTAGTTCTGGAATGGGAAGAAACAAGAGTTTTTAAAGAATAAATACGACCTCGTGGCCACAGCCATGACATTATCCAATCAAGCTGTAATTCGGTGGTTACCTTGGCAACCTGGGAGATGCATCTGAATGTCGGATCTCACCCTCCATCAAACTTAATGGCTACGAGAGTTTATCACGCAGTCCATCCTTCGGAAAAGAAAGGAAAAACCAGATTAACAATATGGGACGTGCCGTGCAGCAATGATTGGGAGGAAATGGGGATTTTGCAATATCCTTCCCCTGGAGTGGGGTGGGAATGGAGATTTTACAGTATCCTTCCCCTGCCACGCCCACCAAGCCATGCTATGCCCACCAAGCCACGCCCACAGAACCGGTAGTAAAAAAAATTGAAACCCACTACTGGCATGTATCTTGATTACAAAGTCGAGAGATACCGAGCACGAAATGATCCCAAAATGCAACTTAATTAAATGTATAGCCTCAGGGTTTCCTTTGCAAAGAATGTGGTAGGCCCGTTTACAGAAGCTACCCTGCTCCAATCCAAATTGGTTTTGTGGTGCACTCCCTGGGAGAGAGAGATACACTCCGTAGTAGAGATGAATCTTAAAGATAAGAGAGCTGCAAGTCAGCCTCACCCTTTCTCACGACGATGTGTGGCTAAGCATTTCTCAGTCCCGCCCTGCAAGAAACAAATCCTTGTTTATCAGGATGGAAGGAATGCCCCCGCTCAACTTTTGGGCAAGGCAAAAGTAGGGCGTACGGCTGTCTTCTAACTAAATTTATGGATCCTAAGCAGAGTCTGTTGAGTTGTTTCAGCCAAGGCAATCCTAAATTGCATTAAGAGAGATACCATCAAGATCTAGGGAGGTACTAATACCACTCTATAAAGCCCTAGTAAGGACCACATTTAGAATACGGCATCTAGTTTTGGTCACCACACTATAAAAAAGATGTTGAGACTCTAGAAAGAGCGTAGAGGAGAGCAACCAGGATGATTAGGGGACTGGAGGCTAAAACATACGATGAAGGGTTGCAGGAACTGGGCATGGCTAGTCTAGTGAAGAGAAGGACCAGGGGGGACACGATAGCAGTCTTCCAATATTTGAGGGGCTGCCACAGAGAGGAGGGGGTCAAACCAGGGGTGAAATCTGACAGATTGTGGAGAACCGGTAGCGGAAATTTTGAGCAATTTGGAGAACCGGTAGTGGAAATTTTGAGTAGTAGCCTAATAATAATAATAATAATAATAATAATTATTATTATTAATAATAATAATAATATTAATATTAATATTATTATTATTATTATTATTAATAATAATAATAATAATAATAATAATAATAATAATAATAATAATTTCTCAGCAATGTCTTTCTTTCTTTCTTTCTTTTTTTTGGGATGATAATCATATTAAATGTTTAAGCTGCCGGACCCCCAGCAATTAAAATGTATTCTCTTTATTAAATTTATACGCCACTGCACTTTTGATAGCCTATGGGAAAAAAAAATAATCCCATGTTGATTATAGGGATTCAATACGTCTATAACACAACCTTAACATTTCAGGAGATTAACAAGCCTCGTTTCCCCCATGATTAAACCAGGAGTTTATAATATTTTTTAAAAATAAATACACTTAAAAAAAAAATACCGTAGTTAAAAAGCAGGGATGGTACTTAAAAATCATTTACCCTCTTCATGTTGGCATCCATAGGATTTACTCCAGTATCGAGCTAAATTTAATTTAAACCCCTTTCCCAGAGTCCCTTGGGAGTTGGGCGGCATAGAAATGACAAAATAAATAAATAAATAAATAAGTAAATAAATAAGTAAATAAATAAAATAAAAATTTCTCCTATGAAAAAAACCCCAAATAATTATTTTGCAATAAAATTTTTCTATTAAGGCTTCCACTTCTTTTACGAGTCACCAAAAACTACAATAAACTTCCCGTAATCATCCTACTGTAAATTAATAAGAGTAACAGAGTTGGGACCCTGTAGGTCATCTAGTCCAACCCCGCCTCTCAAGCAGGAAACCCTATACCATTTCTGACAAATTATTATTTTGTATTATCCTGTATAAAGGACATGCCTGGAAATTAAAAAAAAAAATACTCTTCATACAATATTATTAAATATTACCCTATTTTAAATATTAATATTTTAAATAATATTAAAATTGATATAGCCATCATAAATAAAATAAATAAAAATGTGAAATGGGGACTTTTGGGGGGGACGTTCCCCCACTGTCCCAATGAGAAGCTCCTTCAAGCCCCGTTTCCCCGGATGGACTAGAAACCCATCATCGCCACAAGGATGGGAGTTGTGGTTACCGGCCTTGCACGTCAATCAAAAACGCCCTTCGGGGCTCTCATTGGCCGTGCTTCCAGAAAGCTCCGCCTCCGTCCCCGCCCCCCCACCCGGCGGGTTTCGCCTTATTCCCTTGGAGACGGTTGCGAGGAAGAAGAGCGAGCACGGGAGGGTGGGGGGAAGGAGGGGGAAAAAAAAGGTGTCGTAGGCGCATGCGCACCCAGGCGAGAGACGCTCGCGAGGCGACGCCGCCGCCGCCGCTCCCCCTTCAAGTCTGGTGCGCCCAGTGACGTCGCTCGGCGCGCGCCCGAGCGCTGCGCCCCGCCCCTTCCCGGGAGAAGCACCGCGCATGCGCAATGCCCCATTCCTCCCCTTCTATCTTTTTTTTCCCTCTCAGACGGCGGGAGCGCGCTCGCCTTCCTCCACCTCCTCCCGCCGCCGCCGTGCCCGCGCCCTCGTGCCCGCCTCGCCCGCCCGTCTCCGCGTCCCTCTGGGGTGGCCGCGGCCCCCTCCGGCCTGGGCGCGGCCTGCGAGGCGGCGATGGAGTAGCCGGGGGAAAGGCCGACGCAAGGTGAGGTGTGTGGGGGGGGAGAGAGAGGGAGTCCTGCCCCCTCCCTTTGCCATGAGGGGAGTGAGGAGGGGGCTTGGCAGGGGCGGGGGCCTCTCCACCAGCGCCCAACCCGCCGAGGGTGAGCCCCCCACCCTCACGAAAGCCGCCTGGCCTCCTTGTGGGGAGAGAGAGTGTGTGTGTGTGGGGGGAGAGAGATCATTGGGTGAGGGGAGTGCCTATCCAATGCACTCTCACCCCCATAAGATCCCCCTAATTGGGAGGGGAGATCATTGGGGGAGGGAGATCATTGGGGGAGGGGAAGATCATTGGGGGAGGGGAGTGCGTATCCAATGCATTCTCCCCCCATAAGATCCCCCTAATTGGGAGGGGAGATCATTGGGGGAGGGAGATCATTGGGGGAAGGGGAAGATCATTGGGGGAGGGGAGTGCCTATCCAATGCATTCTCCCCCCATAAGATCCCCCTAATGGGGGGGGAGATCATTGGGGGAAGGGAGTGCCTATCCAATGCACTCTCACCCCCATAAGATCCCCCTAATTGGGAGGGGAGATCATTGGGGGAGGGGAGTGCCTATCCAATGCATTCTCTCCCCCATCAGATCCCCCTACTTGGGGGGAGGGATCATTGGGGGAGGGGAGTGCCTATCCAATGCATTCTCCCCCCATAAAATCCCCCTAATTGGGGGGGAGATCATTGGGGGAGGGGAAGATCATTGGGGGAGGGGAGTGCCTATCCAATGCACTCTCACCCCCATAAGATCCCCCTAATTGGGAGGGGAGATCATTGGGGGAGGGGAGTGCCTATCCAATGCATTCTCCCCCCATAAGATCCCCCTAATTGGGGGGGAGATCATTGGGGGAGGGGAGTGCCTATCCAATGCATTCTCTCCCCCATCAGATCCCCCTACTTGGGGGGGGGAGATCATTGGGGGAGGGGGAGGTCATTGGGAAGGGGAGTGCCTATCCAATGCATTCTCCCCCCATAAGATCCCCCTAATTGGGGAGATCATTGAGGGAGGGGAGTGCCTATCCAATGCATTCTCCCCCTATAAGATCCCCCTAATGGGGAGTTCGTTGGGGGAAGGGAGTCCCTATCCAATGCATTCTCCCCCATAAGATCCCCCTAATTGGGGGGGAGATCATTGGGGGAGGGGAGTGTCTATCCAATGTATTCTCGCCCCCATAAGATGTCCCTAATTGTGGGCGGGAGTGGGGGGCTGTGTTTGCAGGCACCTCTGCAAACAGGCATGTCGATCTGGGGATGATGTTGATGGGGGGAGTGGGGAGATTGTGGTTTATATGGGGAGGGGGGATCGATGGGTGTGTAAGAAGTGGGCTTATTGCCTTTTTGCTTCCCCCCCTCCCCTCTTAAGGGGTGTGTGTGGGGAGGCTTTAAAAAGTGATGGCCTGCAAACAGCCACTTTCTATTGTCTTGCAAGGGGTGATGGGTGGGTGGGTGGGTTTATTAAGGCCATAAGAAGGGGGGGGTCTCTAACGTGGGTGCAAAGTGACAGCAAGGTGTGTGTGCGTGATTATTGTGTGCATGGAGGGGAGGGACTGACGGGGCATGAGGAGGGAGCAAAAGTGGGGTGGGGGGGGGGGGAAAGAGAGATCCAAGCCTGCATGCTCCCAATTATTATGTCCATTTCACTCCTTTTGTAAGTCAGTTTCATTATTGGTGTTGAGGTCCTTGTTTTCTTTTTCTTCTTCTTTTTTTCCTTCTCTTTGGGAGCTCAAAGTTGGGGGGGGGCACAACCAACACACAAAGGCAAAAATAAAGAGCCTTTGGGAGGCGTGGAGTTCAAAACCAAGCAAGCAAAGCAAGAAAAAAGCAATAAAAAAAATGCTGGGTTGGAACCAGGCAGAAATTGATTAGTTGGGTATTAAGACAAGGGGAAGCTTGGGGTGGGAGGATAGGATTTGTGTGATTTTTATATGTGATTTGTATATGTGGTGTGTGTGTGTGTGATTGTCTAGCAGAACTTCCAAGGACTCACTAGGCCTGGGCTAGGTTTTAGGCCATGGAGGGTAATGGTTACCACAATGGAGAAGCCTGGATCCCAGATTTTTCCTTCAATCAAGAAAAGGCAGTAATGAAAGGCGATAAGGCACATGCCTTTTTTTTTAATTTGCATTTTAAATAAATCAGGATATATGTGTTCTTTTATCTATATTTGGGTACGTTTCAAAAATGGGACTGGAATTATGCTTGTGGGAAGGAGACGTGAAGTATCAAGAGTTGGATAAAGAGGGCCTAACCTGAACAAGGATTCGGGGTGAATATTGGGGGGCAGATGGAGAATGAAACAGGAGGCTGTCCTACTAAAGATCTCAATAAAGGGGAATATTTGTAGCTCAGGGTTGACATGACGGGGTCCTTGGTGCTCTCGCGTCCACCGAGCTCGGAGATCACCAAGGACCCTCACTGCGAGGTCTCTTAAGGAGACGGGATCCCCCACTTCCCCTCCCAAGTGGAAAAGGGGTCGAGAGACAGCAGTAAGGAGTGATCACAATAAGAATCAGCATTCATCCTTTTGAAGGTGGAAAGCAGGGCGTGCAGGAGAGATTTTGGCAAAGGGGGGGGGAAGAGCTAATGAGATTGCAAAAAAAGAAAAGGAACCCGAGCGATGGATGCAAAGCAAGGAGATCTTGTCAAGATCTCCTTTGTTGTCTTTGTTTTTTTGGGGGGTGGGGAGTCAAGCCTCCTAGCAGGAAAGGTGGATTGAGACCCCTTTCATGCAAACATGCCTGCAGAAAAGGTAAGAGGTTTTACTCTCTCTCTTTTTTTTTTTTTTTTGCTTATTATCTTCTTGCTTAAAGTATTCGTGGCATCTGCTCCTTGCTTCTCTTCACTGATCCCCTCTTAGGAGTAAAGGATGAAGGGAACAGCGGGGTATTGCTCTAGCCTTTCCTTTGACTGCTGTCATTTTGGCGTTGGGGCGGGGGGGGGAATCGGATGATCGATGTTCCCTCTCCGGCCAAGGGTTTGGGACCCGTGCATATTATTAGAGGCTGCTTCGCTCATCGCAGTCAATATTTGGGGCAGAAACACAGTGATGAGCCAGGATCCTATAAAGGAAGGTGAACATAACTACCCTTAACTGAGTTGGTGTGCTAGTTATCTTGTTTCGGTTAAGCTGGGATGGTGTGTGTGATTGTCTAGCAGAACTTCCCAAGAACTCACTAGGCCTGGGCTATAGGTTTTAGGCAGTGGCGGTGGGTAGTTTTCAAACCGAGCTTTGTTGTAATCCATGATTGAACCTTTACAACGGAACCCCCCCCTCTTATTCCCTCCCTTTCCAAGTTTCTGGGATGAATAGAAATCGCGTGCCGGACAATCAGCTTGAATTTTGAACTGTCATTTCAAAAGGTTAGGTTCCATTTCTCTCTCTTTCTCTCTTTTATTATGTTTTTTGTTATTGTTACTGCAGATGGTGGATGTTGATATCGGTGCCGGTGGAGATAACGCCAGAAGAAAAATGGATGCTCTTACGGATAGCAGCGCTGAGATTGTTCCGTTGGATCTCTATGATTCATCCCGAGCCAAAATAGCTGCTAATCTACAGTGGATCTGCGCGAAAGCTTATGGAATAGGTAAATAAATAAATAAACAAATCCCCGTTGCAACGTTATTATTTTATCTCTTTCCTTTTCCCATTCTCCAGCCCGGCTTCTCCCAATCCCTCCTCTCTCGCCTTCTCACGAAATGGATTTGGAACTATGCTTTTTTATTTTTTTAAAAAATCAGCAAACGTGGGACTGCTTTCCCTCCACGCTTTGCCCAGACTTTGGTGTACACTCCTTTTCTTGTCGTGAATGGCCTGTAGTTTTAAATGCAGAACACCCTGCCGTGCTGTTGTTTGCGGGGTTTTTTTTTTTTTGGTATCGCCAAGCTGTGCTCTCCCACACATCGCTTAAAAAGGCCTGTGAGAATCCAGCGTTTGTAGGACTTGAACTCTGCAAGTTAAGTTTTTTTTTTTAATTTGGCAGATGCATGCTGCTTAGTTGGCGAGGGTTCCTAACTAATTAGATTTTTTTTTAAAAAAATAATAATAATCTTGTGGTATGCAAAAGGTCAGTCGGTCACCTTCCTTTTTAAATAAAACCAAAACAAAATAGAAATATTTGAATGCCCACCCATGTGTGGGATTCTGAGCGGTGTGTATAAAAATAAAGGGAAGCTAGGGGATGGAAAATACCTTGCTGGTAAATCCTGTGCGAGCCTGAAAGTGCATGTTGGGACCTTTCCAATTTCTTCTTTTCTCTCTCTCTCTCTCTCTCTCTCTCTCTCTCTCTCTCTCTCTCTCTCTCTCTAAGGTGCTCTTGCCAACTTGGGTTTTGCATTGCAGTAAATTCTTTTCGTCCTCTTTGATGTCTTGCTTTCTATCTTTTGAGTGCAGACTTCTAGCTGTTTATTAGTACGGGCGCTTCTAACCAAGCGTGAAATAAGTAAATTCAGAGTTAGAGGGATCCCCTTAATCTAACTCTTTAATTTGCCAACTGATCTAAAAAACGCTCCACGAATTAACATTAACCTGCTTTGTAGTTACGCAGTATATTTCTACTGGCATGCTTGGTTTTTTTCTCCTACCTTTATACAAATTGTGTTAGATTGAAATTAGGAATGCTAACCAAAAGTTTCCTGCGCCGAGGTTTTTATATATATATAAAATAAGTTTGCCACAGCATACCGTGTTTCCCCCGAAATAAGACCCTGTCTTATATTTTTTTGAACCCCGAAATAAGCGCTTGGCCTTATTTTCGGAGAGGTCTTATTATTTTGGGGCACGTGGAGGAAACCAAAGGAAATGGCGGGGACAAGCTGCGCATGCATTTAAATATTTTCAGGGAGGTCTTATTTTCGGGGTGGTGGTGGTTATTTTAGTGCATGGGCTCAAAAGCCCAATAGGGCTTATTATCAGGGGATGTCTTAGTTTAGGGGAAACAGGGTAGTCTGTAAGAGCAGTTAAGATGATGGAGGCTTTTATCCCTCCATAATTACGGTTTGTCTGCTGGGATCTTTTGTATCTGATTTTTCAGCACTGTAATGTGCAGGTTGGAGCCACTGATCAGTAAACGTTGTGTTTATGTTTACCTACCATGGGAACTAGGCATGAATGATAGCAAGAGTTACGAACATATCTTGTTGAGGTTCCAGATTGCTGTTAGGAACCTTCATTTTGCAGAGCCTAGTTGAGTGGATTTCGGAATTTTATTTCAGATTTTTTTTCCCTATAAATAATTGGCCGAATTTCCTTAGCCTTCCAGATAATTGGTATAATTTCTGTCAATGTACAGAAGCTGCACCGACTTTTATTTGAGATACTCGGGTTCATTTCTTGTCGGTTTGCATCTGGTCAATTGCAAAAAAATTAATTCGGATTTGATGTTTGGCTTTAAGGCTTTATGTCTCCTCCCCCACCTCACCTCACCCCACCCCACCCCAAAGTGTCTTAAATTAAGGATTTGCTATTTGGGACAAAATGAACAGCAGAAGAAAGCTGAAATTTGAATCATTTACTTTACTAGGGGATTCGGTGAGAGTTGAGCAGAATAAAAGAGAAATCTAAATTTTGCCCAGTGTTTCGTAAAATGCATAAATCTGTATGGGGACTTTAATGTGTTGTCAATTTTAAGCTGAAACTTAGTTTTATATTGTTGTATTCATCTGGTTTATGGCAAAAAAGGTTAAGGGGCTATTCCACCCATTTATTTAGCATTCCTTTAACTTGAGAAAGTTCTTAGAGAGACTAGGATATATTCCTAATTGACCACTTAATTCCTTTTAACTCATGTCATCCAGGGTGAAGTTCCGTAAGAGTCAGGAAACAGATTTATCTCTCCCCTCCTCCATCAAGTATAAAGCTATGGCCTAAAAGTCTTCTAAAAAATCTTTGCCAGGCTTCAGACTTAACTCTACTTCAGAAGAATCTTGCTTCAATTAGATAGCTGTACCACAACCTCACCCCAATTCAAGATTTCCTCCAGCGCCTACTTTGTAACGTTTGAAGGGCTGCTGAGAGTAAATCCCTTGCGTGTCCAATAGTAATTTTGTGATGACATACGATTCTGTCTTGCACTCTCGCGGGACAAGAGGACAGGTATCTTAAGCACTTCTTTGGGATGAAACAAGGCGAACAAGCTGAAACATCACCCGAAAAGGAGGCGGGAAAGCCTGCAGATCTGGATAAAGGTGTTGAACTAGTTCAGTGTGATGGCCCTCCTGGCCTTGGGGGCTACATATCTTGCTGCGGTGTCCAGGCAGGAGTGCCAGTTGCAGTCCTGTCTCCGTGTAGAAATTCATGCACGGATTATTAAAAGCCAGGCGACTGAGGTTGCACGGATATGTAAATGAAGGCATAATCCAAAATGCAGTAGTCTAGCAAGTTGCTTTTGAAGTTTTGATTTGATAAAGCCAGCATGCTTGTTTAAAGTGCTGGATGAGAATGGGGGGGACGGGGGACGGGACGAGACAACCCGAGAGAACGAGAGGGATCTTGGAGTCTTGGTGGACAAGCATTTAGATATGAGCCAGCCGTGTGCAGCAGCTGCCAAAAAAGCTAACACAGTTTTGGGCTGCATAAACAGAGGGATAGAATCAAGATCACGGGAAGGGTTAATACCACTTTATAAGGCCTTGATAAGGCCATACTTGGAATGTTGCATTCAGTTTTGGTTGCTATGATGTAAAAAAGATGTGGAGACTCTAGAAAGAGTGCAGAGAAGAGCAACAAGGATGATTAGGGGACTGGAGGCTAAAACATATGAAGAACGGTTGCAGGAACTGGGCATGGCTAGTTTAATGAAGAGAAGGATCAGGGGAGACACGATAGCAGAATTACAATATCTCAGGGGCTGCCCCAAAGAAGAAGGAGTCAAGCTATTCTCCAAAGCACCTGAGGGTAGAACAAGAAGCAATGGGTGGAAACTTATCAAGGAGAGAAGCAGTTTAGAACTAAAGAGAAATTTCCTGACAGAACTATTAATCAGTGGAACAACTTGCCTGCAGAAGTTGTGAATGCCCCAACACTGGAAATTTATAAGAAGATGTTGAATAACCATTTGTCTGAAGTGGTGTAGGGTTTCCTGCCTAAGCAAGGGGTTGGACTAGAAGACCTCCAAGGTACCTTCCAACTCTGTTATTCTATTCTATTCTAACCCTGAAAGTGACTTTTTAGATCATTCTGTTTAAATCCCAGCCCTACCAACAAGTTGTTGGGGGAAAGAATTGGAAGAGGGAGAGCTGTGTCCTCTCTTGCAAAAAAAAAAAAAAAAAAAAGTGGAATTGGTATATTAACAAAATTCAAATAATGATGCCGTTTGGATCAAACTTCGGACGAGCGGGCTGTCCTGTCCCTTCCGTGTTCCATCTGAAGCGCAGGCTTTAAAATGTTAAGTTCCTTGAAAATTGGCTTTTATCGATCCGCCTAAATCTTATAATTTGCTCTGCAGGCTTCTTCCCTGTTGTTTTGATGCTCCATATTAATATGGCTAAAGAGGACGCGGTGGCTCAGCGGCTAAGACACTGAGCTTGTCGATTAAAAGGTCATCAGTTTGAATCCCTAGTGCCGCGTAACGGGGTGAGCTCCGTTCCTTGTTCCAGCTTCTGCCAACCTAGCAGTTGGAAAGCACGTCAAAAATGCAAGTAGAAAAATAGGGACCACCTTTGATGGGAAGGGAACAGCGTTCCGTGCACCTTTGGCGTTGAGTCATGCTGGCCACACGACCATGGAGATGTCTTCGGACAGCGCTGGCTCTTCGGCTTTGAAACGGAGATGAGCACTGCCCCCCTAGATTCAGGAATGACTAGCATGTATGTGTGAGGGGAATCTTTACCTTTACCTTATTAATATGGCTATTGGGGAATGTTCAGTTTTCTTTGAGATGGGCCTGAGTTCTCCTTGTCTGCTAATCATTATCTCTTCCAGGCTACTGTTACTATTACTATTATTATTATTATTATTATTTTTTAATTTGATTTATATGCCGCCCTTCTCCGGAGACTCAGGCGGCTTACAATGCGTTAAGCAATAGCCTTCATACTTTTGTATATTTATACAAAGTCAGCTTATTGCCCCTACAAACTGGGTCCTCATTTCACCTACCTTAGAAAGGATGGAAGGCTGAGTCAACCTTGAGCCTGGTAAGATTCAAACCTGCAGAAATTGCAGGCAGCTGTGTTAATAACAGGGTGCATTAAACCACTGTACTACCAAGGCTCCTATTTAAATTTATATGCTGCTAACTTCCAGCAATTGTACGCATTCAGCCTTTCCAGGTTTTTTTTTGGTTTTACCTTTGATCCAAATGGGTTTCTGATCAGTTTGCTAAAGCAGCTCCTTTTGATTAGGTCCCATTAAATCAAAGCTGTGGGCTTCCAAGATTTCCCACTGATGTGGGCCTGCAGGAGGTGAAGGGTAGGTGGGACACAATAATACAAATTTCCCCAGGGTGGTTGTACAGTATTCACTGGGAAATCTGAGAATTTGAGTTCTAATCCTTTTTAAGACCAACTTGACAGATGTGCTGTAGATATTGAGGAAGGCGAGTCATTTTGAAGGGAAGTTGCATTCCTGAGTTTTGGATCGGATTGATAGAAATATTGTAGTTGGTTAGCCGAGCATTATTTACCACAAGTGTTCCAAAACGACATTGCCGCCTCTTTGAGAAAACAACGTGTGTCCTTTCAGCGATCTTTAAAATAAGGATTTTATTTTTTGCCCCTGGTTGCGTGATATCTTTAATTAAGTTGCTGGTTCAATCTTCAGCTTTGTGGTGTCAACACCCGTTTCTCTCTTTTTGAACTCGCCTGTCTTTTTCCTTTCAGACAACATCCCGGAGGAATTAAAAGATCCTTTTTATATAGACCAGTATGAGCAGGAACACATTAAACCGCCTGTCATCAAGCTGTTGTTATCCAGCGAGCTGTATTACCGCGTCTGCAGCCTCATTCTCAAAGGGGACCAGGTGGCGGCGCTCCAGGGACACCACTCGGTCATCCAGGCTCTCTCGCGGAAAGGGATTTACGTCATGGAGAGCGATGACAACCCTGTGTCCGAATCCGATCTCAGCTCTGCGCCGATCAAAATGGTGAGCTTCGAAACGAAACCAGGAGTTGAGCTCCACAACTCCGTCCTTTCGTTGTCTTTGTTTCCCCTCGTAGATTTCCCCCCCCTCCTCTCCCCCCGAAATGGTACCAGTCCTAAACTGGCCAACCACTTTTTACAATCTTCTCGAGAAGGGGATTAAACCCAACGTGGGTTTTTTGTTTTTTTCCCTCCGGCCCTGTAGAGTCCTCACATGGCCATGATTGATGCTCTCATGATGGCCTACACCATCGAGATGATCAGCATTGAGAAAGTCGTGGCCAGTGTCAAGTGTTTTTCCACGTTCAGTGCCTCGAAGGAGTTGCCCTACGATCTGGAGGATGCGATGGTATTCTGGATTAACAAGGTAAACCGTGAGCCGATTTGATGTGGAAGTGTCTGGTTATTGGTGAGCACCCGTGTGGGAGGCTGCAAGTAGGGTATCATTTGTGACTTCTAATATTATGAGAGCAAGGGGGGAAGAAAAGCGTTCCTAGGCCGTACCTTTACCTAACTTTGTAAGAAAAGTCACCTTGGTTCTAAGCAGCATGAATAAGCAGCTTGAATAAACATAAACCTTGGATAAATAAAATTAGCCAGCGCAGGAGAGTTAAGAGGTGCAAAAACAGAGAGTGTAGAAATCTTCTTCTCTCGTGCTTATATTTCAGAAAATAAGTATGTAACCAGAAATATCGGACTTAATTTTGAAAACGCATTAGAAATTGGGTAGGAAATTAAACACGGGAAATCCATTTACTTAGGTCTGGGGGTAATTTTGTTTTTATGGCTTGTGGGCTGATTTGTGACTTGGAGAGGGTGCCTATATCTGAAGTGTGTGTGTGTGTATTGGGAGCATCTATATTGCTAGGAATTTGAAGCTGGTAATTGTATTTGATTGTCATCTGGATTGGGTTGTAAGAAAAAGAGAGTGAAGCACACAAGAGTTGTGGATGGCCAGAATACTCCCTGGGGAGATTGAGAAGGCAGGAAGTAATGACAAAGCTCTGAATTTTGGCAGTCAAAACAAAAATGAGGGAAAGGAAATACAGTTGCCCTCATTAGCTTTTTTCCCCCCTCCCCCTCTCTGCTCTTTTAGGTGAACCTAAAAATGAGAGAGATCACGGAAAAGGAGATTAAATTAAAACAGCAATTACTGGAAAGCCCAGGTCATCAAAAGGTAAAGCACATTAGATGAAATGGGATGTTTAATTGATTCATGGGGCTATGACTTGGAAGCAAACCTCATTGTTTTTCTATCTGCCTTTTCTCTTAGATCAGTAGAATTTATTAGCCTGTCTTGCACCCCTTCTACAAAATTGCTTTGTTGTTTCCAGTGCTCTTGATTTTTTCTTTCTTCCTTCCTTCCTTCCCATATCTATCTATCTATCTATCTATCTATCTATCTATCTATCTATCTATTATCTATCTATCTTCTATCTATCTTAATCTCTATTTTATTCATCTAATATCTATCTATATCTATCTACCTTCCATCCATCCATCTACCTACCTACCTACCTATCTATTTATCTAATCTCTCTATCTCCATCTATCCATCCATCTATCTATCTGTCCATCTATTTATCTGTATCTGTCTATTTATCTAATCTTCTCTCTCTCCATCCATCCATCCATCCATCCTATCTATCTATCATGATTTGAATACTTAAGAGGTTTCACTCACGGTCTGCCGAGGTGCCATGGTTTCAAAACGAATGGACTTTGGGGGCTGCTATGACAGTCCACTTTTAAAAGTTTACTTTGCGTCCCACATTTTATTTTATACCGTATTTAATTTATATTCGACACATTTTCCAGATATTTTTTTTAAAAAAAACAATACCTGTTAAAACTGTATCTTGTTTAAGCTTTAATATTTCATTTTGTGCACGGGGGTGGGGAGGTGGGAAATGTAGTCTTGAGACAGAGGTGAGTGGGAGGTTTTAACATCTGCTGAGAGGACCTTGTAGGTTTATATTTGTAACAGTCCTTTGATTTGATGCCGTTTGGATCTTCTCAAGCGCTAAGGAAAGTAACATCTGTAGCAGTGGTTTTTCAACCTGTGGTCCATAGACACCTGGGGGGGGGCATGATGTCACAGGGCCCCCGCGAAGGCTTGGAGAAATATTATGATTTCAATCTTGAGTCAAGTCTTGGGGGGGGGGGGGTTGGTGGCCACAAAAGGTATTTAACAGGGGCCCGTGGTGAAGAAAAGGTTGAGAACCACTGATCTATAGAATTATTCAGAAGAATTGGTGGTGCATGCATACAATCCTTCCCCTCTCTCGTTCCTTTTAAGTATTAGACGTTAACTAACACGTGCCGTTGCACTTCCAGCATTAGAATATTTGAGAAGCACGAAGCACAGTACCACAACAGTGGGAGTGCAATTTCTAAGTCCTGCCGAGATATTCTTAGCTGGTGTGGAAAAGGCTGCTGTCGAATTTTCATATTGCGCAGTCAGACTTTGAAATGAGCTCCTAAAGAGATTTCTATGCATGCAAATCCTCTAAAGATATGTTTCTTGAATCTTTTTTTTTTAAAAAAAAAATCTTTCCCGTGTCAAAACCGTTCGCAATATGAAAGCATGACCCCGGCGGGTGAGGCTCATGTAAAGTTTGCTTTGTAACATGCACTGATGATGTCCCTCTCCTGTTCCCTACCTTTCCATCCCCTTGCTTCCCGAACCAGTCTCCTTCAAAATGGTATTGGAAGTTAGTGCCTGTAAGTCAATTAATTCTGTACGAAGAGTTGTCATCCACCAAAAAATCCATCGGCTTTCCATCGATCTTTTGATTTGCTTCCATTCAAAAGCGCCGCTTTCCACCGTTCGCAACGTTTTCTCCGCTCCGGGTGTTCTTTTTTAACAACGAAAAATGTTAGATTTCATTTCATGATTCTACGTACTGTAACTTGGTGGCATCCATCACTAGGCCGATTTCACGGTTGCCGATACCGAAACTCTAGAAAGAAAAGCAAAGAAACTCTAGATTGTCCGTTCTATTTCGAAAGATTCCTCCTTTGCAAGCATTAATTTAAAGTAATTTGGGCTTCCTTTCCTGAAAATAAGGGAATTGGTCAGTATATTTATTTATTTATTTTATTTTATTTATTAAATTTATATACCGCCCTATTCCTAAGGGACTCAGGGCGGTGAACAGCGAACGATAAAAATACATGTAATACAAACGTTAATAAAAAAACCAATTAAAATATACTAAACACTCTGGTCCTAGATAATTCAAGACATCCCAGTTTAAAATAAAATCAAAAAGCAATATAAAGGGAAAGTTAGGCCAGGCCAGCCTGCTGAAATAGGAATGTTTTGAATTTACATAGCTTGTTTTGGAAAACTTACTTGTAGTAAAAGTCCATTCCCTCCCCCCCTCTAAATTCCTGCATATTACCATATTGGTCCACTAAATCAAAATCAAATCACATGAAGTATTAGCACCACTTTATAAATCCTTAGTAGGACCACACCTGGCATACTGCATCCAGTTTTGATCACCACATTAAAAAAAAAAGATGTTGAGACTTTGGAAAAGTGCAAAAAAAAAGCAACTAAAATGATTAAGGACCTGGAGGCAAAAAATGTATGAAGAACGGTTGCAGGAACTGGGTATGTCTAGTCTAATGAAAAGAAGGACTAGGGGTGACATAATAACAGTCTTCCAGTATTTGAGGGGCTGCCACAAAGACGAGGGGGACAGCTTATTTTCCAAAGCATTAGAAGACCTCCTTCTAAATCTGTTACTCTAAGGCAAGACAAGAAACAATGGATGGAAACTAACTGAGGAGAGAAGCGACCTGGAATTAAGGAGAAACTTCTTAACAGTGAGGACAATTAACTGGTGGAACAGCTTGCCTTCAGAAGTTATGGGTGCTCCAACGCTGGAGGTTTTTAAGAAAAACCTGTCTGAAGTGGTATCTCCTGCTTGAGAAGGGGGTTGGGCTAGAAGACCTCCAAGATCCCTTCTAAGATCTAAATGTACATTATTGCACAAAAAACCCCAAAAACTTGTGTTTTATTAAGATTTGATTCCCTCTTTGACCCTAGCTAGAGTTGCTTTTTCCTTGTGCTCCATTACAATATTTGCAGATGGACAAAGGGGCTGTTCCAGCGTGGTCCTCCTGCGTCCTGCTCACTCTCTCCCTAGTTTTTATTGAGCTTGCTCAATTAACTGGAAGTTAGAATTCCAGCTGCCCTATGGCATATTGGCATAAAACACCCCGTTTCTGAACAGCGTTATTGACAGAATGCTTAGGGTTTCGTAAATGTTGACTTGGCCCGCCACCAGGGCATCCGATGCTAATTAAGAATAGCAAGCGGTGGTTGAGTTTTTTGGAAAAGTTACTGCCAGCCCGAGGCCACCTCCAGCTTGTAAAACATCGGGTTTAAAAAGTTTATTTAGCACAGCGACACCGTCCAATGTAAGCTCCACTAAAATGGCCCATTGATCCTTTCCTTTTGTGAGAGAAAACTTCGCGCAGAGGTCAGCAAATTCAGTCCCTCCCAAAAGATATTAGGGAGTGTGCAAAAAGATTGCCACCCCATGCAAAAGTCATTATGATCGCTAAATCCAGTTTAGACTTCTCCAAATGAAGTCGAGGGTTCAGGATTCAACAGAAAGCTTTGATCTTCTAAGGAGGCCCTGCAATTTGAACAGAAATCTCAACTCCCATTTTGCTGCTTCGGCTTGTGAAAGCAGAGGGGCTAAAGTGAGGACTTTAAACCCATCAGTTCACCTTACTTTGGGAAATAATTGTGTTCAAGATTTAACGTAACATTAAATTTAATTGACCAAACTAAGTAATAATTTTAATTAGCAATTTTATGATGTTTGTGTGTCTATATTTTTCTTGACTGTACACCGCCTTGAGTCCTACGGGAGAAAGGCGGTATAGAAATATAATAAACAAACAAATAAACAAATAAACAAACAAATAAACAAATAAACAAATAAATAAATAAATAAATAAATAAATAAATAAATAAATAAATAAATAAATTGAAATTATATAAGTGGTGCAGTGGCCTAGAGGTGGAGATCTCGCCTCACAATCAGGAGGTTGTGAATTCGATTCTAGGTAGAGGCAGATATTTCTCTCTCTGGGCACAATGAGAATATATCTGCAGAACAAAACTCTATTTGCGACAGGAAAGGCATCCGGCCAGTAAACAATCTGATAGCTCCATTCAGTCACCCAGACTCCACCCCGCAAGGGATTATGGGGTCGTTAAAAGAAGACGATTAAATTGAAATTATATACGATTTCTGGTTGCCATCTTCTAGCTTGCAATGACGACGATAATTTTGCTCAAGACCGATACTGTGCATGCCTTACAAAGCACATGATCCATCTAGTGACTTATGCTCCATGGTACAGTATGATTCACATTACACAACAATTTGTGGAAAGCCTCAGGCTGAATGAAAAGCAAGCCCTTTGCAAAAGTATCACACTTCAAATGTTCGTAGGGGACCTTTGTCCCATGGATTAAGTTGTATTCCTCAGTACTTTTTTTTTTTTTGCAATATGATTTCAAGATTTTGTCAAAGCTGCTTACCTCTTGCCTAGCTGATACCAATTTTCAAATTCGAAACCGGTTCTGTAACGTTGCATTTTCTGTTCCGCTCAGAGCTTCCAAGCAGGCAAGACTGATTGGCAAAAATAATTTCTCAGCCTTAGCTTTCCTCAAATATTTCATACGGAGACATGATGGCCTTACTTAGCTGAATGGCAAGTTTGTGTTTTATGTTTTGGGTTATTCTCGAGAAAAGTGGTTATAGCGCTGGTAAGTATCAGTTAAAAGGCTGTAAGATCTCAATATAATATTATGAAATGTTGCATTTTTTAAAAATTTTTACTTATTGTGCTTTTTCTGCTAAACTGGTGGAGCGTTCAGTTGCATCTTTTTTTTTGGTTGCAATATTATATAGTGATCTTTGAAATTTAAATATTTAAATTAATATATATATATATTTCAATAACGGGCGAAGAATCTATTGGGAGGCTTTGTATGCTCAAAGTGCTGGAAATGGTCCCCTTAATTATGTTGTCAGAAACAACTTACAAGTGAAGTACGTTGTTGATTTGGAGCACCAAGGATCAGATTAATAGTTAAATTAGTATGTGTTGGTAGTGGGTGGAAAAAGAAGATATACCATTGTAATGAAAATACTAATTAGTTGATTACAAACCTTTTGTCTTTGTACTTTTTCCCCCGGTGTGTTTATTATGAATTATTAGCTTTAAAAGAATAGTATTCTTAGGAATATTAGCTTAAAAAGAAGAGTATTTTTAAGAATATTAGCTTAAAGAGTATTCTTAGGAATATTAGCTTAAAAAGAAGAGTATTTTAAGAATATTGGCTTTGGGCGCAGGTCTGCCTTTAGAAAGACGATTCCAAAATTAGCAAGCAAGTGTTCACAAAACCAAATGCTTGTAGCAGCAAAAGGATTATAACACCTTGTAAAATAGAAAGTTGCTGGTTTAAATCAGGGCAGAAATATTTTAGAAGAGCCCTGGGGAAACTTGAGTTCTAACTCAGCCTGGAATCTCATTGGGTGACTTTGGCCCAATCACAATCGACCTCGAGGGTTGTGGGGCGGAAAAAAAAACCAAACCCAAACCATGAGCTCTGAATGAATGAAAAACGGGATGGGAAATCTCAGAAGTTTTGCCTTCCTTCCTCAGGTACGTTATCGCCGAGATCATCTCTCGAGTCGACAGCTGCCCTTTTTCCCATTACTTGAAGACCTGATGAAGGATTGTAGCGATGGAGCTGCTTTGCTGGCTGTCATCCATTATTATTGCCCCGAACAAATGAAGCTTGATGGTACGTCGGTAACAGAGTTGAAAAGAAACCTGGTTTCCAAATCCTGCCTGAATCGAATTAGGAGATGCCAAAGTGATAGGGGACTGTCAGACCCTCCCTTAACTGTCTTTCATTGCCCCTGTATAACCAATCAGTTTCAGGCAAGATGTTTTCATAACGGTCAGTCCAAGCATAGTTTGGTATGTAGCTCCTTCCTTCTTCCAGCGGGGTGACCTTGAGGCAGCATCTCGAGGAGATACTGCACTTACTTTCATTTCCCCAAGCATTTCCCCTTTCATTTCACCTCCCCACAGTTCATGGCAGTTTGTCACCGCAGTGAAGCACAAGCAAACCTAAGTAGGCAGCTGACTGTGACATTTGATTAATTGTGGTGTCCTTTATAACTCTATCGTATTCTAAGGGAGTGATCCAGTGGCAGCGGGGGATATTTAGCTCCCGTTAAAGCATCTTTCTCTGGCTGAAAGCAATGGAACAAAATTGCTTCATTTTTGCTCAGATCAGATTTCTGGAGGGGGGAAAAAGTCAGTTTCTTTGCCTTTACGGACAATAAGTGATGTGCTGCAATTTTCTATAATCCATAAGCTTCTTAAACAAGGCTGTTCCTTGTCACTGTTTTGGGACTTGAGAAACATGTGATTAATCCACCGTAGCTATTTTACACAACTACAGTAGCAAACCCTTTTGCATTACTATTTTTTTTTTCCATTTTAGTATTTAATGACTACGGGCCTCACAGTTTATGGATTGATAATTATAGTATAGTTAGGCCATGTGTAACTGACCTAACATTTACATGTTTAACATTTAACATTTACATGTGTAAATGTGTAAGGGATGCGCTGGTTCAGTGGCTAAGATGCTGAGCTTGTCGATCGAAAGGTCGGCAGTTCAGCGGTTCGAATCCCTAGCACCGTGTAACGGGGTGAGCTCCCGTGACTTGTCCCAGCTTCTGTCAGCCTAGCAGTTCGAAAGCACGTAAAAAATGCAAGTAGAAAAATAGGGGCCACCTTCGATGGGAAGGTAACAGCATTCCATGCGCCTTTGGCGTTGAGTCATGCTGGTCACATGACCACGGAGACATCTTTGGACAGTGCTGGCTCTTCGGTTTTGAAACGGAGATGAGCAGCGTTCCCTAGAGTTGGGAACGACTAGCACGTATATGAGAGGGGAACCTTTACCTTTTACTGACAGACTGGGTGCCAAATTGTGATTTTAATATAGATTTTATCTGTTATTTATTATTTTATATTCTAGAATTAACTGGATGTTCATTGTTTTATTTGTTCCGGCCTCTGACTTGAGATGTATTTTTCCGGGCGCTACTTTGAACGGAGAAGTTCCCATCTCAAAGCAGACTCCCTCAATCCGAAGGGGACAACTCGCTGTGGCGAACTCGTCACGGCCAACTCGCCCTGAGACAACTCACCAACGTCCAACTCGCTGCAGCCAGCTCACCACGGCCAACTCATTGCTGGACAATTTAACAATTCAATTTAGTGATTTAAAATAAATTTAAAAAAAAACACACTTGAATTTTTGTCATTCGCATTTCATTCTAAACTTTTTTTGCATCCTTTCTTTAATGATTCCATCCTACCATTTCTTTGATATCCGTGTAAATCTTATCCCGCGACGAGTTGGCCATGGAAAGTTGGCTGCGGTGAATTGTCATAGAACCTCCCCCCTCACACACAAAAATCCCTGCGTTTGCTGGATTTCAAGTCTTAGAATTTCTTTACTTCCTGTTGGCCGGGAAATCTTAATATTGCAGCCTTCAAACAGTGTCAAGTTCCTGAGGATGTCCTCTGTCTGGAGCCATGGAAACGGAGAGGCTATTTTGGTGGTAATTCTCTTCTTCCTTCCTTCCAATTCCTAGAAATATGCTTGAAAGAGGTAACCTCGATTGCAGACAGCATCTATAACATCCAGTTGCTTCGAGAATTTGCCAACGAGTACCTGAACAAATGCTTTTACCTCACTTTGGAAGATATGTTGTATGCCCCGTTAGTTCTAAAGGTAAGAGAGAGAGGGAAGGCGGCGAAAACGCTTTTCAATTACGCGTAGGAGATTTGGTTTATATTCCTTTTTTTTTTCCTCCCTTCTTTTCCCTAGCCCAACGTAATGGTTTTCATTGCCGAATTATTCTGGTGGTTTGAGAACGTCAAGCCGGATTTTGTGCGCCCCAGGGACCTCCAAGAAGTGAAAGATGGTGAGTCTTGATTTGGGCTGGGGAGGATTCGTCGGTGGCAGCGAAGAAATTTTACAGTGGAATTGGTTTCCCTGTCTTTACCCTGATGGATATTCTCAAGTCTTCCTCGTGTTCAAAACGACAAATTGGTCTTCTTTGTCAAGATGCTGAAAATGTCTAAAGAGGAGGATGTTGTGGCCCGCCGATGGCCAGCGGAGCTGGCAGCAGAGCGGACAGTGAGGAGGTTGGGGAGGGCCAGTCCTGGGAGCTGGGGAAAGCTCGGCCGAGGGCTCTGCGTCAGAGAGGGAGCTAGGCAGCAGTGAGGCAGAGGAACAGCTGGAGCCTGTTCCCGGTGTGCGCATGCGCAGAGCTGCCAGAAGACAAGTAGACCAGCAGGGTCTACTCAGGAGTAAAGCCACACCTTGGAGGTAATTGGCCCCTCCCATAGGAAACAAAAGAGGAGCGAACGGTGAGTGTGGGTTTTTGCAAGAAACAATTCGTTTATTCCGTGACTCTGAGACTCTGTGCCAAGTTTGGCCTTGTACTGCGGTTGGAAACCATTCATGTGGCAGCTTGCCAAACGAGATAAGGTCTGTGTTGATAAGTATTCCTTTGAAAAACTGTTTGGACAAACCTGGCTGACTGTGAATGAAAGGAATTCACAGTCGTGTAAATAAAAGAGAGGAGGAGGAGGAAGAGGACTGGGGGGTCCTAGGTGCTCTCTGAGCTTGGTGCTTTTCTTGCAGATGTTTTATTGGCAATATTAGATATATTAATTGCCTTGAGTTGTATGAAAAAAAAGTGGGATAAAGATCTAAAAACTTAAACAAAAATTCCCTTTCTGGCCCTTTTAATGCAGTCTGGTCTCCCAGTATTCAGTGATAGCAAATACTCCCTTGTCTGAGTGCTTGAAAAAGGAAAGCGTGTATTGTTTCTACTCTTCCTCTACTTAAAGATGAAGTTCGGCCTGCCAAGAATCGCCCTTCAGAGCCTCTCCTGGCATTGCAGAGATGACCTCATGAGTGTTGGCTTGCTCTAGAGAAATTCAAGGCGATTCATAATCAACCCCGCTCGGTCATAACCGAAGCTTTTCCCAGCTTCCAAGGTGGATGGGATGATTGGCAGCTGAAACCTCCTCCATATCGGGAGGAAGACGGCTTTTACGCTCCTTAGAGAGATGCAAACTCCTCGATTCCTTCCTTCCTTTCTTTCTTCCTTCCTTTCTTCCTTCCTTCCTTCCTTCCTTCCTTCCTTCCTTCCTTCCTTCCTTCCTTCCTTTCCTTCCTTTCTTTCTTTCTTTCTTTCTTTTCTTTCTTTCTTTCTTTCTTTCTTTCTTTCTTTCTTTCTTTCTTTTTCATCTTTGTTGTGGTTTTTGAAACTGCACCTAGGGTTCCCCCTGCTGGAACTCTCCTTAGAAAAATTTAGAATAGTTTTCTTTCTTTAAAAAAACGGCAGGTTATTCGCACAGGTTGGGGGTCCCTTCATTTCAGCCTTTTGCTTCTCATCTTTTAACAATGAGGGGTCCTGGGTGCTCTCTGAGCTTGCTTGTTTTCTTGCAGACGTTTCATTACCCAACTAGGGAACATCATCAGTGCTAGTAAGGAGTGGGGTTTGCTGTCAGTTTGTATACCTCTGTCTTGCCTGTCTCTGTGAGTAGAGAGTGGTTTTAAATTTTTTTTTTTTTTTAAATTTGATTTATATGCCGCCCTTCTCCGGAGACGGGTGGCTTACAATGTGTTAAGCAATAGCCTTCATACTTTTGTACATTTATACAAAGTCAGCTTATTACTGACTTTATTAAGGTAGGTAAATTGAAGACCCAGTTTGTGGGGGCAATAAGCTGACTTTGTATAAATATACAAAAGGATGAAGGCTATTGCTGAGCACATTGTAAACCGCCCTGAGTCTCCGGAGAAGGGCGGCATATAAATCAAATTAAAAAAAAAAAATTGCCCCCACAAACTGGGTCCTCATTTTACCTACCTTTGAAAGGATGGAAGGCTGAGTCAACTTTGAGCCTGGTGAGATTTGAACTTGCAGTAATTGCAGACAGCTGGTGTTAATCACAATGCTTTTAGTCTGCTGAGCCACCAGGCCCTTTTGGTTGGGCTGTTTACTGATGGCTCTTTTGCAGTTTTTTAATTGGGGTATTGCTTACTTGATTGTTGGTCTGAAGTTAACCTTGGATTAATCTATGCTGATCTGGGTGCTGATTACTGGTGGAGAAGTGCTGGAGTCTTTTTTCTTCTCTTTTGGGCTGTTTATATGCTGTGAAATTAAATCTTAGCAGATTCTTCCAGTGTCTTTTTGTTGTTGTTGTTGTTGTTGAATGTTGGAGCTCCAGTTAACACTAACCCTGGTGTGTTCTAGCTAAAAGCATGCTGCATCAGAAGAGCAGCCGCCCGTCGGTACCCATTTCCAATGCCACAAAGCGGAGTTTCATGCCGAGTCCGGCGGTCCCCAGTTCAGCTGACATGCAGCCTCCGAGTCAACTCTCGCAGGAAAGTTGCAGCAGGTATTTCAAATATCCTGAAATAGTTTTTGATGGTTTCGGAAGCTAAGAACGGTAGCAAAACATGTCCTGTTAGTTCTGATCGGAGTGCTAGTCTTCAATGGAAGCTCTGCTCCTTGTCCACCTAAGACTGAGGGAAGTGTCCACGCTTCCTTCATGTGAAGTGTTAATACCACTTTATAAGGCCTTGGTAAGGCCACACTTGGAATACGGCATCCAGTTTTGGTCACCACAATGTAAAAAAGATGTGGAGACTCTAGAAAGAGTGCAGAGAAAATCAACAAATAGGATTAGGGAACTGGCGGCTAAAACATATGAAGAACGGTTGCAGGAACTGGGTATGTCTAGTCTAGTGAAAAGAAGGACTGGGGGAGACATGATAGCAGCCTTCCAATATCTCAGGGGCTGCCCCAAAGAAGAGGCAGTCAAGCTATTCTCCAAAGCACCTGAGGGCAGGACAAGAAGCAATGGGTGGAAACTAATCAAGGAGAGAAGCAACTTAGAACCAAGGAGAAATTTCCTGACAGTGAGAACAGTTAATCAGTGGAACAACTTGCCTCCAGAAGTTATGAATGCTCCAACACTGGAAGTTTTTAAGAAGAGGTTGGATAACCATTTGTCTGAAGTGGTGTAAGATTTCCTGCCTAAGCAGGGGGTTGGACTAGATGACCTCCAAAGTCCCTTCCAACTCTGTTATTCTATTCCTTGGCCGTGGCGTTTCACCTCCATCCTCTCATACAAATCGAAATCCTAGTCTCTAAGGGACGCTTCCCAAAAGCGTAGCAGTCAAGAGGCGAATTTAATTGAGTCGGAAACCGGCACGTCTTTGCAGAAACAAACCCGAGGTTAAAACCTAGCCAAGAACACGAAGCAGGCAAGGGGAGTTTGAAGAAGCTCCCCGTTTCAGCCATTCGGTGGGGGGGGGAAAAAAAAGCTGTTCTCCGAATTCATTTCCCGGATTTATTCGTTACATCTTGACCCAAATAATTTTGGGCCTTTTGGGTTGTCCTACTTTTCCTCTGGGATAATCTCATCCTGTGTTTGAACTGCTTTGCGCGGTGACCTTGCCGGCCTGTTTTTTTTTTCCTGTCTCTGTCGCTTCGTCCTCCCTAGCCGAGTTTACAGTAATTAATTTTGAAGACAGAACCCCCCCAGAGGCCTAGATTCTTATTCACTCCTCTTTCCTTATTATTATTACTATTTTTTTTTAAAAAGCCTTTGCTCCATTTTAAGACCATGTGCATTGTCGACTTCAGAGGAACCTCAGTGCCTGATTGTGATTTTAGGCTGACTCGCACCTGACTTTGGTAGGCGTTTTTTTGTTTTTTGTTTTGTTTTGCTGTGATTGACATTTTGGGAGGGGTCAATCGATAGGGGTTTCCTTTTGCCCATTCTGTTTGAAAAGAAAGCCTGTTTCAAAAAAACACCGGCTGACCCCTCTGATGTGTTTCCCAACAGTGTCAAAGGAAGTCCTGCCTTCAGCCCGTCGCACCCTTTGCTGCCTTTAAGGCAGAAGCAACAGAAGACGGTACAGGGGGAAGACACCTCAGGTAACTGCTCAATCCCCCTTCTTGTGAATCATGTAGGAGCAACTTTCGAGATGGAGGGAGAGAGAGAATTGGTGTGTGAAGGTCTCATGGCTGCTGAAGGGGGAAGTAGCCGTTTTAATACTGCCCTGAGGATGGTCCTCCCTTCCCTTCCCTTCCCTTCCCTTTCTTTCCTTTCCTTCCCTTTCTTTTCTTTCTTTCTTTCTTTCTTTCTTTCTTTCTTTCTTTCTTTCTTTCTTTCTTTCCTCCCTCCCTCCCTCCCTTCTTTCTTTATTTTTTCCTTCCTTCCTCCCTCCCTCCCTCCCTCCCTCCCGCCTTACTTACTTCCTTGCTTGCTTCCTCCCTCCCTCCCTCCTTATTCAAGGGCATCTCAAAAAATTATATAATTCATTAGACTTCCTCCTCCCTCCCTTCCTTCCCTCCCTCCAAATCCTTCCTTCCTTCCTTCCTTCCTTCCTTCCTTCCTTCCTTCCTTCCTTCCTTCCTTCCTCCCTCCCTCCCTCCCTGCCTCCCTCCCTCCCTCCCTCCCTCCCTCCCTCCCATCCATCTCAATTTCATGATTCTGGGAGGTTCAAAAACTGGTGGAAAACACCATAAGAAACAAGAAAACAGCGACATTCATTTAAACTGCAATTTCAGGAAAAACAAATTCAGCAGAACTTAAAATGCAACCGCTGCATATCTCCTCCCCCCTCCCCCCCTCCCCCAGGTCCAGTGACAAATTATGTCTTTAAGGCCTTTAAAAAAAGGGCAGCTGGGTCTAATCCCTGGGGGGAATTGACATTTCAGAGGTCAGGTGCCATGCAAGTCCTCCTGCTTAATAAGGGTGATTGACATAATACGCCCTTATAACACCTCTACTTTTTCCAGCTGCCCCAGTTACCTTAACTGGGAGCTTCTAATGCCTTTCAAAAGGCATTAAAATTCTAGCTTCCCCCCTCCTCCAGGCCCACCCCCCCTTTCCCCCGACCCCAGCATTGGGTCAGAAAGTGGTACGAACCTGTCGGATGAAGTTTTCCTTTATGTCCTTATGTTTTCGTGCATCTATTATTAGCTCGCTGCATTATTTTTACCTGGGTCTAATTTGAGGTTTACTAGTTTATTCAGGCTGTCCTGAGTTGCGTGTTTAGCAGGCCACTATATAAATAGAACAAATATGGGTTGTTGGGTTTTTTTAAAGGATTTAAATATCAGCAAGCGTGTTTGTTAAAAACATTGTGTGATCTGTTGGTCCTTTTTTTATTTTAGACCAACGGCATCGGTCTAATTCCTTGACTCGGGCAGATGGGCAGCCTCGGGATTCGATCCTTGCATGGCCAGAGAAGAAGCAAAGGTAACCCCTTGCCAGCTACTTTGTAGATCAGGCCTGTTTAAAATAGGACAGCCCGCCTTGAAGTTAAACCAAATAATCAGTGACAGATTTCAAATCCCCGAGCTCTCCTTGTTAAAGGCAGCAAACTTCAGTGGCCCTCTGTAAGCCTGTAAGGCTTTAAAAAAAAAAAAAAAATACTAAAAGTATATTTTTATTAGGCCAGACTTGGTCAACTCTGATATAGTGTTATTTTCCCTTTAATTTGTGCTCTGTTCGATAAAATAGTTTTGTCTTTTTTTAATATTGTAAGCCGTTCAGAGTTACCCTTTGATAAGCTGGGTGGCCAGTAGAAGGAAGGAAGGAGGGAGGGAGGGAAGAAAGGAAGGAAGGAAGGAAGGGATAGAGAGACATAAAGAGAGAGAAAGAAAGAGAGAGAGAGAAATAGATAAAGATGGATGGATGGATAGATCTATAGAGAGATAGATATACATAAAGAGATAGAAAGATAGCGATAGAGAGATAGATAGGGATGGAAGACAGACAGACAGATTATAGATACTGTAGATAGATGATGATATAGAGATAGATAGATAGATAGATAGATAGATAGATAGATAGATAGATAGATATACTCTCCCGAAAGCATGCTTCTAATAGTTGTCTCTTTTAGGCCCCTTTCACAACCCGCACCATTTGGTCTTCACCACACGGCGAGCAGCGACGCGGACCCCAGCTCCGGCGATAGCATCAGTCTGGCCAGGTCCATCAGCAAAGACAGTCTGGCATCCAACATCATCAACATCACCCCGAAACAGCAGCTCCCCTCCGCCCCCGTGAAAAATAGCGGGAAAAGCTTGCTGAACAATGTGGAGATGGAAGACGACGAGGAAGAACTGATTGCCATCATTCGCCCCGGCACCACCCTGAACCACGGCGGCCTGGAACTTCAGTGCGCTCTGCCGGCTCGTTCCCCTGGCTTTGTCGGTACCGCCTGGACTCCGAAATCCCCGAGCGAAGCTACGGACAATAAGCCGGAGAGCTTTTTCCTGGAGCCGCTAATGCCTGCCATTTTACGGCCAGCCAAGGAGAAGCAGGTCACCAATAAGGAGGACGAATGCGGAGAAGGAAAAGCAAGAGGTTACGCGCCCAAGAGACCGAGCGAGGGGCACGCGGCTTTGGCCCATAAAAAAACCAACGGCGGTCACGGTGATCACAGCCTTAACAGGACTTTTAACTTGGGTTCTAGTTCTGAACTAACCGTGATCGCGGGCCCCAGTTTGGCAGAGCCAGTTGTCCATCACTCGGACGTCAGGATGGAACCCTTTTGCCCCCAAGCAAGCAGCAGTTTAGAGACATCCTCTCAAGAGCAGCCGTTCGCGGGCTTCTTCCTGCATGCCGCCAAAGCGGAGGAGGAGGCCATGTCCAGCGGCGGCACCAACCTCAGTTATCTGAAAAGCCCCAGTTCCCACCGGGCGGAGACCTCGTGGACCATGGTCAGGCAGGATTCCGACTCGTCCATCCTAGACATGGAAGAAGCCGACCAAGACTTGGCGGCCGAGGAGCACCCTCTGATTGCCAAGTACATCGGAGAGGAAGAATCCGCCAAGCTTCAGGAAGACATGAAAGTCAAGGAGCACGAAGACAAAGACGACGCCAGCGGGCGATCCAGCCCATGCCTGAGCACCATTTCCCAGGTGAGCAGCGTCTCCATGACCAGCGGGAGTGCCCGGATGACCAGCTTTGCGGAGAGGAAGCTCCAAAGGCTGAACAGTTACGAAACAAAATCCAGCACGAGCAGCTCGCAGAAAACCACCCCAGATGGATCCGAGTGTTGTCCGGCTCCGCTCACCACCTGGAAACAGAGGCGGGAACAGAGTCCCACCAGACAGAGCAAAGACAATGTGAACCTCTTGGCGTCCGAGCTGGTCCAGCTCCACATGCAGCTGGAGGAGAAGCGGAGAGCCATAGAAGCTCAGAAGAAGAAGGTGGAGGCCCTTTCCGCCAGGCAGAGGCTAAAACTCGGCAAGGCGGCCTTCTTGCACGTGGTGAAGAAAGGGAAAGGGTCGGAGATCTCGCCGTCCCTGAAGCCGGAACACTTCACCAAGGAGTTCTCCGGGCACAACGGGGAAGGCCTGGAGGAGGACGCTTTGAATTCCAAAACGGCGGAGGTGTTCCTTACGAAAGAGGAGGTGGTGGCAGGTGAAGACGAAATTCCCAAAGAGAAGGTTCAGGAAACGGTCGGCTTCGTGGAGGAGAGCATTTCCAGAGAGCCCACCATCCACGAAATCGAGAAGAGCAAGAGGGTCTCGGCGGCTCTGCTGGAAGAGAGCATCGACTCCGCCGACCTCAACGAATGTGACCTTTCCATCGAAAAGCTGAACGAGACCATCAGCACCCTTCAGCAGGCCATCCTGAAGATCTCTCAGCAGCAGGAGCTTCTCATGAAGGCCCCAACCCTGTCCTCGACCCGCGGAGGCTCTCAGGACCAAAAGATCAAAGCCCCCGTCCACTTTGTGGAGCCCCTCTCCCCTCCCGGCCCCAATCTCCGCAAACCACCCCGGCTCGGTCAAGGACGGAGTCCCCGTTCAGGAAGGCCATCTGAACTCAAAGTGGCCAAGGACCGTCCCCATACCACGCCTCGCATCAAGACCCCGACGCCCAGCGTGGACACCTTGCCCCACTTGAGACAGTTCCCACTCAACAATTCACCCAAGGTGCCAGTCGAAACAGCTCTTGAAAACATCCTGGGCCCAGGTAGCGCTTCGCAAGAGAAGCTTTCCTTTGAGAGTTACCGGCTCTGCGACGACAATCAGAGAGGGGCCTTTGTTTTGTCCTCTTCCAGGGACACCAACATCCTCTCGGAAGCCATCAAAGATGAGAACAGCAACATGGAGGACTTCCATCACCTGGCTTGTTTTGATGTCTCAGGCCAGGAGAACGTCTCCCTCGAAGAGCCTTCTAAGAGCAAAGGCAGCCTCATCGAAGTGGACCTCTCGGATTTAAAAGTCCGCGACGAAGAAGTGGAAAGCCAGGGCAACTCTTCGGATTTAATCAATGAAATGGAGCAGAAATCAGGCGTTGGGTTCTTCTTCAAGGTAAGGGCCGCCAAGATCTAAAAAACCATTTGGAATCATTCTGGTTCCCAGACCTGCCTCTTATATTTAGAATAGGAATAGAATAGAATAAGAGTTGGAATGGACCTTGGAGGTCTTCTAGTCCAACCCCCTGCTTAGGCAGGAAACCCTACACCACTTCAGACAAATGGTTATCCAACCTCTTCTTAAAAACTTCCAGTGTTGGAGCATTCACAACTTCTGGAGGCAAGTTGTTCCACTGGTTAATTGTTCTCACTGTCAGGAAATTCCTCCTTAGTTCTAAGTTGCTTCTCTCCTTGATGAGTTTCCACCCATGGCTTCTTGTTCTACCTTCAGGTGCTTTGGAGAATAGCTTGACTCCCTCTTCTTTGTGGCAGCCCCTGAGTTATTGGAACACTGCTATCCTGTCTCCCCTAGTCCTTCTCTTCATTAAACTAGACACACCCAGTTCCTGCAATTTGGAGACAGGTGTGCAAGGGGCGGATTATTTTTATATCATTGTTTCATTGGTGCGTTTGGTTTTTTTGGGGAAATATTTTGGGAGTGAAGTGGCAACCTGTGTGTGTGTGTTTTGGGGAAATGGTTTCGGAATGAAGTTGTAACTTTTCTGTCAACCCACAATCGATCACACAGGGGTGTCAGTGGACAGTTTTGCTTGGTTTGTGTCTACGTAACGTTGCAGTCAAAAGTGTTTTCATTAGGAGGATGCCATTTAAAGGAAAATGGGGTTAATTTGACCATGGTCTTAACTTGTTTCTCTTTCTGAAAATCATAAGAGCTGAAGAAACTTCTCGGATCTTGTTCTTCCAAGAAAAACAAGAAAGCCCATTTTTGCCTCTTGATAAAAAGCACCTTCGGGACATAAAATGGTAGACTTGAAGCGTTCTCTAATCTGGATTTTAATTCTCGCAATTTCCCAGCCAACCTTATATCATGGCAGAGAACTCTGGAAGTTGAAGGCCGCAGGTTGGGGACTTGCAGAAGGCTGGGCTAAAACATTTGTAATTGACTATCATTTTGGGTGCAATAATTAAAGGGAAATGGGGAAGGCTTTTTGCTAAGGTGTTGATGCAATCAGTGGGGGCTCTAGTTGGTTTATTACATGTATGTATATGTATGTATATTTGTTTTCTGAGGTTTTTGCGGGTATTTGTATGTAGGTCTTTGGTTATTCGGGTTTTCTCCCGCGTAAAATTGGAAGTGTCTTGGCCAAGACACTTCCAATTTTACGCGGGAGAAAACCCGAATAACCAAAAACCTACATGTATGTATAAATATATAAATACATATCGTGTTTCCCCGAAAATAAGACCCTGTCTTATATTTTTTTGGACCCTGAAATAAGCACTTGGACTTATTGCCATGTGCTCAAAAGCCTGATTGGGCTTATTATCAGGGGATGTCTTATTTTGGAGAAACAGGGTATATACATATATGTATATGTATACACACACACACACATGTCTGTGTGTTTGTGTGTGCTGGTTTTTTTCCCCCTCAACAGAGATCAAAATTGCAAAACTAGGAATTTCCAGGTGCAGGAGAGATCTGCTTAGTGCAGGGATCAGCAACTTGCGGCTTCAGAGCCACATGCGGCTCTTTGGGCCCTCTGCTGTGGCTCCCTGTCAGGTGATCCCACCATTGGCTGGCCCTGCCCCTCGCCCTCCCCTCCCAGTCACTCCTCGCCTGGCCTGAGAAGGTAAGGGCGACAGCGGGGGATGGAGAAGCGGCCAGGGCAGAGACAGAGAGGGAGAGAGAGAGACATAGAGAGATACAGAGAGAGAGACAGAGAGATACAGAGAGAGAGGGAGGGAGGGGAGAGAGACACATGTCAAAAGGATTGTGTGGTTCCCGGTGTTTTTTAACAACTGGTTCTCTGCCCTAATGATCGGCTGGGTAGGCGTGGCTGGGAGGTGTGTGTCATGCGACTAGTGAAAGTGAGTGACGTCGAGTTGGCCACGCCCACCCAGGTTTTGTGGCTCCCGGTGTTTTCTTTTCTGTGGGAAATGGGTCCAAATGGCTCTTTGAGTATTTAAGGTTGCAGAACCCTACCTTAGTGGAACCTCTGGTTGTCAAAGACCAAACTAATAAATGCCGTATTGTTTAATTTAAAAATTTTCAGGTTCTGAGAGTAATATAAAAGATTCCGAAAGGCATATCAGGATCTTGGGAAGATCTACCAGCTAGCCCAGGGTTTAGCTACTGAACTTTATTGTAAACCGATGAAATGACAATTGTATGGTTAGGAAAGCCACCATCGATGTATTTTCTCCGTATCGATGCAGGCAATATTTGGACATTCCTTTTTTTCCCTTTTTCTTTTCCTAGGATGAACAGAAAGCCGAAGATGAGCTGGCGAAGAAACGTGCCGCTTTTCTTTTAAAACAGCAGCGCAAGGCCGAAGAGACCCGGCTTCGAAAACAGCAGCTGGAGGCAGAAGTTGAACAAAAGAGGGACGAAGCTCGGTAAATCTCTCTCCCCCCCCCACCCTCCAACAATAAGGAAGAATAAAGATGTAGGACAGGGGTGTCAAACTCGATTTCATCGAGGGCCACATCAGGGTTGTGTTTGACCTCGGGGAGGCCGGGATGGCGGGCGTGGCCAGGGTGGGTGTGGCCATCATGACGTCACTCATGTGGTAGCCTGAGTGCTCTGCCACGAAAATGGGCTCCTGGGCCCTGTTTTTGGCTGCAACGGCCTCCTGTAGCCCCTCTGCCAGTGAAAACGGACCTGGCAGCCTTCCCCCCCTCCTCCTCCCCCCTCCCCCCCCCAGGACCGTTTTCACTGGCAGAGGGTTGCAGGAGGCCATCGTGGCTGAAAACGGAGCCTAAGACGACCGCACAGTGTGACGGAAGTGCCTTCTAATGGCTTCCGTTATATAGGCAGCTTCTGACCCAGCTTCTTAAAGTGGCAGTAACCCTGCTGCCTCATTCCATTGCATCAGCTTCCGGTTGCCTCTGCTCACAACCTTTCATCAGCTTACAGCTATTAACTCTTCATACCCTGACAGTTTTCGCTGGCAGAGCCACCGTGGGCCGGTCCTTTGCTTGTTTCCAGGGTGGCCTTGTGGGCCAGATCTAAGCACCCTGCAGGCCTTGAGTTTGACACTCCTGATGTAGGAGCTGGTTGGCGACTTTCCCATTTCCTTTGCCCTTCTTCGAGAGTCTGGAATCCCTCCTTAATTTTTTGCAGGCGAAAAGCTGAAGAAGACCGTCTGCGGAAGGAAGAGGAGAAAGCCCGCCGGGAGCTCATCAAGCAAGAATATTTGCGGCGAAAGCAGCAGCAGATTTTGGAAGAACAGGGCTTGGGTAAACCCAGACCCAAAGCGAAAAAGCCGCGGCCAAAATCAGTCCATCGGGAGGAATCTAACAGCGATTCGGGGACCAAGTATTCCTCTACCCGTAAGGCACAGCCCCACCTTTGAACTTTGAGTTGATCTGGTGACGCTCTGAATTGTTTCTATGTGTTGACAATGTCTCCGCCTTTGCTCTTTTGGTCAGCTGATAACCTGAGCAGTGCCCAGTCGGGATCGAGTTTGTCCTTGGCATCTGCAGCAACAACTGAGCCGGAGAGCATCCATTCGGGAGGCACGCCTTCCCAAAGGTAAGCGCACCTGTAAAGAGAAAGTTTGGGCCTTTGGGAATAAAAGGAGGATGTTTCCTTCCTGCCTTGTTTGACCACGAAGCAAGAATTTCAGCTGGTCAGTCACGGCCTTTCGTCTGGAACTACATCTCCCTTTAGAAATATATTTGCAAAACAACCATCGGGAAACGAATGAACCATCTGCTAACTTATCTGTAGAAAGATTGTTCTGACCTAGGCTTCCCAAGAACATGAAGCAAACTCCTTGTCCCGACAAAAATCCCCTTTTTATTAAGTTACTGTGAATTCTTCTCATTCACATCCAGCAAAGTCTTTCAAGGGAGGATTTAGAGTCACAGACCTTATCTGGCTTGGAGAGCTGCCAGGCCGATATCTTCAAAACTTGGCAAGGAGTCACGAACCAATTAAGCGAACTAATTGTCTCCTGCAAACTCCACTCTCCCTTTGTTCCTCTTTTATTCCCTCTGGGAGGGGCCATTCATCGTCCACGTGTGGCCTTACTCCCAAGTCGACCCTTGTTCTTTAGCTGTTCCCTTCGTCTGGCAACTCTGCGCATGCAAACACTGGGAATAGGCTCCAGCTGTTCATCTGCCTCACTGATGTCCGACTCTGAAGGCAGCTGACAACTGTCAGACGGCCCTGGCCCCCTCTCTGCCTCTGACGCAGAGCCCTCCTCAGAGCCTTCCCCAGACTCCAGGACTGGCCCATGTTCCTCCCCAACCTTCTCAGTGTCCGAATCTGCTGCCAGCTCTGCTGGCCGCTGGCGGGCCACAACAAAGATATCCTAGGTGGAATTATTTTCCAGCTGCTCCCCACAAAAAATATAGACTAGAATGTGACTCTTATCTCATTTTGTTTTCCTTTTTGGAAACGAAGGCCAGAGATAATTCATATGAAAATATGTGGGAGTGGGTGGGTTCCATGCTGCTCTCAGACTTTGGATGTTTTCTTTCACACCTTTCATTACCCAACTAGGTAACATCATCAGTGCTAGTGAGTGTGATTTGCTCCCAGTTTATTTACAGTAGCTCTAAGTTTGGATGTTTTCTTTGAGACCTTTCATTACCTAACTAGGTAGTATCATCAGTGCTAGTGAGTTTGTTTGTTTATTCAAATTTGTATACCGCCCTACTCCCGAAGGACTCAGGGCGGTGAACAGGCACAAAATAAAACACATAGATACGAAAGTTAAGAGCAGAAATAAAACCAAATTAAATACTTGAGCCCAAGACAATTTAAAACATCCCAGAAATTTAGAATCAATTTAAAATTTCAATTTAAAAAGGCTTGTTCCCTATTTATATACAGTAACTCTGAGCTTGGTTGTTTTCTTGCAGACAATTTGTTATCCAGCTAAGTAACGCTGATGATGTTACCTAGTTGGGTCATGAAATGTCTTCCAAGAAAACAACCAAGCTCAGAGAACACCAAGAGTCCCCCCCCCTTTTTTTTTCATTCCTGAGCTACAAATTATTCTGCTTTATTGGATTGTGTTTCCTCTGGCAGAGTGGAGTCTATGGAATCCTTGCCCATCTTGAGCAGGAACCCAAGCCGAAACATGGAGCGAGATTGGGAGAACACTTCGACCGCCTCTTCGATTGCCTCGGTGGCCGAATATACAGGTGAGGGGATGGATCTTAGCAGTTTCTATACAGCCTCCCAATTTTATCCTTTACCCAAAGGGAAACACCATTGCTGAGCAGGAGATCTCAAGTTGGCCACCTCTTTTGAAACAACACGGCAGGGTGGGCAAGTGGATGGAGCTATTAAAAGGTTGATTTGATGCAGTGAATGTTTTACCTGCTTACAAAACCATCCAACCATGAGCCGTGGTGTGGCACAGTGGTTAGAATGCAGTCCTGCAGGTTAATTTTGCTGCCTGCAGTTCGGCAGTTCAATCCTGACTGGCTCAAGGTTGACTCAGCCTTCCATCCTTCCGAGGTGGGTAAAATGAGGACCCAGATTGTTGGGGGCAAGGGGCTGACTCCGTAAACCGCTTAGGAGCGGGCTGTAAAGTACCATGAAGTCTTAAGTGCTGTTGCTATTTCTTTCCAGGCCCAAAGCTCTTTAAGGAGCCCAGCAGCAAGTCAAACAAGTCCATCATCCACAACGCCATCTCCCACTGCTGTCTTGCTGGAAAAGTGAACGAGCCTCATAAGAATTCCATCTTGGAGGTTAGTCTTTCTCAGGGGTTTGGGATTCAGTTGGTCATCTGTAATGTCATCTATTAACTGGTCATCTGTTAAAGGAGACAGATTGGTTCCCAGTTTTCTTGGGGTGGGTGGGAAGTGCCAAATGTTTCCCCAAGCTTCTACACAGGGTGCATGAACCGAAACAAAGGGGCTGTCAGGGTTCCAATGAATGCCCTAATTAAATCATGAGCCTCGAGTCAAGCTTCAAAAGAAATCCAGTTATTTATTAGGAGCTCCATGTTGGCACGTTCCCAAGTGAAGCCAACTCTGACCCCATGTAATTTACGGCCCTAATCATGACCCTGTTTCCCCCCTCCCCTCAGGGTGTGTCATCAATCACATTCCCCAACAGAGCAAGGATTGTAGAAATCACTCCCCTCCGGCCGCTGTGGGTAACCCTGGGAGACAGCCTTGAGAAAGATATGTCCGGAATGTGCTCCTGTCTATGGCAGCCGTGTTGCTTCGTCGGTTTCCCATCCCCCTTGCTATGGCCACTCGAGAGAAGGCCAGGGATGCTTTGCGAGTTGACAAGGTGTTATGGCTTAGTGTAATATTTTCCAGTCTTTCCAGTTGTGCTAGAATTCAACAAATCAGAGTTAAAACACATAAGTAGCGTCTGTGGGGCTCTGTCCAGATGAAAATTGTCCCAGTGCAGGGCTACACTTTGGAAGCTTAGCTCTAAGCTCCCGGCCCACTTTTTAGGTCTGTATGCTGACCTAAATACCAATAGCAGAGAATATTTGTACCTTAAGATTGAACTGCATAGTCCTTGGGGCTCTCTTGAGTTTGATTGGTTGCTTGCAGACGTTTCATTACTCATCTAGGTAACATCATCAGTACTAGAAGGGAATGGGGTTTGCGAAGTGGAGGAGGGGAAAGACTGTGGCCTCCTTGGTGCTCTCTGAGCTTGGTGGTTTTGTTGCAGACATTTCATTACTCAACTAGGTAACATCCTCAGTGCTAGAAGGGTGTGTGGAGAGAAGGAGAAGGGGGAGGAACAGGACTGTGGGATCCTTGGTGCTCGCTGAACTCAATTGTTTTCTTGCAGACCTCTCATGACCCAACTAGGTAACATCATCAGTGTTAGGAGAGTGAGGTGTGTGGAGAGGAGGAGAACTGTGGGGTCCTTGATACTCCCTGAGCTCGGTTTTTTTCTTGCAGACCTCTCATGACCCAACTAAGTAACTTCATCAGTGCTAGAAGGCAGTGAGGTTTGCTCCCTTCGTTACCGACCCAACCAAAAGCCCCCCCATTCCTTGAACCCTTAGCTTTTCCTGGCCCTCAAATATCTCCTCCTTCTGCCCGCAGGAGCTTGAAAAGAGTGAAGCCAACCACTACATCATCTTATTCCGCGACGCCGGCTGCCAGTTCAGAGCACTTTACTGCTACTATCCCGACAACGAAGAAATCTACAAGCTGACCGGAACGGGCCCAAAGAGCATCACCAAGAAAATGATCGACAAGCTGTACAAATACAGTTCGGACAGGAAGCAGTTTAACCTGATCCCGGCCAAAACCATGTCCGTCAGCGTAGACGCGCTGACGATTCACAACCACTTGTGGCAATCCAAGCGACCCGCCGTGCCAAAGAAGACCCAGAATCGCAAATGACACTAAAAAAAAAAAAAAAACACTAAAAAAAAAAAAAACCCGGGGCTAGATTTCATCGCTGAGGGTTATCCAACGAGTGGAACCATAAACCATGTTTTTTTATTTAAAAAAAAAAAAAAGAAAGGAAAAGAAAAGCAGCTTCTTAAAAACGGATGCAAGGATAGTATGATGTTTCCTCTCTTTTTTTGGGACGCAGCTGGTTTGCCGGTTTGGTTCGGTTCGGTGCGGATGCTTAGACTGCTGCTACACCCATCGCTGACTTCTTGCGGCTTTTCACGAGAGACCAGACCCGAAGCTGGGGATTTTGTTTTTTTTTCTTTTTTAAACTTGAAGCTCTTCATTGATACCAGTTGGGATCCCTCTTTTTTTTTCCTTCCTTCCTTCTTTCCGATTTAATACTCCTGCAAAAAAAAAGAAAAGAAAAAAAAAGAAGCCGTCTCATAGTTGGCAAAGCTGCAGTTTTGGAAGGGAAAGAAAAACTCGAATAACGGAGACTGGATGATCCCCCCCCCCCCCCCCCCCCCCCCCCCAACCAGGAAAAAACTCACTTTTTCCTTCTGCGTTCCTTAAAAGGATCTCACACCCACTGCATTTTTACTGCCAATGTCATTTCTGGGATGGGTGGGAAGGGGAAGCCCAGCCTACCTTGTTGCCCGCTCCTCGGCTCAGTTTACCTACAGTATCCCATTTCTCGATCGTACGCACTGACAGAGATGTCAAATCGGTCTCTTTTTAAAAAATAAAATAAAAAAACGGAGACAGAGGACATATGCAAAACAAAAAAATAAAAATTGTGACTGCTTGCGAACTTTTTCGGGGCAAAACACAATCATGAAGAAACGAGAGAGGTGCTACTGGCTTGGATTAGCTCGTTTGAAACTTGACATGGCAAAAAAACAAAAAAAAAAACCCTTGGATTTTCTGATTCGTCTCCTCGTCTTCTCCCTCGCCCTTCTGTTTTGTTTCTTTGTTGGACGAGACCCTAGGAATAGCGGAACTTTTTTTTTTTTTTCACTCCGAGCACGTTAACACTCCGTCGAATGGTGCACTCCAGTTATTCACCGATGCTTTTTTAAAAATAATAATAATCATGTTAAAAATCAAGCCCTGCTACTTTTTTGTCCTGTCCTGTGTGTCTGTTCTTTGCTGGATGAACAGCATGTTCTTAATGAGGGAGTGTGTTCCTGGTTTGTTTGTTTTTTCTTTCTCCCCCTTTTTAAGTTTTTCCGTGGGAGCCCTTTTTAATTGGGGGGGGGGGACACAGACGCAATGAGACAACGACGTATACAAAAAGCCAACCGATTTTCCCCCTTACGAAGGGGCAAGTTTTTAAAACAAATCTTGTGTTTGGTCTGAAAGCTCAAAAGTGGCTTTGGAGGGTTTTTTTTGTTTAGTTTGGGTTTTTTTACCCCCCTCCCTTCCCCTTTCATCTTGAAATATTAAACCTTTGCGTTGAAACCTTTAAACCTGTCTGTGCTTTCAAAACCCAAACCAATCTTTTTTCACAATTGGGAATAAATGATGCAGGAAGCTTTGATGAGGATGATGTGTTTTAAAATGTGTCTTCCCTTCCCCTGAAAGGGACGGTAAAAAAAAAATCCGTAGCCTTCAACCCAAACCTTTCTTTTTCAGACTTTACTGCTTGGAAATAAATATATGTGTGTGTGTGTGTGTGTGTGTGTTTGTACACACACACACACACAGTATATATATATATATATTCTGACAAAGGTTTTAGTTTGCACATGTTTACTTCTACTTGAAATGTTACTTGAAGAACTTTTTGAGTCATGCAGAGACGCTCTTTCTGACACTAGAGACGAACGAAAGAGATGGAAACACACACCCGTGAATTGTTATTTATGAACCTAGAAAAATAATAATTATAATGATGATGATGGGAGGGCAAAACAACTTTTGTATAGAGCGAGGCGAGAAACTATGTTCTTAACACTAAGCTAGAAATGCTTAGGGGAGGAGAGAGAAAATCAGGATGGTCTTCCGTTTGTCGGCCATTCCTTCCCTCGGTTCGTTCATTTTAAATAGATTGTAAATTTTGTTTGATAGTCGATTTATCTTGTAAATAAGGCTTCGTTTCTTAAACTATTCAGAGGATTCAACGTGGTTGTGAGCGAATTTTTTTTTTTTTTTTTTTTTGGTTACATGCTTTTCATGCTTTGATTTTTTTTTTTTTTCTCTCACTGTTTGATATACGACATATTTATTTTATGGAAGCACTGAAAATAAAGGTCATCATCCGATTTTGGTTATTCCATGCATTTTATATTTGTGTGTGTGTGTGTATGTGTGTGGTTAAACGTGTGTCAACATAGGCGCGAGCCTTTAAAGATGCGTTTGGTTATGTTCCTGCATGTCACGGGCTGTTTATTATTATTTATTGTTTCCCAAAGCCAGTTATGATTTTAATGCCATAGGTTTTAAAACACGTTAACCATTGCGCATGGGTTTTTCTTTTCATTTTGGCCTATAGGGCTGAGTTACCTAGAGGTCAGCGATTCTCAACCTTTCCTTTAAATACCGTTGGTGGCCACGGATCCCCAAAACATAACTCCAGATTTAAATAACGTTTTTCCAAGCCTTCGTGGCGACATCGTGGCACCCCCCCTCCCCCCAGGGGTCCACGGACCACAGATTGAGAACGGCTGCTATAAATTATTGCCGAAAATGGTTTTGCTAATGGGATTAATCTCTTGTCTATAGCAAAGCTGGAGAAAGCAATCTTTCTCTGTAACGAAAGCAAAGGAAACAAACCTTTTTATGGGTGCTGGAAAAATCTTGGCTTTGCTACTTTCCAAAGGAATGAAGTTTTTAATGCCCACAGAACACACAATTTCCAATTTCCAACTTCTGTGTTCCACAGAACTCTGGTTTCAAACTCGTGCCCATCTTCAGAGTCGCATGCCCGCTTTTCTTTCCTTTAAACCACTTTCGCTGGGTCACTTGCGTGGTTCAACCCACCGCTCGCAGTCCTCAACTTAGGACCACGATGGGAGGCCGAAATTTCTGCCGCTAAGTGTGACAGTCAAGTAAACTTGGACTCATTTTACAATCTTTCTTGCCAAGGCTGTTAAGGGAATTGCAACCGTTGTTAAGTCAGTAACAGGGTTGTGAACTCGAATTTGGCTTCCCCGTTGATTTTGTGCGTCCGAAGGGCACAAAGGGGGGACCCTATAACACTTCAATCGTCATAAGAGCCTTGGTAGTACAGTGGTTTAAGGCACCCTGTTATTAAGCTGGTTATTAAGACCAGCTGCCTGCAATTACTGCAGGTTCGAATCTCACCAGGCTCAGGGTTGATTCAGCCTTCCATCCTTTCTAAGGTAGGTAAATTGAGGACCCAGTTTGTGGGGGCAATAAGCTGACTTTGTATAAATATACAAAAAGGATGAAGGCTATTGCTGAGCACATTGTAAGCCGCCCTGAGTCTCCGGAGAAGGGCGGCATATAAATCAAATTTAAAAAAAAAAACATGAACCAGTTGCCAAGTGTCTGAATTTTGATCACGTGGCAAATGAGGGTGCTGGAATGGTTGGTGTGAAAAACGAGTCACTTTTTCCAGTGCCGTCGTAACTCGGAACGGTCACTCAGTGGGCTGCTGTAAGTTGAGGACCATCTGTATGCCATTGGCATGATTTTAATTGTATGTTTGCATTTCGTAAGCCAGTTTGGAGGATGACTGGGAAGGCTAGGATACAAACACTGAAATGTGTGGGATAAATGGATTCTTCCTTGAATGAACCCTAACTGCAAAAAAAGGTTGAAATTGAGCTAGAATAAAAGAATACATTTGATAGGAAGGGGCGTTGTGGGGCGTACCTATCCCCTAAAGCCCATAAGAGCCTTGGTGGTGCAGCAGACTAAAGTTCTGTTAAAGTAGGACTTAGTAGCATTTAGCTGCCAGCTGCCTGCAATTACTGCGAGTTCAAATCTCACCAGGCTCAAGGTTGGACTCAGCCTTCCATCCTTTCGAGGTAGGTAAAATGAGGACCCAGATTGTGGGGGCAATAAACTGACTTTGTATTAAAAAAAAACAAACACCGCTTTGGGGGGGGGGCAAAGCCCTACTAAGCAGGTATATACAAAAGTATGAAGGCTATTGCTTAATTCATTGTAAGCCGCCCTGAGTCTCCGGAGAAGGGCGGCATATAAATCGAATCAATAAAATAAATAAATAAATATTTTTTTACGATGTATAATTCTAAAGATCTTCAACTGGCCAGGCCAGGAGATGTTGATCGAAGAAACAGAAGCAGCATTCTTGTGTGAAATAGTTCACTTATTTTACTGCTAATGGGGAAACTCCATGGCGATGCTATGGAGATATATAACTCGTGCAGCCACATGGATAGATGGAGAAAGACCCACCCACCTCCCCCATGGAAGTGAGGAACTCAACGCACAGCAGGTTTCAACTTGTCTTGGTCCTGAAAGGAGCTTCAGGTGACGATCTGGGGAGATTTTATGAAGGGTCGGCAGCTGCTATTCTCGGTAAAAGCTCCTTAATGCTTTGAGGAAGACGACGGTACGCAAATTTGAGCCTTTGCTTGGTGAGAAGTCGGCCAAGATGAAATGTAAGTGGTCCTGTCTTGCTTTCATTGTGGGGTGTATATGTGGATTAACTCAGAGGTGAATCATTTTACAAGAAGAGTCCTCCATTCTTCTAACTGCAATAAAATACCTTATGCCACCAGACTCCAAATTTTGGGCTTAGACAATTTAGAACTACGCTGACTTCGGTCTGACCTAAGCATAGTACATAAAATCATCTGCTATAACATCCTACCTGTCAATGACTACTTCAGCTTCAACCACAACAATACATGAGCAAATAATAGATACAAACTGAAGGTAAACTGTTCCAAACTCGATTGCAGAAAATACGACTTCAGCAACAGAGTGGTCAATGCCTGGAATGCACTACCTGACTGTAGTTTCTTCCCCAAATCCCCAAAACTTTACCCTTAGACTGTCTACTGTTGACTTACCCCATTCCTAAGAGGTCTGTAAAGGGTGTGCATAAGTGCACCAGCGTGCCTACCGTCCCTGTCCTAATTTTCCTTTTTACTTACTTACTTTTATCTCTATTTTGAAGGAGGAAAATGAGAAACTGCTAGGAACAAAGGAATATTGTTTGGGGGCAGAGATGCGGTTGGCTAAACTATTCGATGCCTACTCTTTGAGAAGAGAATTCAGGTGGATCAACAAAAGCATCTCAAGTAAAACGGAAAATGTTTTAACATTAATAAGGCATTCCTGCAATTAAACAAAGGCCTTTTCTATTTTACAAGACCTAGGAGGCTTTTCAAAAGCATTGCTTTTAATCCCAAATGACCAGATGCATGGTTGATCACTTCTATATCGGTGCCATCTGTTGAGCTAAACATTGTTTAGCTATCATTGTGTTCGGACACCGTCCAGCTTCTCCTTGTTTTCTTAGGGATCCTTGGATTCGCTTTCCTTTGGACATCCGTCGGGCTTTCTAGGTTGCAGTGTGTCCTGGAGAAAGAATATTTCTGCTCGTCCATCCCAAATGGTGAGAGACCTCTTCCAAAGATGGGGTTGGGATGGAATACTCACCCGTGTTTGCAAGCAACATCAATTGCTTATAAAATGGCCTTGGGGGGAGGGGGGGAAAGCCCATTGAATATTTCAGCAGCTGCCAAAAAAAAGAGCCTTGGTAGTACAGGGGTTTAAGGCACCCTGTTATTAAGCTGGTTATTAAGACCAGTTGCCTGCAATTACTGCAGGGTTCGAATCTCGCCAAGGCTCTAGGTTGACTCAGCCTTCCATCCTTTCTAAGGTAGGTAAATTGAGGACCCAGTTGTGGGGGCAATAAGCTGACTTTGTATAAATATACAAAAGGATGAAGGCTATTGCTTAACGCATTGTAAGCCGCCCTGAGTCTCCGGAGAAGGGCGGCATATAAATCAAATTTAAAAAAAAAAGCCAACCCAGTCCTAGGCTGCATAAACAGAGGGATAGAATCAAGATCACGTCAAGTGTTAATACCACTTTATAATGTATTGGTAAGGCCACACTTGGAATCCTGCATTCAGTTTTGGTCGCCACGATGTAAAAAAGATGTGGAGACTCTAGAAAGAGTGCAGAGAAGAGCAACAAAGTTGATTAGGGGACTGGAGGCTAAAACATACGAAGAACGGTTGCAGGAACTGGGTCTGGCTAGTCTAGTGAAGAGAAGGACCAGGGGAGATATGATAGCAGTCTTCCAATATCTGAGGGGCTGCCACAAGGAAGAGGGAGCCAAGCTATTCTCCGGGTAGAACAAGAAACAATGGGTGGAAACTATTTTGAGATATTAGATTTTTAATTGTTTAATGGGTTTTAGTCGTAAGGTTCTTAAATTTTTGGCCAAAGGGTATAATTCTTTTAAATTTTTAAATTTTGTATTGGATGTTTTTTACTTGGCTGTGCACCGCCCTGAGTCCACTAGGAGAAGGGCGGTATACTAATTTAAATAAAATAAATAAAAAATAAATAATCAAGGAGAGAAGCAACTTAGAACTAAGGAGAAATTTCCTGACAGTGAGAACAATTAATCCGTGGAACAACTTGCCATCAGAAGTTGTGAATGCTCCAACACTGGAAGTTTTTAAGAAGATGTTGGATAACCATTTGTCTGAAGTGGTGTAAGATTTCCTGCCTAAGCAGGGGGGTGGACTAGAAGACCTCCAAGGTGCCTTCCAACTCTGTTATTCTGTTACTATTTCTATTCCAGACTTCCCTGCAGGCCTCACATCCGTTCTCTTTGTGGTAACCAATCTGGGCGTTCTCAACTCCACCGTCTTCAAGAGTCCAACGTTGTCATCCGTCACCAGCCTCGCTTTAGCAAACAGTGGCATCCGCAGCATCGAAGCCGGCGCATTTCATGCTTTCCGAGGCCTCACCAAACTTAGCCTCTTTCAGAACAGTCTAACTTACGTGACAGCATCTTGGCTTTCCAAACCAGGATTACTCGAGAACTTCACGTTGGCCCAGAACCTCATGACCAAAATCGGACCCGAGACATTCTCTGGCTTCTCCAACCTTACCACTCTGAATGTAGCCGGCAATAAGATCTACGAAATCGCCAGTCAGAGTTTCAGAAGCTTATCCAAGCTGATGTTCCTTGATCTTTCCGGTAATAATTTAACCGGCTTAACGAGAAATGCGTTCGATGGGATGAGAAGGCTGCCGGTGATGAAACTGGGCGGAAACCCATGGAACTGTTTCTGTGAACATCAGGATTCTGTATTATTTCTTCAAGGTACGGCACTGGAAAAATGTCTGCTTTTTTTTAATAAGGGGAAAAAAATCCGAGATGATAGAATAAACTACTGATTTATCGCACACACACACCCCAATCCAGATACTGTTTTATGTTCCACTGAAAGAGTGCTGCTAGGTTTCATGAACCATCCCAAAGATGCTTTTTCTTTCTTTCTTTTTTTATTGAAAAAGTTTTTCAAATACAAATTTTTCCCCCTTTTTTCCCCCTCCTCCCTAACCCCCCTCCCCCTCCCCTCCCCTGTGGCTTCTTCAAAATAAAACCCAAATTCATAACAGATTATATAATACTTTACCATCCCCTTAGTCCATCCCCCATATGCTGACCCTTTCTTTCTAATAATATTATTATTTTATTTATTATTTATTATTATTATTAAAGATGCTTTTTCAAAAGGCAACTGGACTTTTATTTTTTCTTGAAGACGTTTCGCTTCTCCTCTGAGAAGCTTCTTCAGTTCTGACTGAGTGAAGTGAACTGAAGAAGCTTCTCGGAGGAGAAGCGAAACGTCTTCAAGAAAAAAATAAAAGTCCAGTTGCCTTTTGAAAAAGCACCTTTGGGACAACCATGACCTGAGAATTTCCATAGACGTTTCATGAACCAGATGTAGGAGAAGAGAGAGGGTCAAAGGGTAGGAGTCAAGAGAGGAATTACCGGGAATCATTACATTGTCATAAATGGTCTTAAATCCAACCTGTCTTGAATTCTATTAACTCTTATCTAGCACAGATTTAGTGCTGAAGGTTAGTTGATTAGATTCTTGTATATAAGTTTGAGCAATAAATCTTAACTGGAACTCAACGTGTGAACCTGTTCCTTCATGCCTGATACCACGGCTGCTTTCAGCCTACTGGGTGAGCCCTGCCAATGGTGGTTTGTTTAGCAAACCACGGGATTAGTCCACTGTGCAAACTCAGCTAATGTATCACGGTCTTCAACAACCTACAGTAGTGGCCAAAATTGTGGAAACCTTTTGGGGAAAAGTGTATTTTCTAAAACTAGCTAATAACACCACTTTTTTTTTTTTTTGGAGTAATACCATAAAATTATATATCAATGGAAAGATAATTTAATCAAGAATGTAATGCAATAACTTTTAGGAAGGATTTGCTATTAGAATAGCAATTACAGTATAAAGAAGAACAGTGAAACATGTAGAAAAAAAATGAGATATGCAAAAATGATCACCACGTCAGTTAATACTTTGTTGGGTAACCTTTAGCATGAATTACGGCCTTACGGCGTCTTCCCATAGAGTGAACCAAGTCTTTTAGTTCTGTAGCTGTTATCATATGAAACCAAGATGGAATGATGGCTTCTATTAACTGGGTTTCATTGCTGGGTCGCTTCTGACTCACAAGTTTCTTTCGTCAGCTCCATAGATTTCCAATTGGGTTAAGAAGATCTGGGCTATTCCCAGGCCATTCCAGCAGTGGAATAGGATTATCTTGAAACTCCAAAAAAAAAACCTTTTCCCAAAAGGTTTCCACAATTTTGGCCACTGCTGTAATGCCCTGATTTTGGGATGCTGTTGTTGTTTCTTCCTTACAGAGCTGTACAACATGTCACTGCTGCAGGATGCTACTTCTGCCGTATGTCACAGCCCACCAAGCATGAAAGGGATCCAAGTCTGGAACATCTCCAACTTCAACTGCACACCAGAATCCCCGTCGACGACTTTGGGAAACGGCTTCTATCAAATTGGACTACCAGTTTTGCTGGCTTGTTTAGGTACCGTTCCGTATTCCTGTTACGAGTTTCCAACTATTCTCGATGCAACTTTACGGTAGGAAGTGAAAGTGTTGACTAGGGCTGAGAAGAAGACCCAGCATCAAGTCCATTTGGCCAAGGTAAATTATTGGGTCTGAGACAGCGGTGAAATCCACTTAACTTCGCTACCGGTTCGGGAACAAGAGCACGCGGGAGCGCGGGAGCGGACTATGCACGTGCCTCTTCTGCACATGTGCAGATGGTAAAAAAAAGGGATGTAATGACATCCTAGTGGGTGGGCGGAGCCTCTTGCCGCTGGCGCTACCAGTTCGGCAAGCCGGATAGAACCGTGGGGGAATTCACTGCTGGTCTGAGGGGTCCTTGGTGCTCTCTGAGCTTGGTTGTTTTCTTGCAGACATTTCATGACCCAGCTAGGTAAATCATCAGTGCTAGAAGGAAGTAGGGTTTGTGAGAGGGAGGAGGAGGAGGAGGAGGAGGAGGAGGAGGAGGAGGAGGAGGAGGACGAGGAGGAGATTGTGGGGTCCTTGGTGCTCTCTGAGCTTGGTTGTTTTCTTGCAGACATTTCATGACCCAGCTAGGTAATATCATCAGTGCTAGAAGGAAGTAGGGTTTGTGAGAGGAGGAGGAGGAGGAGGAGGAGGAGGAGGAGGAGGAGGAGGAGGAGGACGAGGAGGAGATTGTGGGGTCCTTGGTGCTCTCTGAGCTTGGTTGTTTTCTTGCAGACATTTCATGACCCAAACTAGATAACATCATCAGTGGTAGTCCTAGTACTGATGATGTTACCTAGTTGTTGAATGCCAGGGAAATCAGGCAGTTCGAGCAGTTCAAATGAGTATAAAGATTTATTGCATGCTTAAGCTGTGTACAAGACTCTGACCAACTGGCAGCCAAGGGGAATGAGCGGGAGATAAGAGAGGCATTCAAGGTGGGCTGAATTTAGCTCTCTTGTGGATGTGACCTGTGATTTATGACTCAATCTGGTCACCTCCTACGCTAGTTTGGGTAATTAAAATGTCCGCAAAAAAAACAACAACAACCCCACAACCAAGCTCAGAGAGGTCCCCTCATTTCAACCCTGAGCTACAAATATTCTCCTTTATTGGTATCATTAAGTCTGTTGTACCAATGTAGAACAAAGTATTAGAAATGTTCTAGCAGCTAAAGGAGATATATTTCTTTCTAATACGTTTTCCTTGGATATCTACCCAATGCCGTTCTATTTTGCACTACAACTTCTTTGGATTTTTGCTTTCACCATTTCTAAAACTCGTCCATGTACCTTAGGCGCTTGATCAGAATTATGTCTCTTCCTGCTTCAAATTTTTGCCACTGAATGCTTCATTTCAAAATGGGTATATGATTTATTTTTGGAGTTAATTATCTTTCCTTCCTTTTTTTTTTTTTTTGGCAGTATTTATTTCCTTCCTCTTCCTGATGTTTGGGATATGGATGGCGAGATACGCCAGCAAACGCATCCAGCCAAGCCAGGAGGCCATGGAACCGTCGCCCACTCCGGAACCCAAGACTCAGATTGATTCTGTAGAACGTCAATTCGCGGCTAGAGAGAATGAAAACCAAGAGAGGACGACAGCTTCGGGAAACAGAAGGTTGAAAATCCGTGCCAGGTCTGCCTCAGCCATTTTACTGAGAAAAGAATTCTACCGAAGGCAAGAAAAGTCTACAGGTGCAGACCAAGAACCACCAATAATGCCTTTCTGGTCCCAGAGTGACAAAATGCAGATTGAAAATGAGGATTTGCATCCTTTTTCAGGAATGTGGAATTATCAGAAGCTGGAGGAGCCCTGTGAAGTAGAGTCTCGGAGCCACATCAAGGCAAACCCAGTCGTGATGGAAGTATGTCGAGATACTTCCGAGACTCATGTTTGTTCTGAAGCCTCAGACCGAATAATCCAAAATAATGGAGATTCTACCCTTCTTGAAAAGGAAAACATGGTTCCTCCTGAACCTTTCCTGTATTTAAGTGTGACTACAGCCCCTGAAGAACAGACTGAGGTCAAACCCCAAGAGGAGGTGACTTCAAAGGATGAGGGTCATGTGTTGAGGCGTTCGTTGACATGGCCTTTTGAAAGGAAGGTTGGGGGTCAAGGATCCGATGGGTTGAGTGTCAGGGAATCATTCACAGCACAGTTCTGGCTCTCCCCTCTTCACCGTGGCGAGGTGTTGAAAGTGGAGAAACCAACATTTGATCAAGAGTGGCTACATCTATCTCCCAGGAAGGGAGATCTTTGGGGCTTTGATGGCCATCAAGAGGACGAACACAAAGATGAGTTAACCAATGAAACAGAGCCTCCACTTTATAAAGAATCCAATCCAGAAACTAGAGATGCAGGGAAGATAGAATTGGACAAAAAACTACAACCTCTACATGATTTACATAGATCTCAGAGCAAGACTAGCCAAGTCAACAATGATAGGAGGAAGGTAGACTTTGAAGGAAGACCAGCCAACTTTTCAGAACTTGCTCTTCAGAAAGCAGTTCCTCCAGGGTGTACACAGACTGTTCAGACTGATATCAGAGCACCTAAGCTATCCACAGGGCTAAAAACCAAACAATTTTCAAAGCCGGTGTCTTCTCAGTCCAGAAACCTCCAGAAAGCAAACACATCCCCACCGTCAAGAATGACGTTCGCCAGTTCTTCGTATGAAGATGACGCTGCATCGCCCACAAACGAGTCTAAGTACATCAACCTGCTGCATGAAGTGGTGGAGAATCGGGGCCGGTGGACACGAGAGCGATGGAAACTGACCCACCAGAGCTGTGCTTTTCTCCAGCCACCCACCAAATCCATGTAGGTCTCTGTGGCCTTCAACCCAACACTCCAAAATTGAGACGACCCAGGGGACTGACTCTTCTGGTCCTGAGTAGAACACCAACTTCCTTTGAAGTTCCATGAGATCAAAAGACAAGACTTGGGAAGGCATCTATACAATGACTCACAATGATGTTCTAGAATACTTTGGGTATGTTCTGAAGCTATCTTCTGGGAGGTGAGGAGGGTGGTGCCGAACACCCTGATATGCACCTTTGGTGAGAATCCATTGGTCCATCTCTCTCTCTCTCTCTCTCTCTGGGAAAAAAAATAATCCACCCCACTGTGCATCTTTTCAAAATTATCTTGAGAATGGAAACTCAAAGGAAGGTTAGCATTCCCTCAACTTGGCACTTCAGGGGAAGTCTCAATTCTTCCCAGCTGTTGGGCCAATGATATGAAGTCCCAAAGCCACTTCACCAGGTTGGGAAGGCTGCCATAAGGACAAATAATTAAAATATGCTGCATTAGTGAATTTTAGAATGATTGTTTATCCAGTTTGCCAATTGTAGTGGGACTTTATTGGAAGGGGGGAAAGATGGAACGAGCTTTTCCTTGTTTTTACGTGTGTTGTGATTCAATACACACATACACAATATTGAGGGTGAAGGTTCGTTCTCCGAGCTCCACAAAACCTGGACAAAGAACCTTCATCCTTCATCCTACACCTGAGCCGCAGATATTCACCGCTATTGCAACAAAAACACAATTGTCAGCTTTGGAAAGCATATTGTTGGCCCTCGTTCGAAGCTCATAGCAGCCTTGGTGAAATTCAAATGATAAAAGTTAGTAGGTAATTTGATTTTGTTTGATAAGTGACTTGGGTTGCGGTTCAGGGTAATTGAGGACGTCTTGTTCACCAAAATCCACTTTGCAGATTTTTTTTTTTTAATAATACGGACCGATTCTCTGTCCTCGTTGTGATGCTGGCGATCTGAAATTTGCTTTGCAGTGAACTCAGGCAACGAGCTAATTCATCTCTTGTATTGATCGAGGGAATATGTTTTATGAGGAAAGGTCCCTGATCCCTTCCGTTTGCATGTTTCTGTAACGCAGACGTGGAATGTTCAAAGTGTTTAATCTATTTTGAAATCTCTGCAAGACCACAGCTCTTTCGGCTGAATAAAAATAGCAAAGGATGCATAATGTAAACTGGCTGGATTTGAATTCCTTGCTCAGATATTTTTAAAAACTTGGGGACGGGGTGTGTGTTTCTTTTTCTCTTGTCAACTCACCTCACCCTAAAATAAAATAACGGCCATCCAATTTATCCCGTACACAGTTTATACACAGTATAGGATTCTTGTATCCTTTAGTCCAGTGATGGCAAACGTCTGTGGCACTGAGGGCCAAAACTGGAGTGTGTGCTGGAGTGCTGGAAGAGAGCAGCTGGACAATGTGCATGTGCACAGTAGCCAACTGCTCTTCCGGGTTCCGTCGTGCACATGTGTGCTGGCCAGATGATCTGGCGTACATGTGCACCGGACAGCTGTTCTCTTCCGGGTTCTGGCATGCACATGTGCTCCGGCCAGCTGGTCTTGGCGTGTAGACCAGCTGGGAGGTGCACATGTGTGCCACCTCTGGCATACGTTCACCATCACGGCTTTAGTCCATTGGGGGTACTAAATTTATGCTGAGTGAGTCACTTAAGCTACCAGCTACCAGCCCTGGACGACATCTTTGAATCTCGCTGTTTGAGAAAGTTGCATAACATTCTCAGAGACTCTTTCCATCCTGCTTACAATCTTTTTGGACTGTTGCCTTCCAACAGAAGAAACAGAACAATTAAAATTCGCACCATAGTTGAATAGTTTTAATCCCAGAGCTATAATGACACTCAACAAATGAACTAAAGGGCCACCATCAGTGAGCTGTTGGACAGCATTACTTGGTCTGTTGTGAGGATGTTTGGGTGGTTTAGGGGTGGGGAAGTTGTGGTGGGTGGGAGTGGGTTTGGGGATTGTTATGTGTGTTGGGCCTGGTCTTTGGGTGTTAAGTGAATTTCGTTGTATGGGTATACTGTTACGTACAATGACAATAAAGTTATTATTATTATTATTATTATTAAGTAACTATCGGTAACTCAACAAAGGTCTTTCAATTCAAGAGGTGTGATTTTTTTTAAAAAAAATGTTGGGTTTAGGGTGCGGTGTGAACTTAGGCACTGTGGTTTATTCAGTAAACCACAGTTCCTAAATTCACACTGCACTATAAACCCAACGTTCAGTCAACCACAGTTTGCCAAACCACAGTACAAGCAAAAACAGGTTATTCCAAGTCCTCCTTTAATCCCACGGAATTCAGTGTCTCTTCTCTAAAACAAGCTCTGTGGTCTTTTAAGCATTTATTCAGCAAAACATTCAGCTCTACTGCTCTCTTCCTCGGGGTGAGTAAGCCACCGACAAGAAGAAAGAGTTGGACAATTAAGAGCTGTCCTTGATCCGGCAAACCCAATCTCCCTTCATGGATGTGGTCAAGAGAACGCTACAAAGGAATGGTAAGTGGGACATCCTTATTTGTTGCATTCTTGTCTGGGGATCTTGGGAAACAGGGAGCTGATAACCATTCCAAGGGAGATGGTGGCCTTTCCTGTGTTTGAATTCGGCAGGTATCGCAGGATGTGTGGCTCTGTTGTTCCTTGATTTAAGGAACGTTCTTCCTTGCCCTCCCATCTGCCAGCTGTGCTCCACAGATACAGTCGAATGTGAGGATGTGTCTTCACTCCAAGAGGGTGAGCATCTTCAGTGCTTCTAAGCTGTTCCTTTCTCCTCCTGTTGTTTCCATCAACGGATAACTTACAGGCTATTCTCATGCCATGGTGGTGGTACATATGCAAGAGTTTTTGGTTAACAACATTTGGGAATGGACTTCTAAGCCCAGTTAAACATGTGGAAGCAACAGTTTGAACTCGCTTCCCTCGCTAAACTCATTTACTGTTGATTAACAGAATGGGACGCGGTGGCTCAGTGGCTAAGATGCTGAGCTTGTTGATCGAAAGGTCCGGCAGTTCAACGGTTCAAATCCCTAGTGCTGCGTAACAGGGTGAGCTCCCGTGACTTGTCCCAGCTTCTGCCAACCTAGCAGTTCGAAAGCACGTAAAAAATGCAAGTAGGAAAATAGGGACCACCTTTGGTGGGAAGGTAACAGTGTTCCGTGCACCTTTGGCATTGAGTCATGCCGGCCACATGACCATGGAGACATCTTCGGACAGCGCTGGCTCTTCGGCTTTGAAATGGAGTTGAGCACCCCCCCCCTAGAGTCGGGAATGACTAGCACATATGTGCGAGGGGGATTTTTACCTTTAACAGAATGACAGAGTTGAAAGATCTCCTAGTCCATTGTTCTCACTTTCAGGAAATTTCTTCTTAGTTCTAGGTCGGTTCTCTCCTTGATTAATTTCCATCCGTTGCTTCTTGTCCTGCCTGATAAGTTTCCTTACAGTTTTATGAAGGTCTGCTTTGCAAATGTTTATCCACTTGGGAAATGCAATGATCGCAAGAGAATGAGCACAAGTTATGCACATGCACAATCAAAAATCCCCCCTCTAATGTAGTGTATTTTATTGATTGGTTAAAAAAAAAAAGCAAATTAAACCAGTTTTCCAGAATCATCACAATGGCTGGAATTATGGTGATTCTGGAAGACTGGTTTAATCCAGGAGTTCCCAAACTTGACAACTGTTTAGATGGGTGAACTTCAACTGTCAGAATTGCCCGGGGAATTCTGGGAGTCGAAGTCCACATGCCTTAAAGTTGCCAAGACTGGGAACCCTGGTTTAATCAGTCTTTTCACCCATTGGAGAAAGGGAACATTCGGAGCAAACCTGGGTTAGAATGCTAGGTTAGTATCTCAGAGTCGGCTCCAAAGTTAGTTCCGTTCAGCGGACACCAGATTTAATCAGTTTGTTGAGGTCTACAATTTTGGCCTGTGCATCCTTGATGCTTTCTTTCGAAATTGTTACTACAAAGGATAACATCAGTCCAGAGTTGGAGACATCTAGTAGGTTCAGTTCACTCTGCTCCCCTTCCAAGCATCTTCATTTTACGTTGCAGGAGGAAGATTCGCAGTCATCTTCTAAACGAGAAGAAGTTGTCTAGAAGTTGAGTCATGGCAACTGGAGTTCTTTTCTTTCTTTGGTTCCAAGCCAAAAAAAGAACAGAAGTCCAAGTCATGGCAACTGGATTGAAACAAAACAAAAAAAGGGAAAAAAAGTCCATTTGCCATGACTCAACTCCCTGATCTCTCTCCAGGTGTTTTCAGAAATCAAAACATTGATACCCGACATGTTATTTTCATTCTAAGTTTTTCTTTCTGTTCCTTCTTCGATGTTTCCAGTCTTAATAGCTTTGCCAAGTTCCACCCAGCAGATCCTTCTACAGCAAGGGAACCTTAGTGAGATCCCTCCTCTGTCCTTCAGCAATTTCACCAGTCTTTATTTCTTGTCGATCACCGGATTCCTGGTCTCCTCTTTGGCCGACTTCACCTTTTTCACACCTTACGTCAACCCCCTGAAGATTCTGGATCTCAGCAACAACCAGCTGGTCAGTTGTACAATTGAGCCTTTGGCTTTCTCTGGTCTTCTGTATCTTGAAGAGTTGGTTCTAGCCAACAACAGCTTGGACATTTTGAAGGGGACGTGGTTCATGGAGATGCCGAAACTCAAGAAACTCTCCCTTGCCCTTAACAGAATCACCTACCTTCCCCCAAGGACCTTTGAGAACTTAAACACGCTCGATGAACTGGTGGTCTCCTCCAATATGATTCAGTATCTCCCCATGGATGCTTTTTTGGGCTTGGATTCCTTGACCAAGCTGGACTTGTCAATTAATAAAATCTTCTTTATCAACCAGAAAGCCTTCCAACCTTTGCAAGCACTCCAAGATCTCTTGTTATTCCAGAACAGGTTGACCACTTTACCGACTCTCCCGGATTCCATCAAGTTCCTGGTTCTTCACAGAAATCCCTGGGTTTGTAACTGCCAGTTGATCCAGTCCATGCAATCGGTGGAGGCTAAAATCCAATCGCCTACTGGAGTCACTTGCGAAAGACCCTCCTTTCTTGCAGGACACCAAGTGACCAGCAGCAAGTTTCTGGGGTGTGATCCATCACCTTCCAGCTATTTGTCTTCCCATCTGTTCTCAACCATCGATTTTCCGCCTTTGCGATCAGGAACTTTGAAGCTGATCTGTGGTTTGTTAGGTAAGGCATCATTGAAGCGGTCATAAATTCGAGTTACATGGACCGATCGCAATGTTTTCCATTGTTTAATCCAGACTGAGAGTAGCCAACCTCTTGACCCTTTGAACTTTCAATTTCCATGATCTGTGGTTAGCGATTAGGGGATGCCACTTAACAGAATAGTAAGTTGGACCTTGGAGGTCTTCTAGTCCAACCCCCTGCTCAAGAAGGAGACCCTATACCATTTCAGTTACTTGGAGGACTAGTTCAGAACTAGTTATGTTCTAGATTTCTACACACAGAGAGCCAGCGTGGTTAGAACACAGTATTGCAGGCTAATTCTGCCGACTGCCAGGAGTTCGATCCTGATGGGGCTCAAGGTTGACTCAGCCTTCCATCCTTCTGAGGTCAGTAAAATGAGGACCCAGATTGTTGGGGGCAAGAGGCTGACACTGTAAACCGCTTAGACAGGGCTGTAAAGCACTATGAAGCGGTATATAAGTCTTAAACGCTACTGCTATTAATGGGTAGAGCAGTTTCCCTACTTAGGCTTTTGCTAAAGGTTTTAACCCATCACTGCCATCTTTCTGATTACAAGTAGTCCTTGTTTTGTGACTGGCTCATTGAGTGGCCACCTGCAGGTACAACTTTGCAACCAGTCATCGCGCTTAGGAACTTTGCGGGTCTGAAAAGCAAAGGAAAGCTTAAGTAAGATCATCAAAGGGTAATCCTGGTTTCATTTGGTGACCGCTTCACTTAACAACCAAGTTGCCAGTCCCAAACATGGTTACTAAATGAAGACTACCCTGCACTGGCTGCTCTACCTGAGACTGATGGGAGTGATAACCCAAAGTCTAGGTTCTCCATCTATGTCAGGGTTTGTCAAACTTGATTTCATTGAGGGCCGTGTCAGGGTTGTGTTTGATCTCTGGGGGACCAGGGTGGGTGTGGCCGGGGTGGGCATGGCCAGTTCGACATCACTCATGTTGGGGGCGCCTATGGTGGTCCGAGCGCTCTGCCAGCGAAATCGGGCTCCCGAGCTCCGTTTTCGGCTGAGACAGCCTCCTGCAACCCTCTGCCAGTGAAAACAGAACTCAGGAGGGCTGTCCGTGGTTCCCGCGAGCTCCGTTTTTGCTGGTAGAGGCACTGCAGGCCAGTCCTTTGCTGTTTTCAGGGCATCCCTGTGGGCCAGATTTAAGCATCCTGCAGGCCAGATCCGGCCCCTGAGCTTTGAGTTTGACACCCCTGATCTAGGTTCTCCATTAATCCATGTGTTTAATGTCTCTCGATATAGACATAAAAAGAGCACAATAATTAGCACGTAAGGATTTGCTTTTTCCCCATTTTCACTTTGGTACCCTCAGGTGGCTTTTTCCTTGGTTTCACCGTGAGCCTGTTCTGCTGTTATTGCCTTCCCAAATGTTGCAGCTGCCAATCGCCCTTCGCAAATCAGTCAAGGAATACAAAGGCTCTTTCGAGCAGCGGGGTCAAACCTTCCGTGAATCCAGGAGGGAAAACCTCCGGCGGGGATTCCCAGATCCTTTCCGGTCTTCCGGCTGCAGAGAGCTCGGCTTTGGAAGGAGGCCGCTTCGCAAGAGGAACCCGCTGTGGGCCGTTTGTCTCCCCTTCTCAAATTTGCTACGGGGAGCAGGTGAGATTCCAGAGTCCGCTGGTTGCCTATTTATCCGTGGACCCAATGGGTCGAAGCATTGTGGCCTTCTGTGAGAAAGGACACGAAGCAAGATGTCCAGTCTTCGGCCAGCCTGGCTATCCAGCTCTCCAGGACCATACCAACAAGGGGACCGAAGTCTCCAGGGATGGTGGCATCCGAGACCAACGCTGCCCCACATGCATGCAAGGGTTAAGGGGTTCCCGTGTTCTACCTGCCACTATTGATCAGATAGCAAAGATGCAACCAGGTGAGTGAATCAACCACAGTAAGTTGGCTGTGTTGAAATTAGCCATGGTAGGTTGGCCACGGGAAGTTGTGTGATGACCTGCGGCGTGGCACAAAGGCAACACAGCCAGAGAACCGGTATGACTCCCTTTATTGGCACCAACTTTTCCCCCAACATCCCATTTGCACTCTGGCCTGGGGAAAAGCTCTCCCACAAACCTGCAGCAACTTCTGGCTGCAGATACTCCAGTCCAAATGCTGTAAGCAGAATGACTGCAATCAATCACTCCAGCAGGGCAAAATAAGGAGTCCCAGATGGGAAGAATAATCCCAGCAAGACAAGCTAGGCACACAGTAGTATGGCAGTAATTCAGTGAGGAAGGAATGCCAGGAATGCAGGCCACAACTCTCAACACCAGATTAATTCTGCATTTGTTCTGGACAAACGCCCCTCCCAACTGTCTCTCCTTTAAACTCCATCCCCAGGTGTGCCTTGTGAAGGGAATCGGGGCCCTTTCCTTCCTCCTAAGCCACGCAACCCACGTTGCTCTCTTCTGCGTTCTTCCCTGTGTGCTCTAGGATGAGGAGGGGGTGGGCCTTGATTTTCATCTGAACCCCCTCTTCCTTGTTCTACCTCTCCCCTGCTCTGCCCAGCCTGACTTTGCCCTTCCCCAATTTCCTCCACAGCCAATGGAGCCACTCTCTCGCTCTCTGTCAGCTGTTCGTCTTCCAGCTCAGATTCATACTCACGACGGGGGCATGACAAGTTTTCCCATTCCGTACTTTAGAACGTCCTCTGGGATGCTATTAGAGGTTCTTGCTTTTCCAACCACTCTATTATTTATTCCAGGCTCGGGAGAGCAAGTAGATCACCAGATGAACAGCCAAACTTGGCATCCTGAGATTCACCTTAGAGACACTCAGCCTTTGCCAGCTCTGGTCCATATAGATTTCCCTGACGGAAGCGCCATGAAGATCGAACACAACAGAGCCGCTTCTCGTACGTCTCCTTCCAAGAGAAACGAGTCTCATGAGAGCAGAAGCTACCCCCAGGCTTCTCCCAGTTGCTTGAGGAGAAAGAGGCGCAATCATGGGCATCCCCACCACCAATCCCAAATTGGCTTCGCATCTCCTGAAAGTAATTCGGCTTCTGACTTGAGACACTGGCAAGAAAGTTGGACGGGGAGGAAAGATCCCAGAAGGTCTGATCTTCACCTCACCTTTGCAGACCCGCCCAATAAAAGCCAGAGATGGAAACGTTGCCCTCTACATCCAACCCATGAGGTGACCTCCACTCCTTCTCTTTCTAGCGTGTCCAGCCAACCAGAAGCAAACAGGTTCCATCACTTGAACGAACCTTGTCCCAGATGGTTCTCGGTTCCTCATTGTCCTGGGAAAAGAACACGAGCATCTCAGGAGTTTGAGAAAGCTCAACAAGCTGGAGAAACGTTTCTCAGCCATAGGAGGTCTAGGAGCAGACGAGAAGACCCAAGGTGCCTTACCAGAAAGGAATCCACCCTGAACAGGATCTGGAAATGCCAAAACTGTGGTTGCGAAGGCTCTGCCCCTTGTTCTGTGAATACAAGGAGATCTGCTCAACCAGGCATTGATCCAAGGAGGACATTTCTAGATGCCAGTACTCAATGGTCCTCTACCGATGCAGTCCGCCTTAAAGGTAACATACCAACTGTGTTTGTCTATGGAGATTCTCAGTCATCCAGGTCATGGTTGTCCCAAAGGTGCTTTTTCAAGAGTCAACTGGACTTTCTGGTTTTTCTGTGAAGACATTTCGCTTCTCATCCGAGAAGCTTCTTCAGCTCTGACAGAATAGTGGGGAATGGAAGGATTTATATTCCTTGCAGACAGCTGGTCATTTGCATCCTTTTAGAGGTTACTTGGAGGTTTATCTGGGGTGATCCTGAGGACACAAAACCTCCAAGTGGCCTCAATGACTCTCTAAAAGGATGCAAATGACCAGCTCTCCGCAAGGAGTATAAATCCTTCCATTCCCCACCATCCAGTCAGAGCTGAAGAAGCTTCTTGGATGAGAAGCGAAACGTCTTCAAAACAAAAAAACAGAAAGTCCAGTTGCTTCTTGAAAAAAGCACCTTTGGGACAACCAGCTGTGTTCCAACAACACAAATAACCTACTTACCAGTTTAACCCATTTTAGCTCACAAAATACATATAAGCCCAGATAGGTTTTGTAGCCTAATACAGGTAGCCCTTGGCTTACAACACTTCACTTAAAGTTACGACGACACTGAAAAAATGCAACTTATGACGGTTTTTCAGTTACGACTTTTGCAGTAGCCCCAAAATCATTTGATCAAAATTCAGGTGCCTGAGCCCAAAATTTCTGTTGCTAAGTGAGGCAGTTGTTAAGTGATTCCCCCCCCATTTCACGACCTTTCTTGCCACAGTTGTTAAGTGAATAATAGGGGATCACATGACCCCCGTCATAAATATGAACCTATTGCCCAGCCTCTGAATTTTTATCACATTACCACGGGGATTCTGCAACAGTTGTTAAGTATGAAAAACGATCCTAAGTCACTTTTCCCAGTGACGTCGTAACTTTGAACGGTCATTAAATGAAACAAGTTTAGACTATACCTGTATTTGATAAAATGAGACCTGCGATGTGACTCCATTCCACATTTTCCGTAATATTTTTTTTCCCCTTTGTTCTACGTGAACAAAGAAGGAAAAAAAAACCCTCGGATAGTTATCATTAGAATCGAAAGCCATTTTTTAAACCCATAAAACTACAATTCCCAACTGGCGCAGTCAATTAAGGCCAAAGGTGAAAAAGAAACATCGAATGTGGAATCCTAGGGCTGGAGGGGACCTCAGAGGTCTTCTAGTCCAAGTCCCAGTTCAAAACAGGAGGCCGTGATGGGTTTGATGAGGATGACCGCTTGAGTCATCAACATGGACTAACGGAAGGAAAGATCTTCACCCTGTTCTGACCTAGACTCCCTTAAAAAGCAGGAAGCAGGAATTGGTCCCGGCAAAACCTCTTTTATTTACACGACTGTGAATTACTTTCATTCACAGTCAGCAAGGCTTGCCCAAATAGTTTTTCAAAGGAATATTTATCAACACAGACCTTATCTCGCTTGGCAAGCTGCCACGTAACTTGTTTCCAAATGCAGAGTAAGGCCAAACTTGGCACAGAGTCTCTTAGAGTCACGAACAGAACTTTACACTCTTGAAACGACCGAACGAACGAATTGTTTCCTGCAAAAGCCCCCTCCCCGTTCGCTTCTCTTTTGTTTCCTATGGAAGGGGCCAATCATCTCCAAGGTGTGGCTTTACTCCCAAGTCGACCCTGCTTTCTGAGTTGTTCTTATCCTCTGGCAGCTCTGTGCATGCGCACACTGGGAACAGGCTCCAGCTGTTCCTCGACCTCGCTGCTGTCTACCTTCTTCTCTGCCTCTGATGCAGAGCCCTCGTCCAAGATTTCCCCAGCCCCCAGAACTGGCCCATGTTCCCCCCCAGCCTCCTCACTGTCTGACTCCGCTGGCCACTGCTGGTCCACAACACACCCCTCAAATAGCATCCATTCTTCTTGAACTAGGGTAGGGCCAAAGCAACCATCTTAATGGGTTTTCCCCTCTTGATTTTGCAGAACATGAATTTGCCCTAACTTTTCTGGGTGCTCCACACAATATCGCGAAGACGCGGTCAGAAGAACGCTGGTTAGCGGCTTGTTTCCCAAACTTCCAGCCCAGCTCTGTCCGAGCCCATGGTCCAGGTGAAATAGATTCCATCTACGAGTATCCTTCTCCGTTGCTCAGCACAACCGCCTTCCACCCGCCCTCCGTGTTCGTTGAGGGTCCCATGACAGAGTCAATACGGAAGCATCAGAACCACTCGACGGATTTCCTTAAGGTCCCAGACACCGAACCTACGTCTCTCGCGGATCCTTTGGCAGACCGATGGCCTCCAGAGAAGAAAGCGTTCAGAAGCTTGGGTGAAGAAGTCCAACGTTCAGAAGAAGAAATTCTGTTGGAGGCCATTGCATTGGACGGTGAGAAGCCTTCGGAGGACAGTGAAGGAGATCCAGTGACTCCATCCCCCGTTGTCAGTGGCTTCTCTTTCAGAATGGACGCAAATCCATCTTTGCAGGAGCTGCCTGTCTCCATCAGGGGCTGTAGTCAAGTCACCTTTTCGGCCATCCCAGAAGATACCAATCCAAAGACTTGCAGCATCATGACCCTTTGCCCTTTGGTTCACAAGATGTTCCAGATTGATTTTCCCCTTCCAGCCGAGGAGGAGGAGGAAGCCAAACCATTTCAAGGTGAAGAATGAGGTGGATAACGCACCCAACCAACAGAACGTATCATTCTATCGTTGACTCATTCCCCACTCTGTTTTGTATTTCGGCTTGAATAAAGGTTTGGTTGAAGATCGGAAAGCTGTAACTTCTTCTGTGATTGGAAAGACAGAGGCCTTAAACGTTTACAGACTTATGACCTCAGCTGAGCCCTAAATTTCTGCTGCTAATACTATAGTAAAAAAAAAAATAGGCAAAATATATAGCAGTGGCCAAAATTGTGGAAACCTTTTGGGAAAAGTGTATTTTTGAGGTTTGATGGCTAATAACACCACTTTTTTTTTTTTTTTTGGAGTTTCAAGATAATCCTATTCCACTGCTGGAATGGCCTGGGAATAGCCCAGACCTTCACCCAATTGAAAATCTATGGCGCCGACTGAAGAAATATGTTAGCCAGCAATAAAACCCAGTTAATAGAAGCCGTCATTCAATCTTGGTTTCACATTATAACAGCTGCAGAACTAAAAGACTTGATTCACTCCATGGGAAGACGTTGTAAGGCCGTCATTCGTGCTAAAGGTTACCCAACGAAGGATTAACTGACGTGATCATTTTTGTATATCTCGTTTTTTCTATGGTGATAATTTTTGTATAATCTCATTTTGTCTACGTGTTATATTTGTCTTCTTTATACTGTAGCTGCTATTCTAATAGTAAATGCTTCATAAAAGTCATTGCATTACATTCTTAATTAAATTATCTTTCCATTGATATATAATTTTATGATACTACTTCCCCCCTCCAAAAAAAGTGGTGTTATCAGCTAGTTTTAGAAAATAAACTTTTCCCAAAAGGTTTCCACAATTTTGGCCACTACTGTAGTATTCTATTAATGCCGAGCTTTCCAGAAAAAAGGAAGAATGAAAATATTTAAGTAATCACAATATATAGAAAGTAACTCTTCAAAAATGTATTTTTTTCCTCTCCTTTATTCCATTTGCTTTTGTAGCAGCGGTTGTCCCAACAAATAAAAATGTCTTTAGATGAAAAAATATATATATTTAGGACCAAGATATTTTATTTTCAAAAGAGGGACTTATGTCCTGAAGTCAGTCTTGTTTAAGAAATATTTTCTGTGGATGCTGCAAACCTTACATCATTTTGGAATCAGTTCTCTTGGTGCAATGTAACACCATCTAAAGGAAACTCTTTTAACTAAGCACATTAAAAATAAATATTCTTCATTTTAGGGACATCCAGTTGGCAGGAATGCTATAAAAATAAAGTATTTATTTTACATAGGTTGTTAATTCAAGAGGAATAGTAAAAACGAAATGCTCTGATCCAAATAGCCGTACTGAAATAGATCCCCCCCCACCCCCTGATTTAGGATATAAATGAAGTTGAATTTTGAAAGTCATGTTGGTCCCATAAAGAGAAGTCAATGACGGAGAAGAACAGATTCCATGCCATTGGGTTTAGGTGTCCAGTAGAGAGAAGCGAGATTGAACATGACACTTTGCGTTGACCCAACTTCCTTTGAAAGGAAGTCGCCACGCAACAACGCACCCACCCTGCCTTCGGTTGAGAGAAAAATGATTTAGCGAATCGTGGCTGTGTTCCTACAGCACCCTTAACCCGGGTTAGTGAACTAATTCCTTCGACTGAGGTTGCATAAGACTCGTCAAAACAACTTCACAAGGCACACCTGGAGTTGTGTCATCAAAAAAATGAAATCTATTGTGCTGTGTGAATGCAACCACTTAATTTTGCCACTGACCTTGTGGAAGGTGGGCTCTGAGCCTTGACGTTCTTCTGCGTTGGTGAGCTGGGTCTTTCTTCTGCTCCAGATGGATGAGGCTTCTCCTATGGCACATGCGCGCCCCCTTGGTTTACACCAATGAAGACATTTTCACGAGTTGTGGTATATTTTTAATTGTTTTTTTTTTCTTCTTTCCCCCACCCCAACAACCCCTCTGAAACGATAGAAAAGTTTAAAACCAAGTGGTGTAGGAATCGTCCATCCACAAGAGGAGCTAAAGTTCTAAGCTTCTCCAGCCACCTGGAGTCTTTTGAGAGAAGAACCCAGAACGAAGACCAGGAAACAGGGGAGGGGGGGTTCACTCATACCAGCTCTGCAGATCTGGAGTCCAGCTTGAACAAAGTCATCTTTTTAAACCTGCTCAATGCAAAGTACAATGGAGGTCCCCTGAAAAAAACGTCTTCTTCCCCAAAACATCTTCTTCCCCTTCCTAAGTTTATTGGTAATTTTGATGCAGTTCCATGCATGAACAAAAGAGATGTATTTTCCATGCAGGAAGAGGGAGTTACTCAGAGCTGCGTCTCGTCTCGAGTTTCAGGGTTTGCCTTCTTATGACTGCTGTTCTTTCGACTGTGGCCTTCGTTTTCCACATGTGCGAGCGGGTCGGGTCGTATTAAATACCTGGGGAGAAAGGAAGATGTTTGTATAGGGCTGCGTGTCAACCTTGGCAGCTTGAAGATGTGTGGATGTCAATTCTCAGAATTCCCCAGAATGTCAACTCGCAAAGCATCCCTGGCCTGTTCTCGAGTTGCCATAGGCAAAGGGGGATGGGAAACCGATAAAGTAGCATGGCAAGCCAAAGACAGGAGTACATTCCAGACATATCTTTCTCAAGGCTGTCTCCCAGGGTGACCCACAGTCGCCAGAGGGGAGTGATCTCTACAACCCGCGAAATTGCTCCATTGGTGAATGTGATAGATGACACACTTTGGGGGGGGGAGCGGGAAACAGGGTCATGATTGGGGCCGTAAATTACATGGGGTCAGAGCTGGCTTCATTTGGGAACGTGCTGACATGAAGCTCCTAATAAATAACTGGATTTCTTCTGAAGCTTGGCTTGAGGCTTATGATTTAATTAGGGCATCCATCGGAACCCTGACACAGACAGCCTTAATGGATGACGAATTCTGGAAGTTGAAGTCCACACTTCTTCAAGTTGCCAAGATTGAGATATACTCTGGTTTAGGGTCAGATTGCTCAGTTTATATCTTGAGGTGGATGGTAGCACCAAAGTTCTTCAGATGATCCATAGTTCAGGATCCTCTCTCACCCCAGCCAGCCAAAATCTTGTGAGACTCATGAGACTACACAGCATTAAGAAAAGGGCTTCAAGGTAATTTTGGTGTCTCAGCAAAAACATCTGGAAGACGATCGAGCATATCAAAACACCTGTGGGCCCAACACTACTGATTTACCCAGTCATTTTCTAAAGTCATTTATTTGTAAAATTTATTGGCCACTCGTCCGACTTTGATAGAACAGCTCTATCAAAAGCTATCAAAGAAAACATAATTGCTCCAGCAGAAAGAAAAAGGAGAGGGAATTGCCTTGATGGAGAATTTTGAATTCAAAATCACTGTATTCCCCCATGACATTAAGAAGCTTAGTAACCTTGATGCTGCCCAGTCTTTGGCAAGTCAAAGCAGGAGTGGAAGTGAATTCGTGTAACTGTTATTTATCATAGGAAGTTCTCACATTTTTGTTCAGTATATTTCTTGGGTCTTTTTTTTAAAAACATAATTACAGTTTAAAAACAACACCGTGACATTCAGGAGCATTGCATGCGTTGGGAAAAACAGGGTACAAAAAGATTAACAGATTAACAGAGTTGGAAGGGATCTTGTTAGATCATCTAGTCCAACACTCCACCCAAAATATATATCCTGATATAAGGCTGGCAAAGAAAATATGAAGAGTAGGAACCAATGCTTGGGGAAAAGTTCACTCATGTTCACATAAACTTCTAAGCCAGTTAAATCAGTAAATCAATGTGGGAATGGTTTAAATTTCAGGTTTAAAAATGTGAACACAATAGAAAGAATAATAGCCTTGGAGGCACAGTGGTTAGACCGCAGTATTGCAGGCTAACTCTGCTGACTGCCAGCAGTTCAATCCTGATCAGCTCAAGGTTGACTCAGCCTTCCGTCCTTCCGAGGTGGGTAAAATGAGGACCCAGATTGTTGGGGGCAAGAGGCGGACTCTGTAAACCACTTAGAGAAGGTTGTAAAGCACTGTGAAGCGGTATATAAGTCTAAGTGCTATTGTTAGTCCCTTCCTTCCTTCCTTCCTTCCTTCCTTCCTTCCTTCCTTCCTTCCTTGTCATTAGAATGCAGTATTGCAGGCTAACTGCCAATTACCAGCAGTTCGATCCTGACTGGCTCCATTAAAGCTGGCCTCTTGGAAAAAGACACATTTTAAAACCTCCCGCTGGCCTGACACACCGATTTGGATGCCAGCGTCCGATTCTTTCTCCGTAGCTCAAATGTAATACTGAGCCACCAGTTCTGCAGGCCACATTATTAGCCATAATATGCTGCATTAATTTCATACATACACGATATCGTTGAGTTCCAGCCGTGTGTCCGGAGGGGGATTGATGAGAACGTAGGAGAGTGTGTTTTGATGGTCGTTCATTTCATCTGGAAGAAAAGAAGTTGGTCAAGCGGTCATCTGGTCAGGCAAAACAGCAGTTAACCAGCTGAAAAGTGGCAAAAACCTTCGGGGCTACAGAACCCTCTGAATATGTCAATCGTAAATATCTCCCGGGTTTTTCTATGCCTCTTTCCTGTCTATCAACAGTAGATGTAGGCTCGAGGATAACACATGGACGTTTACTCCCTCGTTTTTCATCCTGAATAAAGATAATTTAGGGCACATCCCCCTTTCCAAAGGGAAGTGATAGGGTCAGTATTGCTCAATGAATCTGAGAAATGGGGATGCTGCCTATGATAGGACGCTCCACACTGAAGCTGGGGACAGAAACAGGACAATGAAAGAATGAAGAAGGTGGTTGATGTATCAGAATGGCACAGTGGCTCAGACAAAGCAACAGGTATTTTAAAAAGCCTGCAGCCCACAGCTATTTAAGGTCAACCAACTTGGTTCTTAGATCTTTCAAGGAGATCTTGCAGATCTGGGCAATTAAATTCCAAACAGAATCTTAGAAATATTAGTGAGACGTACTCGTGCATCTGGAACCCTTTGGTTCTCTCCAGAAATTCCTTGGAGAAGGCCATTGATAGAAAGCAAAAGAGGTTGCCCCAAAGAAGAGAGGGTCAACCTATTCTCCAAAGCACCTAAAGGCAAGGCAAGAAGCAATGGATGGAAACTAATCAAGGAGAGAACCAACCTAGAACTAAGAAATTTCCTGACAGTCAGGACAATGAATCAGTGGAACGACTTGCCTCCAGAAGTTGTGGGTGCTCCATCACTGGAGGTTTTAAAGAAGAGATTGGACAACCATTTGTTTGTAACGGTAAACGGTCTTCTGCTTGAGCGGGGAGTTGGACTAGGACCTCCAAGGCCCTTCCAACTTTGTTATTCTTTTAAATACCTACTGCTACTTTCCCAAAAGTTAAGATCAATATGGGTTGCTATGTCCACTCCTACATAGAGCTGTTCTGCTGAGTGGTGGCAGGAGTGAGACCTTTGGATCAGAAGCTATACTCGGGGTCTAGATGAAATCCATCACTAGTACCCCTCAAACAGGGTGGATTGCATTCAGATGCTGTCCATTGTTGACCCCTTCAAGACATTCGTTAAGACCCCATTTCTAATTCTTAGGCCCTATTTCTTTCTTGAGACTTTGTATTGCCTCTGTTATGGATGGACAGTGCTAGAAGAAACTCTACGCGAGTAGTAAAGACAGATGTACTGAGCTTCACTGGATCCCTTAGCTTCCTCCTAAATAAGCATTGTACCCCAATTCTCCCAATTAAGGATAATGCATCCCACAAACTTTACTTTAAATATAGACCTATGGCAAGCATAAGCTGATAGGATTGGGAGGAAACCAGAATGGACATATAGTGATAAGGTTGGCTCTTGAATCTTCCACAGTCAAAATCTGATGGTTTAAGAGGAAGGTTCAGCAACCTCTTCGCAAATTCTCATTGGCTGCAGTTGGGTTGTGGCCAATGGAAATAGCTTATGGCATGTCGAACCAATGGTCCAGTATGGTCAACAGTGAAAGGATTTCCCCTCAACTCTTCATGGAGATGTTCGGGATGGAAAATCAGGTGTTTGGGCTCAAGACAATTCTGGTAGGGTTATCTGGCTGACCAGTTTGGTTGGTCTGCAGCCCACAAGTCATGGAAAGCAGACAAAGAACTGATTAAGGTTTAATCACGGTCTTTACAAAGAGCATCTGATGCTGATCCATCTCTCTCTCTTCTCTCCTCTGATCTACAAGAGATGTAAGGTTCATGCCAAGCTGTCCTATATGATTCATGGAAATCTTTTTCAAGCACACAGATGTTAGATCCAGTTGTGCTTTGTGGTTAAAGAACTGGGTGGAAGAGAGATGGGTCAACAGGAATGGCCACCCTTTGCCTTGACCAACTGGCTTTCTTTTGCAGAGTTTCTTGAATCTCAACCGTGTCTCAATCCTCAAATGCTTTCCAACCTACCTTCCCAGTCATTAGATCTAGAAAGGTTAGTTGGGTTTCTCAAAGGTGTCACACATTGTCCTGCCTTTAGGATTATGAGATCTGGGTTGCCAAAATCCAAGAAACCATTGGAGACAGAAGGAGACCTTTCCTTTGTGGTCATCTGGGACTCTGGATTTCTACAGACCAGATTCGATAACTCTCCTATAACTACTGTCCTGTGAAGACTTTGGTTCAAGAGGGTCCATTGGATTAAATTTCCCAGCCTTTCCACTTTGTTGGGCCGGAAATATTTTGACAATATTCCGTGCTTTCCTGTTGAAAGTTTGTGGTGAAGGCCACTTTAATAAGGTCAGATGGAAGGCAAAATATTGGCTATACCATGTTTCCCTGAAAATAAGACCGGGTCTTATATTAATTTTTGCTCCAAAAGACGCATTAGGGCTTATTTTCTGGTTAGGTCTTATTTTGGGGGAAATACAATACTAAATGCATCCATCTGGCTGACAATCTTAACTGGGGCTTATTTTGGGGATAGGGTTTATACAGTGTTACGAGCATCCTGAAAAATCATGCTAGGACTTATTTTCCAGTTGGGTCTTATTTTTGGGGAAACAGGGTAAATTATAAGCTTCAGGGCTTAAGATCTGTATGAACGCTATCTCTCCATGCATTCAGGTATGTTACCTTGCTGTTTGCCACTTAAGGTCAATTTAATTGATATAAACCTGAGCTACAAATCCAAAGATGGCTACATCAGGAAAGAGAGGGGCCCTGGAAGATGCAGATCAAATAATCATTGACTGGGTTTGATTAATGGACTACCAGTTGCAACAGATCATTGATTTTTGCCGGATGCAACTTTAAGGCTTTTTCCATTCATTGCTCCTTAACTGCCCTGAAAAACATCTCTTCCACAGGGAGTTGTTCATTTCCAAGGTGAAGTTAATGACTAAACTGCATCAACCCTCATGCCAGTTTGGGACGAAGGGAGAAATATCTCGTTTCGTTTCACTCATGGGTTGTGAGGAGCTGAAGAACCTTAGCTATGCTTAAAACCGTAAGAATGTGGCCTTCCCCCTCCACCAGATGGAAATCAAAATAAGAGCCATTTGTTGCTTTGCTCAATTGATTTGGATCCCGCATTAAACTAAGATGAAAAACAACTGCATTTGAACCTGTGTTACATTCACACGACACGTTCAGCCTGGGGACAAAAGTAAACTCACTTTCCTGGTTTGTCCAAGAGGCTGCCACACAGACTAACTAATCAGCTGGGTCTGCCCAGCATGTTAACGCTGACCGAGTTAGCCTATCGCAAGAACACAGCATATCTAGTAAGCAAACTTGGATGAACCCAGTTGAGCTACTGATGGTGTCACGGTCTACAGAGATTCTCAGTCAGGATTGTCCCAAAAGTGCTTTTTCAAAAGGCAACTGGACTTTGTTTTTTGTTCCTGGAAGATGTTTCGATTGTCCCAAGAAGCTTCTTCAGTTCTGATTGTGGCGTCATGTATCTTTAATAAGAGTGTTTCTTGATCATCTAGCTTGGGAGTGAATGGGGTACTTGCTGTGGTCCACCAGCAGCCTGCTGAGCTGGCAGCGGAGTCAGACAGTGAGGAGGCTGGGGAGGACCATGGGCCAGTCCTGGAGTCTGAGGAAGGTTTAGACGAGGGCTCTGAGTCGGAGGCAGAGATGGAGCCAGGGCCATCTGGGAGTGATGTGTGGACTTCTGAGCCCCCAGAATCGGACAGCAGAGAGGCAGAGGAACAGGAGGAGCCTGTTCCTAGTGCATGCATGCACAGAGCTGCCAGAAGGCAAGAGCTGCTAAAGGAAAAGGGACGACTTGGGAGTAAGGCCTGGAGATATTTGGCCCCTCCTATAAGTCTTAAAAGAACAGCAAAGCTCTTGGGATCTTTGTAGGAAAGCAACGTTGCTAAATCTGTTTCCAGTCGGCATCTCGTTTTTCTGAACTTCGTGGGGCTTTGCCAAGAAAGGCCTTTGGCAGGGTGCCAAAGAAGATAAAGGACTTTTTCTGAAGGACTTGTTTTGGAATTAATTTGGACTAAGCTGGGAATGAAGTAATTCTCAGCTGTTATAATAAAATAGGTTTGTTTGGGACTAATTGTGTCTTGTAATGACTAAGTGAGCTTAGGTCACAACAGTACTGTTTATCATGTCTGTGCTTAAGGAGACACCTTAAATACACACACGGCAGTGTTTTCATCTTGCTAGCTACCACATCCACTCTTTGAAAATCTCAACCCAGAATGGCGTCCTTCTACGGAGGGTGCTTTACCCCAAGAATTCAACGGGCCAACATCTTGGTTTCTTGACTATTTACCTTGCAAATATCCAAGGTTTACTCGGTTCATCACATCACAGGCTGTTAAATTTGCTACATCCTCTACGGAGCACACAGAGAGGGGGAAAAGAAAAGAAAAGAAACAAACAGAAATCAAATAGGAGAAAGGGAAGGACAGGGAAACACAAAAGAGAACACAACACAGCACAGACATAAACGGAGAGAAAGAGAAGAGAAAAAAAAATCAGCAAGCAGCGATTCAGAAAGTATTCAGAAACGAGATTCGGTGGTCACACGGGCCAAATCATGTAGTCCAAAAAGTATATATGTACATATAAGTTCGAAAAGAAGAGCAAGCAAATTAAAAAGGACGCCAGGCATTAATGGAGTTGCATGAACTAACAGGTGACATGTCATAAAAATGAGTTTCGGACAATCTCACTTAAAGAAGATGGACTGAATCTTTGATCATTCCTTCTACTGCCCTTATTAAAACCTTGATCAGATCTTGAGAGTTTACTCAAAACAGACTTTGTTGTTACACAAAAGGAATTGGGGAGAGATCCAATCTAGAACTCAGGAGAAATTTCCTGACAGTGTGAGAATGGGACAGCTTTAGGGGTGGGCTGCTGGGAGTTTGTAGGGGTTCGGGAGAACCTCTAGCTAAGTTTCTGGGCAGTTTGGAGAACCCCCAAATCCCACTCCTGGCTGACCTGCCCACCCCGCCCCTCCCAGGAGTCCCCACGCGGCCTGTTTTGGATACATGTAAGTGCAGGGCGCACCGGAGGCTCAGGGAGGTCGAAAAACAGGACTACGGGAAGTTCAGGAAGGCCTCCAGAGCCCGGGGAGGGTAAAAATCCCCCCCCTGTGGTGCAGAAGGCTGACTAGGCCACACCCACCATGGCCACGCCCACCCAGCAACCAGGCAGAGAACGCCTTGCTAAAATTTTTGAAGACCACCCTTGCAGACTGGGAAATTGGTAGTAGCCTTGGTAGTACAGTGGTCTAAGGCACCCTGTTATTAAGCTGGTTATTAAGACCTGCTGCCTGCAATTACTGCAGGTTCGAATCTCGCCAAGGCTCAAGGTTGACTCAGCCTTCCATCCTTTCTAAGGTAGGTAAATTGAGGACCCAGTTTGTGGGGGCAATAAGCTGACTTTGTATAAATATACAAAAGGATGAAGGCTATTGCTTAACGCATTGTAAGCCGCCCTGAGTCTCCGGAGAAGGGCGGCATATAAATCAAATTAAAAAAAAAAAATTCAGGGCACCATATTATTGATAGCAGAAGTGGAAGCAAGCAGCGAGAGATGGCCCAAAAAAATTCTGCAAAAGGAAAGGGGGAAGAAAAGAAAAAAAAGCAATCTCCCTCAAAAAAATGGACTGAAAAGGTTTTCATCATAAGGAAAAAGATACAAAAACTCTGGGTTTTTTTCCTGAGGTCTCTAACTTTTAACTGTACTTCCCTATAGTTTAGTTGTGCTTATGTTAGATCAGCAATGGGGAGATTCAATACTAAAATAGGAAGATATTCAACAAATGTTTAATTTTCCCGATTTTTCCTCTTTTTTTTTCTTTCTCTTTCTCTTTTTTCCCTGGATCTTTCCACCACTAGGTCACACTGACCTAGGGGTGCAATCCAACAGGTTCTGATAGGTTCTGGAGAATTTTAGCAGAAATTTTGAGCCGTTCGGAGAACCGGTAGCAGAAATTTTGAGTAGTTCGGAGAACCGGCAAATACCACCTCTGGCTGGCCCCAGAGTAGGGTGGGAATGGAGATTTTGCAATATCCTTCCCCCAGGAGTGGGGAAGGGATGGGGATTTTGCAGTATTCTTCCCCTGGAGTGGGGAGGGAATGGTGATTTTGCAGTATTGTTCTCCTGGAGTGGGGAGGGAATGATGATTTTGCAGTATTCTTCCCCTGGAGTGGGGTGGAAATAGAGATTTTTCAGTATCCTTCCCCCGCCCCGCCTACCAAGCCACACCACGCCCACCAAGCCACGCCCACAGAACCGGTAGTAAAAAAAAATTGAATTTCACCACTGTACTGATCCTACAGTTTCTTTTAAGACTTTTTTTTAAAAAGTGGACATCAAGGAAAATCTTAAGGCTTGCTAAAGGCTTCCCAAAGCCTCTACCTATGGAATGTGGACGATGAAATGAACATGGAATGATGGAATCAGACTTATTGTGATCTTGGTGTGAAAACAGTCTGAATAATGACAAAAACACACGGCCTCTTCTTTTCAATCCGCCCGTTGCTATTCTACCCAACCTAGGATTCACTGGCTGATTTCACACCCAGCGTGCTTAAACCATCTTCTGAGTTTGAACAGTGCATCGAACTAGAAACAAAGCAAAGAGACTGGATTTGTACAACCCACCGAGGGTTAACACTCACCAAGCTTAGTATGTTGAATGTCTTCGGAGATTGTCAATCATCCAGGTCAGGGGTGGTATTCACTTACCTTTGCTAAGGTAAAGGTAAAGGTTCCCCTCGTACATATGTGCTAGTAGTTCCTGACTCTAGGGGTCAGTGCTCATCTCTGTTTCAAAGCCGAAGAGCCAGCGCTGTCCGAAGACGTCTCCATGGTCATGTGGCCGGCATGACTCAACGCCAAAGGCGCAAGGAACGCTCTTCCCTTCCCACCAAAGGTGGTCCCTATTTTTCTACTTGCATTTTTTACATGCTTTCGAACTGCTAGGTTGGCAGAAGCTGGGACAAGTCACGGGAGCTCACCCCGTTACGCAGCACTAGGGATTTGAACCGCTGAACTGTCAACCTTTCGATCGACAAGCTCAATGTTTTTAGCTCTCATGGGCAACACCTCTGCGCATGCACAGGACCTTCTGCACATGAGCAGAGCATCAAAAACGGGACGTGATGAAGTCCGGGCGGGTGTCCGGAGCCTCCCACAGCCACTGCTACCGGTTCACACGAACCGGATAAAACCAGCTGAATACCACCACTGATCCAGGTCATGCTTGCCCCAAAGGTTCTTTTATCAAAAGGCAACTGGACTTTCTTGGGGGTTTTTTTCTTCTTCTTTTCAAAACGTTTCTCTTCTCATCATCCAAGAAGCTTCTTTAGTTCTAACCGACGAGTGGCGGAAGGGAAGGAATTATATTCTTATAAGACCAGATGACTGCCAAGAGCTCAGCCGTTTCCTTGCAGACATTTCACTCATAACTAGCAAACCCCCACTCCCTCCGGCACAGATGCTGTTACCTAGTTCGGTTATGAAATGTCTGCAACAAGACAACCAAGCTCAGAGAGCACCAAGGATCAATATAGTCAGAGCAGAAGGGAATCCTTGAAAAGGATCATGGTTCGGAGGAAATGAAAATTGTCCCAGAAACTAAGAGCTTTGGCTACAAGAGAAGAAACCAAGAAGAGCATTCATCGTTGCAGAAGACTTCCAAGCTACAACATGTTGGGCGAAAAGAAACAAAACCCTTTGTGTTGATGGCAGAAGCAAAGGGAACCACTTACCGTACCCTGTTGTGGGTAAGCCCAGATGTTTCATGCGATTCTTCACAAGCTCGGACAGTTCCTGCCTTTCCGATCGCCGGTAAAGGTTCAGTCTCTGCTGGTTGATCCACTCGGCCGTCTTTGAAGCCTGCTTGTTGGCTCCTTTCCGGCTCAGCCGCCGAGCCCACTGCATGCTTTTCCTCCGGAGAAGTGGGTGTTCCGTCTGGTCAGCAGGGCACGAATTCCGGTGGTGGTGGTGGTGCGGCTTGGCGTTCCAAGTCTCCTTCCCTTCCTTGAGGTCTTCGCAGTCTTCCACATTGATTGAAATCTGTGACTGGCAACACCAGTAGATCATGAGAAGGAAGCCATCAACAGCTTCCTGTTGGGAGGATGAGGATGTATGACAACTCGCCATGGACAACTCACCAACGGCAACTGGCCATGGCCAACTCACTATGGACAACTCACCAAGGCCAACTTGCTATGGCCAACTTGCCAAGGCCAACGGGCCATGGCCAACTTGCCACAGCCAACTTGTCATGGGACAAATTGCCACGGACAACTTGCCAAGGTCAACTGGCCATGGCCAACTCGCCACAGAAAACCTGTCATGGGACAAATCACCACAGACAACTCACCAAGGCCAACTTGCTATGGCCAACTTGCCATGGCCAACTCATCATGGGACAAATCGCCATGGCCAATTTGTCAGGACCAACTCATCGCGAGACAAGAGTTACACTAATATAGAAGAAATAGTGGAATATCTTTGATGATTCTATCTAGCTTCGAAGAAGAGCCAAGGTGGCGCAGTGGTTAGAGTGCAGCACTGCAGGCTACTTCAGCTGACTGCTAGCTGCAGTTCGGCAGTTCAAATCTCACCGGCTCAAGGTTGACTCAGCCTTCCATCCTTCTGAGGTGGGTGTTGTCGTCCGCCAGCAGCCTGCGGAACTGGCAGTGGTGTTGGACAGTGAAGAGGCTGGGGAGGAGCATGGGCCAGTCCTGGAGTCTGGGGAAGGCCTGGACAAGGGCTCTGCATTGGAGGCAGAGATGAGGCCAGGGCCATCTGGGAGTGATGCACGGACTCCAGAGCCCCCAGAGTCAGACAGCAGAGGCAGAGCCTGTTACTCCTCCTGTTCCTCTGCACTGTTCCTAGTGCATGCATGCACAGAGCTGCCAGAAGGCAAGAGCAGCTAAAGCAAAAGGGACGATTTGGGACTAAGGCCAGGAGATGATTGACCCCTCCCATAAGGCTTAAAAGAGAAACAGAGGCACTTGGGGCCTTTTGCAGGAAAGCAACATTGCTAACTCTGTTTCCAGTCGGCATCTCTTGTTTGTTTCTAAACTTCGTGGGGCTTTGCCAAGTAAGGCCTTTGGCAGGGTGTCAAAGAAGATAAACGTTGGTGATTATCCCGAAGGATTTCTTCGGAAAGACTTGTTTTTGGCAACTAATTGGGACTCATCTTGAAATGAACATAATTCTTAGCTGTTACAATAAAATAGGTTTGTTTGGGATTAATTGTGTATTGTAATTACTCAGTAAGCCTAGGTCACAACAGTGGGTAAAATGAGGACCCAGATTGTTGGGGGCAATATGCTGACTCTGTAAACCACTTAGAGAGGGCTGTAAAAGCACTATGAAGCGGTATATAAGTCTAAGTGCTATTGCTATTGCTATCAAAGCAAGGACGCCAAAGGAAGGACAAAATGAATTGTGAATGAAAAGAATTAAAACAATTTTAATTATTAAATTAAACTATTAAATTAAATTAAATTGAATTGAATTCTTGAATTGTCCTGCAGCAAGTTGTCCTATGGTGAGTTGTCCTATTCCGTGGGGATGAGAATTGTAAGATATAGAAAAAGCAGTAATCTACCCTAACAAAGAGGAAACTTTTTAAAAGAGATCATTAGTTAGCAATTAAAGCCACCGTTGACCAGGAGGATTTAGGTTGAATCAGTGAGAATTCATCTGGATCAAACAACATGCTAGACTAGGTTAAAAGAGCCTGAGTGGCGCAGCAGACTAATGCTACTGTTAAAGGTAGTATTTAGCTTCCAGCTGCCGGCAATTACTGTGAGTTCAATTCTCACCAGGCTCAAGGTTGACTCAGCCTTCCATCCTTTCTAAGGTGGGTAAAATGAGGACCCGGTTTGTGGGGGCAATAAGCTGACTTTGTATAAAATATACAAAAGTATGAAGGCTATTGCTTAACGCCTTGTAAGCCGCCCTGAGTCTCCGGAGAAGGGCGGCATATAAATCAAAAAATAAAAATAAAAAATAAAATAAAAACAGCACTGGGCAAGTAGAGATTCAACGAGTTTTGGTGAGCCCAGTTCTTTCCTGCTTATCTTAGATGAAGCAGATCATCAGATGAAGCCAAATCAGGGTTTCCAGGTTAGAGCACAGTGCGTTACTAAACACTGGATTACGTATGTTGTGTGACCCTGTCCCTGAGCTCCCTCCATCTTGATTGGCTTTTGACTTGAAGAAGCCAACGTGGAAAAGAAATGCACATATGGTGACTCAGACCATACTCACCTGGGTTCTGATATCATGAGGCTGGGGGTAGGGTGGAGATGGACAGAAGAGGACAGAGAGAAGAGAGAGAAAGGAAAAAGAAAACTTGACACATGTTCTTTAAAATATTACAGACAGGGCTAATTTTATTATCCAGTTTGCCGAGCCGGTAGTTGCAAGGATTGGCTGGCCCCACCCAACCCACTCCTCCCCTCCCAACCCTCCCACCCTCCCCTCCCCTCCTAGGAGTCTCCACACGGCCTGTTTTGGATGGCAGGTAAGTGCAGAGTCAGTGCGGTGGCGCTGGGAGGGTGAAAAACAGGTCTCCCGGAAGTCCCAGAAGTCTGTAAATGGGTCTCTTTCCAGCCTCTGGAGGGTCTCTGGAGCCCAGGGGAGGCTGTATTTGCTCTCCCAGAGGCTCGAGGAAAGCCTCCGGAGCCTGGGGAGGGCGAATATGCTCCCCCCCCCACCGTGGTGCAGGAGGCCAGGTAGGCCACGCCCACCATAGGCCTGCCCACCCAGCAACCGGGCAGAGAACCCATTGCTAAAATTTTTGAATCCCACCCCTGAATACAGAGCACCATTTCCCCCATTTTGCTGAATGGTAGATTGTACTCTTAGAGCATTCTCTGAAATATACATCAGCCTGGAAGTATAATGGTGTATTGCTCTCTTCTGTTGTGGATCTCGGGCTGGGATCTGGCTTGAGAATCACTGAGGGAGCTTCCGACACTAGGATTCTAGCATCGGATCACAAGCACTGCCTGCTTGCTACTCTAGGATATAAAGAGATCCATTGTAACAAGAGCTGTACTTGGATGGTTTCTTACATCGATGGTGGAGAACATATGGGATTCGGTCCTGTAGATCCCGATGGGAATCTCCGCGCTGGAAGAACAGAGCTTCTGAAAGAGACGTCCGTAGGATCGGATCCAGAGATCGTCTTCTGTGATTTTCATCTGTCGGATAAAGTAAGAACATGAAGAAGCAAAAGAGAGAGAGAATGAGAGAGAAGAAGAAGGCACAATAGATAGTAGATTTTGGATTAAAGTATGCTATTCTCCATGTTGAAGATGGGCATAAGGAAGGTATTCTAGGAATCTTCTTGCTCGCCTGGATTGGATTGGATTCCCCAATCCAAGATGGGGGAAAATCTATGATCTAAATCTATTTGTAGAGGATATTTGGAGACAAAATAACTCTCCCTTGAACCAGCCAAGAGAAAAGTCAAATAGCTGACAACTGCACTTACTGCACAGAGATAGCCAGATCCAGGCGTCGTATCCAGACCAAGCAATAACCTTGTGATGGTGATCATATAATCTTTCACGAAGGACTGAAAAGAAGAAAGGCATCCATCAATCTTTTGGGTGGGACAGAAGCTAGGGCTACGATGTTGAAAAGGTTAGGCTCAAGTCAACATTTGAAGTGATTCAGGGGTGATGATTGAAAAGCTTCTCTTCCAGTAGTGAGCTGCAACCAGTTCTCTGCCCTAATGACCGGCTGGGTGGATGTGGCCGGAGTGGGCACGGCCAGGGGGCGTGGCCAGCGGTGGGACGTGAATAATTTAACAACCGGTTCTCTGGCTGGGTAGGCATGGCTGGTTGGTCATGTGACTGGGTGGGTGATGTCACTCATCTTACCCAGCCCCGCCTCCCAGTCACTCACCGCAAAGGCAGAGGTAGGATTCAGCCGGTTGGGGTTAATCCCACCACTTGTTGGCCCCATCCCTGCCCATTTTTCAGCCTGTTTTTTGGCCGTTTTTCGGGCTCTTTTTCGGGCATTTTTCAGGCTGTTTTCAGGCCATTTTTCGGGCTGCTTTCAGGCCATTTTTCAGGATGTTTTCAGGTCATTTTTCAGGCTGTTTTTCAGGCCATTCTCAGGCCATTTTCTGGGCCATTCTCAGGCTGTTTTGGGGCCATTTTCAGGCTGTTTATGCCCCCAAAAGGACCTGATAAACTGGCCGAAAAATGAGCGGGGGCGAGGCCAGTCAGTGGTGGGATTTGCTGGTTCACCGAACTGCATGGAATCTTAACTACGGTTTGTCTGTATCAGTTTGAACCAGCAGCAGCCCATCTCTATTCTCTTCCCCCCCACAAAGCCAAGAAGCCCATTTTTCTGGAAGGAGAATTAAAGGCAAATGCAGACACATTGGCCCCAGGACAAAGCCTTCTTCAAAATCACTTCATTTTGAGGTCTCCAGATCTCAAGTACCTTCGTCCTCCATCGCCATGATTCAGCATGGTACTGCTTGCAAAATGAAACCGAAGGAGTGCCCACGAAGGATTTGAGTAGTTGGCTTTGGAAAGAAGCGTTAAACAAAAACAATCCAACTTGTTCCTTTTTCTGACCTGGTAAAGGAGAGTATCTAACATGCTGATGCTGAAAACTCGGCCAGCGGCAAATGGGAGGCGGAACATGAAGGCCAAGTTGGAGCCGTTCTCTCGTTCTTTCTGTGCAAGAGACAAGATTATGGAACAGGATAAAAATAGCTGTTTTTCAGAGCAGGCCAGTATTCCTGTCTCCAACGAGAGTTTGATCAATAAATCTAGGAAGCTCATTTAAAAAAAGGCACCATTACACTGAAGCCCATTGCTATCCATTTGTAGGAGAATAGCAGGTTAAGATGGAAGGCGGAGTTAAACATGTCATCAGTTTGGAGTCATTGCATTCCCACAAGAGACCGCTGTCCAATTTTTCAGGGTGTGTGAAGCTCAGAATCCAGGAATATTTTCACAAATGCTAGTTTCTTTAAAGGGGGAATAGGAAACCCGAACAAAAAATCAGACAACTTCAGACCCAAAAGCTCGGTGTGTTTTTATTACACACCTAGAGTTAGGGATTTGTATTGTTTAATTACCTTCTCTAGTTTGGAAAGGGCCAACGAGTAGCTGTCCTTCGCCCGGAATTGCATAAATCTCATGTTGGATGGATGTGTCAATTCAGTAATGATACTCAGACTTGGAAAAAGTCTGGAAGAGGGGGGAAAAAAATAAAAAGTGATAGTCTTTTTTAGATCTGAAAAACATATTTAGTCAAACCACGGATCTTCTTTAGCCTTTAGTCATACTCTTTGTCCTCAGGAGAAACTGAGCTATGTAAAATAGCGAAAACTACTTTCATGTAGTGATTTTTTTTTTAAATTTGATTTATATGCCGCCCTTCTCCGGAGACTCAGGGCGGCTTACAATGCGTTAAGCAATATTAAGGTTTCAGGCTAAAAACTAGGAGAGGGTGGGTTCTAGTCCCGCCCTTAAGCATCAAAGTCAGCTGGGTGACCTTGGGCCAATCACCAGGAGACGGTGAGTTCTAGTCCCGCCTTAATCATGAAAGTTGGCTGGATGACTTTGGGTCAATCATTAGGAGGCAGCAAGTTCTACTCCTGCCTTAGGCATGAAAGCCGGTTGGGTGACTTTGGGCCAATCACCAGGAGACAGTGAGTTCTAGTCCCGCCCTTAAGCACGAAAGTCAGTTGGGTGACCTTGGGCCAATCACCAGGAGATGGTGAGTTCTAGTCCTGCCTTAAGCACCATTACCCAGTTGGAATGACTTTGACCAATCATCAGGAGATGGTGAGCTCTAGTCCTGCCTTAAGCACCATCACCCAATTGGAAGGACTTTGGGCCAGCCATTTACTTTCAGCTCTACAAAGGAGTCAATTGGCAATTCATTTCTGGAAAAAAAATGTGCCAAGAAAATTTCTGAAAATTTGATAGGATAGGAAGTCTACAATTTGATTCCCAGCAATTCTGAGCCACTTTTCAAACCTAGAAGATCCGTCCATCTATTTTGGTTAGCGGGGGGAGGAACAATGTTCGCATGCTGTGACCGCTCGCTGCCTCACCTGAACATTGTCTGGACGTTGACAATGGTCTTGGCATCCGCCATGTAATCTTCCTCAGCGCTCATGGTGCTTTCTTTATCCACCACCACCAAATTGTCAGCATAAATGATGCCACATTGCAGCAAACTATCGAGGCTGTAAGATAGGTTTTTCGCCCCCCACAAAGAAAGAGAGAACCGTTAAGATCAAATTCTTCCGTGCATCTAAGCTGAATTTAAAAAAAAAAAATCTTCCTACAAATAAAGCTCTTTTGGGATCATTTTGTATACTCAACCCAAGTCGCAATTTCAGGAACACAATGCTCTTTTCAGTAATTCCATATAAAATCACGAACATGAGAAACCTATTTCGTCTCAAGCTCATTCCTGGCCTTCTGTTGTTTTTTTCTCCCTCAACTCATATTTTGCGTTTACCTCAGTGGTTAAGATGCTGAGCTTGTGGATCTAAAGGTCAGCAGTTCAGCAGTTCGAATCCCTAGCGCCACGTAACGGGGTGAGCTCCCGTGACTTGTCCCAGCTTCTGCCAACCTAGCAGTTCGAAAGCAGGTAAAAAATGCAAGTAGAAAAATAGGGACCACCTTTGGTGGGAAGGGAACAGTGTTCCGTGCACCTTTGGCGTTGAGTCATGCTGGCCACATGACCACGGAGACGTCTTCGGACAGCGCTGGCTCTCTGGCTTTGAAACGGAGATGAGCACCGCCCCCTAGAGTCGGGAACGACTAGCACGTATGTGTGAGGGGAACCTTTACCTTTAAGCTGGGATTAATTGCTTCCTGCTAAAAAAACTTTTAAAAAACAGAGGAAGTCGACTTGCTCTTAAAAGATTTTAGACATTGACCCAAGAAAGAACTGTACACTGTGTGCGTACATGGACAACGACTGCATTTAATTCTTTGCAATTTGTTTTTCCTTTTGTTTATTTATCCTTTTGGAAATTCGTTATGCAGCTTATTGCTGAGAGGGGTACACAACTTTAAGATATAAGGGAAAGCATATAATGAAGAAGGGAATGGGAAGAAGAAAAAGAAGGAAACAAACAATACGCAATATATCAGCAATAAAAAAAAAAAATCTCCACAACTCCTAAATTATTTTCCTTTGGTAGGAGGTGACCAGGCTGAGTCTGAAGTTGGACAGAATAACTGTCAAATGCCAGAGAAATCAGGAGATTCAGTGAGTTCAAATGAGTATAAAGATTTATTGCAAGTTTAAGTTCTCTACAAGAATCTGACCAACTAACAGTCAAGGGAAATGAGCAGGAGATAAGAAAGGCATTTAAGGTGGGCTGCGTTTAGCTTTCTTAAACTCATGGCTTATGATGCGTTTGAACCCTCCTTCGGGCTCAGCCTGGTCATCTCCTACACCTTCAAGTGTACGGAAGATGGACAAAGAAGAAGACACTTACTTATCAATTGTACCTTCCATATAATAAACCATTGGAAAACAACAGATGGCTTCTAAGAAGTGATGGTCAGGTCTAAAACAAAAACGGAGACAAAAAAAAATCAGGTTCAATTCCATTAACATTCTTATTACTTTCTAAACATGCTCTTTCTTAATTCTTAAGCTCTTGAAGCAGGGATTTATCTTGTCTGGCTTTGGAAAAGTTTTTATTTATTTATTTATTTATTTATTTATTATTCGAATTTCTATACCGCCCTTCTCCTTTCGGACTCAGGGCGGTGAACAGCCAGAATAAAAAACATTTATACATAAGTACGATTAAAAAATAGATTTAAAATAATTAAATTTGGCCCATAGTTTAACATTTATCAATTTAAAATCCATATAAAAATTTAAAACCAACCATAAAATCATAAAATCAAGAGAGACCGGCTAACTGAAAGAGATGAGTTTTTAGGGCCCGACGAAAGGTCCGGAGGTCAGAGATCACTCGTATCTCTGGGGGTAGATTGTTCCAAAGGGTAGGTACCACCACAGAGAAGGCTCTCCTCCTGGGGGTCGCCAGCCGGCATTGTCTAGCCGACGGCACCCTGAGGAGGCCCTCTCTGTGGAGGCCCTCTCTGTGGGAGCGAGTTTTGTGGTTTATTACACCTGACATTAATCTCACCAATCTAAAGCACACACTACATAACTAGTTGTAGGACAAACAATGGCAGAACCTGGGTTGGAGTTAAAAGAGAGATCAGCTTAGAATCCCTACGTGGCCACAAAGGAACTAAATCCAACCTCCCTTGAATTCCATAGACCCTTATCTAACTCCAAGCAGTTACTTACTGTTAGTTGAGAAGATGCCTATGCACAGGCATGAGTAGTAGCAATAAATCAATTTAATTGAGCCTTCCGCTTGACACTACTAGATAAATACTGCGGAAGTTTTAAGGAGCATCTGCTTTCATCTCCTCTCCCTCTCCACTAGTGACTCAAGTTTCACTCCTCAGCTCAACGGCCAATGGAAACCAAATTCCACAACAGGGAAGGAAGAAACTGGAGCTGTGGTCTCTCTAATTTGGAACACTTTCCCACACAGCATTGTTTGAGTTCCCTACGCTTTTTAATGATGACTCAGCCCTGTTCAGCTGCAGACTCCTTCTTGCTGGCATTCTGGTTCTCTGCTATAAATGTTGCGCGTGTGTTTTTACATACAACAGTGACACAGCATACTGTGTGTTCAAGATAAATCATCGGGGGAAAAGGAAAGGAGAGAGGGAGGGAAGGAAGGAAGGAAGGAAGGAAAGAAGAAAGAAAGAAAGAGGGAGGGAGGAAGGAAGGAAGGAAGGAAGAAAAAAGAAAGAGGAAGGAAGGAAGAAAAGAAAGGAAGGAAGGAAGGAAAAAGAAAGAAAGAAAAGAAGAAAGGAAGGAAAGAAGGAAGGGGGAGGGAGGGAGGGAGGAAGATAGAAAAGAAGGAAGGAAGAAAAAGGAAGGAAGAAGAAAAAAGAAAGAATGAAAGAAAAGAAAGAAAGAAAAAGAAAGCAAGAAAGAAAGGAAGAAGAAAGGAAGGAAAGAAAGAAAGAAAGAAAGAAAGAAAGAAAGAAAAGAAAGGAAAGAAGGGGAGGGAAGGAGACAGAAAAGAAGGAAGGAAGGAAGAAAAAGGAAAAAGAAAAATGAAGGAAGGAAGGAAGAAGAAAAGAAAGAAAGAATGAAAGAAAGTAAGAAAGAAAGAAAAGGAAAGAAAGAAAGAAAGAAAGAAAGAAAGAAAGAAAGAAAGAAAGAAAGAAAGAAAGACGGAAGGAGGAAGGGGAGGGAAGGAGACAGAAAAGAAGGAAGGAAGGAAGAAAGAAAAAGAAAAATGAAGGAAGGAAGGAAGAAGAAAAGAAAGAAAGAAAGAAAGAAAGAAAGAAAGAAAGAAAGAAAGAAAGAAAGAAACTTGCTTGTTGTCTAGCAGCAGCACGATGGGATTCAATTCCTTCCGTGAACGATAATACGCCCGAAGAGGGACAATAAAATTATACAAGCCGTTGCCAGCCGTCTCAGCGGACACGATGATCAGCTTGTTCTTAAAGCCATAAGCCTTTGCGTCTTCGTAGCTGTTGTGTTTGCAGCCCTGGAAACACAGCACCACAAATGTCCTTGTTACAAGGGAGTTTAGAACAGGCTGGGATTGATGCTCAGCTTTTACCCCAAAATTTGATGCGTATTAATTTACCAAAAAATACAGATAGTCCTCGACTTACAGCAGTTCATTGAGTGACCGTTCCAAGTTACAACGGCACTGAGAAAAGAGACTTCCGACCGTTTTTCACACTTATGACCGTTGCAGCGTCCTCATAGCCATCCGATTTATATTCGGATGCTTGACAACTGACTCACATTTACGACGGATGCAGCATCCCGGGGTGGTCACGCGATCCCCTTTTGTGACCTTCGGACAAGCAAAGTCGACGGGGAAGCCGGATTCACTTAACAACCGTGTGACTCGTTTAACAACCGCAGCGACTCAGTTAACAAATTGCGGCGAGGAAAGCCGTAAAATGGGGACAAGACGCGCTTAGCAAATTTCTCCCTGGGCAGCATGCATTTTGGGCTGGACGGTGGTCGTAAGTCGAGGACTAACGGTATGGTCCCAGTTAAGGATCTTCAGAAGTGGCCTCTCACCTTGTCCAGACGTAAGCAACAGAATGGGGCCTTGACAGGTAAAAGATGGCAGAGGGTTGGGGAACTTCCAATGTAAGGTGAGTTTGGAGGATACCCCTTCACATACCTTTTTAAAATAAAGAGAGAGAAATGAAGATTTGAGCCATCTTTTTCCTTCCTGAGCATAGAATAATAGACTCCAATGACTGAGATAGAATAGAAAACCTCCAAGGTTCCTTCCAACTCTGTTATTAGAATAGAATAACAGAGTTGGAAGGGACCTTGGAGGTCTTCAAGTCCAACCCCCTGCTTAGGCAGGAAACCCTCCACCACTTCAGACAAATGGTTATCCAACATCTTCTTAAAAACTTCCAGTGTTGGAGCATTTACACCTTCTGGAGGCAACTTGTTCCACTGATTAATGGTTCTCACTGTCAGAAAATTTCTCCTTCGTTCTAAGTTGCTTCTCTCCTTGATTAGTTTCCACCCATTGCTTCTTGTCCTGCCCTCAGGGACTTTGGAGAATAGCTTGACTCCCTCTTCTTTGTGGAAGCCCCTGAGATATTGGAAGACTGCTATCATGTCTCCCCTAGTCCTTCTCTTCATTAATCTAGACATATCCAGTTCCTGCAACCGTTCTTCATATGTTTTAACCTCCAGTCCCCTATCTCCTAGTCGAACCTTCTGCTTGAGCAGAAGACCTTATACCCTTCCAGTCAAATGATTGTCCAGTCTATTTTTGAAAACCTCCAATGATGGAGCACCCAGGAGGCAAGCTCTTCCGTCGGTTAATTGTTCTCATTGTCAAGAAAGTCCTCCTTACTTCTAAGTTGGATGTCTCCTTAACAAGCTTCTTCTTGCCTTGCCCTCTGGGGCTTTGGAGAACAAGTCAATCCCCTCTACTCTGTCCCTCAAATACTGTAAGACAGTTATCATGTCCCCCCCCCTCAAGCCTTCTCTTCAATAGGTTAGCTTCCTCAACAGTTCCTCGTATGACTTAGCCTCCATTCCCTTTTATCACTCTTGTTGGTCTTCTTGCAAGGGGTTCTACTCAGGTAGAGTATTCTGGTATTCACTTACTTTACCTACCAGTTCGCAAATGTAAACACACATGCCCCGTCCTCGCATGCACCTGCCCTTCCGCGCATGCACCTGGCCTCAAAAATGTGTCTAAATAGAATGGTATAGAGCTGGGGTGGGTGGCTAAGTCCACCCGTGATTTCCTCTACCGATTCAGGCGAACCGGTCCGAACCAGCTGGTTCTATTGATGTTCAGTAGAACTTCAGAAATGTAGAGGGACGTTTTGTTCAACTGGACTTCACCAACCCTAATCAAGTTCCCCCGCACCTTTTAACAGAACCCCGATGGACAGCATGCAGACCAGATCGGAAAAATTTAAGAGAGGAGGGGGCTGCCTTTCAGCTGAGCCCTGGCTTTGTTTCAAGGATGTGGAAGGGGAGAGTCAAAACAGTTCCACTTTTCCCCACCAGATGGTACTGCTGTTCCATTTTAGCCAAAATAAACTCTTGATTGCCTCCCGGTTTTTGACAGCTTCTGGTGGGAGCTAGGAAAATAGAGCTGAAATAGACTATTAAGCGGAGGTTAATATATGCAAATAGGCTCCTGCTGGGAGGTAAATAATAGGAAATTTGCATGGCTGCACTTACGGGGGAACTGAATGCCGGAATCACACTGAGTCTCTTTTAATACTCAGAGCACAGCCTTGGCAGAGACTACGTGCTCCGTTGCGCATCAAAACACATTAAAAAAAATGTTTCAAAGAGAATCGAAATATTAATGGACAGGTTGAAAGATTTGGCACATTTGCAGGTTTTAAGAGGAATAAACACAAGGCGAAGATGTTAACAACCAAGACGAGAATGGAAGATCAAACAGAATTGACGAATAAAACAGGGTTTTAAGATTGGGAGGACGGCAAAATAACAGGACGTCACGCATGAATTACAAGTTATGTCCAACTCATTGTGCGGGAGAGGTGGAGTGAAATTTTTAAAATAGAGTTTGTGGACAAGGCACCGTCTCCTTGGTGTGTGGGTGTCTGGGTTTGTGTGCTATAGAAAGTTAGCACCCACCCCTCTCCTAGAAGAATGAAATATTTTGAGAAATATTAAAAAGGCAGAATATTATATTTCCCTGGAAACGTGGTTTTTTTTAGAGGCAGGAAGCAGACTCACTCTTAATAGCCCCCACCTTTCTTAATAGCCCTCAGTAGATGTCAGCACTTAAGAGATAAAGAGATAGCTAGCTCTATTCATAAGCAAATTCGCTGGTCTGAACAAAGGTAGGATTAGCCCTCAGCCAGAATAGGAATTGCCCAACAATTGCCCTTCATTTCACCAGCCCAAGCTTCAACCAAACTTAGCTCAGACATCCTACAGAACCAGCTATGACCCCTACAATAGCCAATAGAATACATGTTCTTGCACAGGAACAGGAAGCTCAAGTGCAAAGCCCAAAGAGAAGGTATAAATACCGTCCCCCACTCTCAACTCCATGTGGTCAGCTGCCCAGAACCATGTGCTTGGTGGATTCTGCTTCACCATTAAACCCTCTTTCCAACCAGCCTCCAGCCTCCATTTTGTCTCCAGGGTCTTTCTCCCGGCTTGGAACTGAACCAGGGGTGAAATGCTACCGGTTCGGGCGAACCAGTAGCGGCGGTGGCGGGTGATTCAGAGAACCGGTAGCAGTGGCAGCATGAGGCTCCGTCTATCCACCCAGATGCCATTACTTCCTGGTTTTAACCAAGAAGTAACTTGTTTTTTTACCCTCTGCGCATGCACAGAAGGGATTGCGCGTGTGCAGAGGGTTCAAGCATGGACATGAGGCATACATGCATGCGAGCAGAGCAGACACATGCACAGGGCGCGTGCACTTCTGAACCGGTAGGGAAGGTAAGTAGATTTCACCCCTGAACTGAACCAGATGGATATTTCTTCCAACAGTGCATTTGTGCTTGCATGTGTGTTTGGGCTCCTCCTGGGGAAGGATGAAAATAACTCACTCTATAATGGTCAGGCCGTCGTCATCGGACTGAGTCACCTCGTCCTCGGATTGGTCGCTGAGCATGTCGCAGGGTAAAAGAGAAGAGGCATCTGCCACCTCCAGAACCGGGGCGATGCTGGGTCTCCTTTTCCCAGACCCATTCTCCGCTGGCAACGTTAACTTGGAGCTGTGGTTGGGGTGGCATTCGGTGTTCTGAAGGTCCATTGCCACCGTGCCTGGTCAGGAGGAGAAGGAGACATCAGCTGCTGCCTGGGGCTGCCAGTCTGAAGTTCTCGTAGACCAGCTGGGACTTCCCATATAGAACTGGACATCTCTTCCAAAAAACTCTGTACAGGGAGTTCTCGACCTACAACAGTTCCTTTAGTGACCGTCCAACGTTACCACGGCGCTGAAAAAAGGTGACTTAGCACCTTTTCCCCCCAGTTGTTCACAGTTACGACCATGATCGCATGATCAAAATTCAGAGTCTTGGCAACTGGTTCAGCATTTATGACCATGGCAGTACTGTCCCAAGGTTGTGGGATCATTTTTGGCGACCTTCTGATGAGCCAAGTCAACAGGGGAAGCCAGATTCACTTAACGACCGTGTTAAAATGGGTAGGGGGTCATGGGAAAGTGTGTTCTACAGACCAGGGGATGCTACAGAAAAATCTCAGTAGGGTTATGGTCTCCCTATTTTGTTTATTTTTTACTACCTTGTATCTTATCACTGGCACGAAGGAATGTCAGTTTTCCCTCGTGGGAAACTGATGAAGGAGACAACTGCTTTTGAAAGTCTGAGGAATTTTGCAATGCGCCTGTTGGGTGAAAGCAACCAGAACCGTCCATGGATGGTCTCAAGCAGAAGCTTTATTGCTAGTTACAAGAATCTCTCCAGATTGTTCCCCCATTCGTTTGGGAATGATCAAATAAAGGCGTCAGGGATTCTGTGCCACTTTCTACCATGTAAGGATTCTGAGCTCAACCCCTTCTTAACGCCTCCTCCAGCCTAGCTGGAGATTCCACCACGACACACTTGGAGAAAGTTAAGAGCGGCTCACCCATGCTAGCGATGATGCTGTGGACCGGCAACCTTGATGGTCCGTCGTAGATTCCTTTGCCCATAAACAGCTTTTGTTTCTGCTTCTCTTCCTGCTTGAAGATGAAGGCGGAGTTCTCCTCCTTGGTGATGTTGATGTAGAAACACGTATCAGATGCGGTCATGATGTGTCGTGGTCCCGGGTTGAGAAGGATGCTCTTGTTCTCCTTTTTTACGCCCATCAAGCAAACACCGTACCTGAGAGGATAAAGGATTGAGATAAAACCGGTGGCATAAAGGATCGAGATAAAACCGGTGGCGGCGACTTAAAATTGAACCTCATTGTTGATGCTGGTAAGTAGGTGGGAATGCAGCAAGCAGCGTTAATTGGACAGACAGATCTATTTCAATTTCAAACCTGCATTTCCATTATATGGTTCTCATGGCAGCTAAAATCTGATCTCAAAGGACAAAGGGAAGTGTTAGCTGCAAGCAACTACAGCCACTCGTGAAGGATGCAAATCAACAGGATTATTGTGTTCTTCCTACAATACAATACTATATACTACGAATGTCTAATGTCTCTGTGATATTAGGCATGTAGTAGGGCTGTAGTAGGGACGCGGTGGGTCAGTGGCTAAGGTGCTGAGCTTGTCGATTGAAAGGTCGGCAGTTCAGCGGTTCGAATCCCTAGTGCCGCGTAATGGGGTGAGCTCCCGTGACTTGTCCCAGCTTCTGCCAACCTAGCAGTTCGAAAGCACGTAAAAAAAATGCAAGTAGGAAAATAGGGACCACCTTTGGTGGGAAGGTAAGAGCGTTCTGTGCGCCTTTGGCATTGAGTCATGCTGGTCACATGACCACGGAGAAGTCTTCGGATAGCGCTGGCTCTTCGGCTTTGAAACGGAGATGAGCACCGCCCCCTAGAGTCGGGAACGACTAGCACATATGTGCAAGGGGAAGCTTTACCTTTACCTTTAAGGGCAGAACTTCTATACACCAGCTCCTGCACTCCAGAGGAATATTGGAGGAAGGTCCCAATTATTCCATGTGGAATAATTTTGCATAATCCCCAAAGGGTTTGGGTGGGCCTTGCAAAACAGAACTTGTGAAATGTTTCCCCCTCCCCCACCCCTTCCCATATTCTTTTCGGATCTCCTCCTTGACAAACCCACCCAAAGACCAAATTTAAAAAAAAATCTGGCTTTTCCGCTTACTTTTTGTGAGCATGGAAGGATGCGTAGGTGAAGCTCTTTCCTTCATACTCCATGAAAAACTTGCTGTCACCCATGCGGATGTGGTAAACCTCATTGCCCGAGCAGCGCCCGTACATCCTTTGCCATTGTTCTGGAGACTCCTGGCCTTCTCTGGAAGTAAGAGCATAACAGATTTGGAAGGGAGGCTGGAAGTCTTCTAGTCTAGGGTTCCCCAAACTTTCGGACCTCAGAGACCACTAAATTCATAATTTTAAATCCCATGGACCACTAATATGAACTGCCTAATGAGTGGCTGGGTGGGCGTGGCTAAGTGGTCATGTGACTGGGCGTGTGTGGTTAACTCTGTCACTCACGTCGAGGGGGGCCTTGCCAACCTCTACTCGCCCCTCCCCTCCTAGCCACTCTTTGCCTCCCCACCCGGGCTCCTTAGGGTCCCAACAAGAAGCAGTTGCCGGAGCTAAGCAGCCACCACGAGAAAGAGTTGGCAAAACAGCTCAGTTCAAATTGCATTTGACCGAGAAGGAGGCTCAGCAGAAGCACCTCACTGAGGACTAGCAGCACAGGCTTTCCAAGCAGAGGGAAGACCTGCGGGAGTGCAAGGCCAGATATCAGCGCCTGGAGGCTCAGCGGGCTGAGATGGTCAGCCAGTTCCAGGCCAGGATGCAGTCCCACTTGAACAAGGCTCTTCGCCACCAGCGCACTTCCCTCCAGCCTTCGCCCAAAGCCTCACACCAGGAGGCTGAAGCAGACCCCGAGTCGGAATTTCTGCCCCCCTCCGACCTATACAAAAAGACCCCGAAGGGGGAGACTCTCTGCAGCAACACAAACGTTCATTGCACATATCCAGCCCAGGGGCCGTACTTTGAAGACCCCTGATTTAGTACAATATAAAAAATGCAAATAAGTTTCCTGCGGACCACCAAAATTTCAAATGTGTTATCAGCCATGAATCCCTTCGTGCTCACAAAATATCTAAATCCAGTCCATCTTTTGACAGTTATCTACCGCCAATTTGCTTAGTAGTTCAGAATCTTGTAGAGAGCTTCAGTTTGCAATAAACCGTTATAACTCGTTTGAACTTCCTGGATTTCCTGATTTCTCACGCTTGACATTCAACTTCTTTGACATGTCATGGTCAGATGTTGCCCCAGCTAGAAACTGACCGGCCCCGTCACAGTTTTTAAACTACTTACTGCCCTCTGGAGGTATGGACGAGAAGGGTAATAAGAGTAGAGGTAGCTGGGCAGACACAATTCAGGGCCAGCATGGCGAATTTGCACTCCTCTTCGCACACCACGTGATCTGAAATTTTAAAAAACAACAACAACAGGTCCTTTTATATTCTAAAGCATCGTTTTCAATTTCCAGCAGGATCCCTTGGACAAGTTGATTTGTGAGTACAATTTTTTTTAAAAAAAGATCCCTTCATCGCTTTCAAGGTGTGACACTTTTAAGGGTTTGCATTTTGTAAATTTTGACTTTGTTCTGACCCAGCTCCCTAAACATGACAAACCCTAACTCAAAGATTCCTTTATTAGGAGCGCCAGCAGCCCCGGCAAAAAGTTTCTCTTTCACCGCAGGCTAACAAGTCTGCCCAGCCTGCCACATTTATTCATCTCTGCCCCCTGCCTTTTATCCCCAGAGCTAGGGTGGGGCTTTGCTAGCAGTGGTAGCTCTTCCATCCCAAGGACCGGCCCATAGATTTCCACTGCTCTCCTCTCCTCTGCCTTCTGCACATCCACGCATCAGCCACCGGACCCAGCTGTTCCTCCTCCTCCTCATCAGCCATCTCCAGATCTGGGGGCTGTTGACTCTCCATCTGAGGGCTGATGGATGGCCCAGGCTCTGCCTCTGTCTCTCTCTCTCTCTGCCAACTCCATTCCCTCTTCCCCCTCAGAGCTCTCAGGTTGCCTTGATGCTGACCAGGGGTGGGTTCTAAATTTTTTTACTACCGGTTCTGTGGACGTGGCTTATTTTGTGGGTGTGGTTTGGAGGTCATGTGACTAGGTGGGCGTGGCTAGCTGGTCAGAGTCATTTCTGGAAGGTCCTCGCACTTACGACCAGTCCTCGCACTTACGACTTGACTCATTTGTTTGCTTTTAACACTGATCAGCTGTAGGACGGCCCTTTGAAGCCCCGTGGCAAGAGTTTAAACAGTTTTTTCCCTCTAGTCACCAGCTGGGACTCAGGAGGCAGCAATAGATTGGGGGTGGGACCAAATAAAAGGTAAGAATAACATGGGTGGGTGGGTGGGTGGGAGGGTGGGGGGGAGAACCGGTTCGGTGATGTCATATCGTCACCGCTACCGGCTCGGCCGAACCGGACCGAACCGGGAGGAACCCACCACTGAAGCTGACCCTGACTCCCACACCTCCTCTGATTCAACTGCTGGAGGGGCTGGTGGCCGATGAGCCACAACTGACTTTTTTTCGTAAACCACTCTGTGTTTCTATAATAAACAGCAGTGGATGAATTAAAGAAGTGCCTTAAGAATGCTATAAGAACAGCTGAAAAATATGATTACTTTCCTTTTGTTTTTCCTGGAGAGAAACTATATCTCTTCTTATTTCCCCTCAAATGTATAAATTCAGAACTTGTGACTCTTTCCTGAGTATGTCTCCTCCAAACCAAAAACTTCTAACCTTAATCCTGCCCATTCATCACTTTACATAGTCTATCAAAGAAACTGGAAAGTTTTTAATAGATCAGTTGCTCTTCTGCATTTTCGAATATCTGGCTGAATGATAAAGTTTGGTTTTATTTCACTTTATCTCAATTAAGTTGAGGGGTGCCTTAACCATAAGCAATGCAGGGACCTCTTCTTTGATTCTGAGAGCTAAAAACAGACCTATCGCAAATTAAAAGTTTTAGGTAACTTTTAAAAATGAGCAAGAACGACAGAAGCACAAAACAGAAAAATAAAGCCCGCGAGCGTGTAACCAAGGTAGCGTGTGCAAATGAAACAGCACAATAAATGTTCCAGAAAAATTAACTAGCTGTGTCTGAGACAATAAACTCTGTTTATATGTTTGCAGATGGCAAATCATTGTGTTTTCTTTTTATAGCCCAGTGGATAATCTGCTGGCTGGCGTTGATTAGAAAAGGAATGAAAACGCATTGTATATCATCCAGCCTTTCCCCATCTGTAGAATTTTGTTTTGTTTTGTTTTCCTGTTTTGAGTTGGATTTGTCCATTTTAACAACCATCAGACAGATGGGCAGAAAAGTTCCTACCTGCAAACTTGACATGGAATTTATTCTCCGGCTTCAGAATCTGAACGTAGAGGGGACAGTTGGGTGCAAAATCTTTCACTGCCCAAGCTCTTAGGATGGTTTGATGATCCTACGGAAGAAGGAGCACAAAGGTCCTGCTTAGAAATGGTTCCTGGTAGGTTTCATATTCTGTGCAGGAGCGTTGTCATGGGAAGAAGTTTTTAAAAAGGTCCAAATTGTTAGAATCCGCCATTTCCAAGAGAATGTATAAGCAACCATTGGCTTGCCTTAAGATAATATATTAATTGCTATGGCATTACTATAAGAATGGAATAGAACAGAACAGAATATGGGACGAGATGGGAGAGGATAGGATGGGATGGGATGGGAGGGGATGGGAGGGGAGGGGAGGGGAGGGGAGAGGAGGAGAGGAGAGGATAGAATAGAATGTGGAATGGAAAGAAATGGAATGGAATGGAATGGAATAGAATGTGGAATGGAAGAATGGAATGGAATGGAATAGAGAGTAGAGTAGAGTAGAGTAGAGTAGAGTAGAGGAATAGATAGAATAGAATAGAATAGAATAGAATAGAATAGAATAAGAATAGAATAGAATAGAATAGAATAGAATGTGGAATGGAATGGAATAGAATAGAATAGAGTAGAGTAGAGTAGAGTAGAATAGAATACTGTAGACTAGACTAGTCTAGTCTAGACTAGACTAGACTAGACTAGACTAGAATGTGGAATGGAATAGAGTAGCGTAGAGTAGAGTAGAGTAGAGTAGAGTAGAGTAGAGTAGAGTAGAATAGAATACTGTAGACTAGACTAGACTAGACTAGACTAGACTAGACTAGACTAGACTAGACTAGAATAGAATAGAATAGAATGTGGAATGGAATAGAGTAGAGTAGAGTAGAGTAGAGTAGAGTAGAGTAGAGTAGAGTAGAGTAGAGTAGAGTAGAATAGAATACTGTAGACTAGACTAGACTAGAATAGAATAGAATGTGGAATGGAATAGAGTAGAGTAGAGTAGAGTAGAGTAGAGTAGAGTAGAGTAGAGTAGAATAGAATACTCTAGACTAGACTAGACTAGACTAGACTAGACTAGACTAGAATGTGGAATGGAATAGAGTAGAGTAGAGTAGAGTAGAGTAGAGTAGAGTAGAGTAGAGTAGAGTAGAGTAGAATACTGTAGACTAGACTAGACTAGAATAGAATGTGGAATGGAATAGAGTAGAGTAGAGTAGAGTAGAGTAGAGTAGAATAGAATAGAATAGAATAGAATACTGTAGACTAGACTAGACTAGACTAGACTAGAATAGAATGTGGAATGGAATAGAATAGAGTAGAGTAGAGTAGAGTAGAGTAGAGTAGAGTAGAGTAGAATAGAATACTGTAGACTAGACTAGGCTAGATTAGACTAGACTAGACTAGACTAGACTAGAATAGAATAGAATAGAATAGAATAGAATAGAATAGAATAGAATCATCTGAGAATTTCCTTCAGAGTTATAATTTTTGATGTTTCACAAATGTTGTCTGGGATGGGGAAAGAAGGGGGACGAAGCCCCTTTCCCCCTTCCTTGGCTTAATCATGTGGTCATTTCGTGTTGCGACTTACAGCAGCTGTGCGGTCCACCTCATTTCGACTGCTCAGAATGAAGCAAGCTTCTCCATTGTCCATCCTGCAAACATAAAATATTCCATTAACCTGACATCCTGTGAAGTTAAATTAGCAATGCACCTGGGAAGGGGAAACCATATTTAAAAGTGAGAAATTTGTGAAGTGAGTTTTGTCTCGCCACATTTGTGAAGCGAACTGCTGCAGTTGTTAAACGGGTACCACAATTGTTGAGTTGGCTGGTCAGGAGGTCATAGAAAGGGAATCCTGTGAGCCTGGGACATAAATATGAACTAGTCGCCAAGCATCCGAGTGTAAATCACGTGACCATGGTGAGGTTGCGACGGTCATAAGTGTGTAAAGTGGTCCTAAGTCACTTTTTTCAATCTCTATATATAAAAGCCAAATACCACTCACTTATCACGAAATCTCTAGAATTGTAAAATCTACAAACTTGAAATTTGGCATGTATGTTCCTCTTAGCTTCTAGGTGCTCGCTAAGAAAGGATTTTTCAAAATAACCATCGGATCATTAGTATTTCATATACAGTACTATATTCACATGCTCTGATGCTAAGGAGCTAGACGTTTTACTCTCCCTGCCCACTTGAAAAGAACTCTGTTCCAACTACCAGTTGCCTTATATTCACACGCTCTACTGCTACTCCTTCCCTAAACCGGATGTGGGTGCGGCCAGCGCATAACTCATCTGGCCTGTAGGCTGGGACATTCCACTCCCCCTCCACCTCTGTTCCAACTGCCAGTTGCCTTATACTAACACGCTCTGATGCTATGGCTTTACACATTCTACATTACGTTTCAGGCTTTAACTGTCAATTTATCATGCCCAATTACATAGTTTCATAGCAAATCACGGGTGTCCAGATAGTGCTGTTATAACTTCAAAATCTCACTCAGTGAAGTCCAGTGTTAACGGACTTTGTTTTACCTCTCTCAAAATCCAGTGAAAGAAGGCAACTTGTTTGAACAGAAACCAGCTTTCCCCTTTCCAACTCACTTTGCTCTCATGAGATCCTGATCCTTCAGGGCAGATCCCTGGAGGTAGATCACTCGCTGGGACCACAATGGGATCTGAAGCACACGGCGCACCTGAATATCCATTTCTGTAGGGCAAAGGATGACCACGTAGTAATCCTGGAAAGTATGTAAATGAAGACTCAATCATCCAGGATGAAAGTATCTAAACAAGGTTAAATTGTGGACCAACTGGATGAAAGTTTATTAAACTGAGATGTTTGCTACTCAACCAAGCAGTCAAAATGAACATTTTTGGTTAGGCATGGAGTCAGAGTGTTTTCATTTTGACTGCAGAAGTTACTACAATGAGTAACGAGAAACATCTCAGTTTAATAAACTTTGGTCCGGTTGCCATGATTTAACCTCGTTTAGATAATCCTGAAAGGGAAAAGCAGAATCTTTGAACTACCTTAGCTTCCCACTCATGAAGAAATTTGATTTTCTAAGCCTGCCTCCCGATAGAGACCCAACCCAACCTTCACCTGCAGCCTTGGATGAGCGTAGAACTCGTTGAGGAAATCCATCAGCAGATCTATCTTAAGGGAGCTGACACAAAGCACAACATGCTTCTCCGTCTGAGCCCGATGGCGGCTGTAATTTCCTCCTGACTTCTGCCGCTCCATCCACAGGTACACCAGCTCTTCAAACTGTAGGCAAAAAAACAAGCAAGCAGATCTTCTCCAAGCGTCTGGAATTTGGGCAGAGGGCACTTGGTGGTTAAAAGTTATCCTTGATGGAGAAAGACCAGGGATCTGGGCAGACTGCTTTTGGTGGTTAAGGATTCTCCTTGATGGAGAAAGTTCAGGGATTTGGGCAAGCTGCCTTTGGTGGTTAAAGGTTCTCCTTGATGGAGAAAGATCAGGGATCTGGGCAGTGTGCCCTTGGTGGATTCTCCTTGATGGAGAAAGATCTCCCACCACCAGCTCAGGAGGTGATGGAGATCTGATCAGAGATCATACTATTATGGATGGAAGGAGGGAGGGAGATATATATATATATATGGAAATTGAGATGTTCAGGCTGCAATGTCATACCCCATAACCTGTCTTTTGATGGACTCCCAACTCTTTTTGCTTTGATCTAGCAAGTTGAACTCCTGTACTGCTCTCAATCCAAAAGCCCCTCTTACTTATGGCTCATCCCATCCATATCGTAAACCCCAGAGAGTCATACCTTACCTGCAGCGGCAAGACCACAAGGGCCACGCATATCATGATCACCACCAGTAGCTGAGAAGGCCAGATCTTGGGGGTCACGTCTCCGTAGCCGACGGTTGAGAAGGTGACGATGCAAAAATAAAAGGACTTGAAGAGCGAGAGGTTCTCACCAGCTCTTTCCAAATGCTGGATGCCACAGGTTCTAGATCACAGGGGAGGAAAGATGAGATTCTAGCAGTAAAACCAGGTTTTTATTGTAAAACTCATGCTTTCATGCTTCCTTTTACAGCATTGAATAGCAACACCTTTTATTGGGCTGGATGGCCATCAACCAACGTTCTTGAGTCATTTTTGAAATGGGGAAAAAGGAGCTAATAATTAATATTGCTTCTAACTAATATTTTGGTAACTTTCTACACTTCTGACTATAGAAGAGAATATTTGTAGCTCAGGACTGAACTGTGAGGTCCTTGGTGCTCTCTGAGCTTGGTGGTTTTCTTGCAGACGTTTCATGACCCAACTAGGAAAGATCTAGTCAACAATCAACATGGAACTGTTGACATTTGTTTCAAATCGTTGGCTTGATCTGCTTTCCATCTGATTTGGAAAATTCAAATGATGCGATAAATGGGCTTAGTCTGATTTTCCTAATTGATGCGGACAGACATTAGATTAGGTCAAGTTGATTTTTTTTCTGAAAATCAAATGCCACCGATTGGATCGCGTCCCCTTCAAGGCAAATATCCTGTAGTGTTAGGCACGAAGGAGACAGCCAAAGAACTTACCCAGTGAAAACAAGACAAAGCAGGGTGCAAATTAAAATGAGCACTTGGTTGAACATGGCAGACTGAGTCCGTTGTATTGCTCGATGCAAGTCATTCTGGAAAGAAGGAAGGAAGGAAGGAAGGAAGGAAGGAAGGAAGGAAGGAAGGAGAAGAGGAAAGGGAAGGGGGAAGGGAAGGGAGAAGAGAATGAAAAAGGGAAGGGAGGGAAAGGAAAGGAAGAAGGAAAGGGAAGGGAAGGAAAGGAAAGGAAAGGAGGAAAGGAAGGGAAGGGAAGGGAAGAAAAGGAAAGGAAAGGAAAGGAAAGGAGGGAGGGAAGAAGAAAGGTAGGGAAAGAGAAGGAAATGAAAGGAAAGAGAGAGAAGGAAGGGAAGGAAAGGAAAGGGAAGGGAAGGGAAGGGAAGGGAAGAAAAGGAAAGGAAAGGAAAGGAGGAAAGGAAGGGAAGGGAAGGGAAGGGAAGGGAAGGGAAGGGAAGGAAGGAAAGGAAAGGGAAGGGAAGAAAGGAAAGGAAAAAGGAAAGGAAAGGAAAGGAAAGGAAAGGAAAGGAAAGGAAAGGAAAGGAAAGGAAAGGAAAGGAAAGGAAAGGAAAGGAAAGGAAGTTCAGTTTGTACTTCATTCCAGCTTGTGGTTCAGCTGTCATAGACACAAAATCCTTGCTTTCGCATGGTATGTGACCCAAACCATTATGTTGTGACCCAAACCATATTATGGTTTATTTACATTAGATGTAGCATTCTTTCTAAACCCAACCATTGCATTCTGTTAATCCAGATGTAGAATTTAGCAAGCCATATCAGTCCATTGTATCATCGCAACAAAGCAGGGATATGCAAGACATCTTCCCCAAACTTCTCATGCAGAAGATGCAGAAAAGGCATTTTCGTTTCTACCATCTACTTACTATCATGTTCTCCAAAGCATACTTCGCCAACCAGCAATTCAAGAACACGGGAATGAATAAATTCCGTAGAGGTGGCCAAAATATCTAAAAAAACCAAACAAAAAATACCCAGCCAAAAGAACCTGGTTATGTTTGTTAGAAAATGTCTTTTCTCTTGAGCTAGGCTTCTTTCCCACTAACTACATGGAGACATCTGTAGAATTCCCAAGGCAAGAATATAGTACAGAAATGGTTTGCCATGCTGCTAACTAGATTCTTACAAAGCCCACATATATTCTGAGTTGGCTGCTGTTAGTATAGCCCATTTGCACCCGCACTCTTTCCAAAACTGTATTTTCAGTAAAGGGAAGCGATTGTCTTAAACAATGGGCTCCACCGTCGGAAGATAACAGAAATTCTCGTTTTCAGTTAGTCAAAACGTACCGTGATAATAAAGGGCACGGTGTTGATCATTTCAAGGATGAACGAAACACGAAAGATTTGCTCGCAAATGTTACCCTAGAGGAAGAAACAGAGTTGGATACAGGCTAAGCTATGGAAGATTAAATCTTCGTTACCTCCATGATCATAATAGATTGCATCCAGAGGTGGTATTCAGCCGGTTCGGATTGGTTCGCCCGAACCGGTTGTGGAAATCGCGGGTGGGCGATTACCTGGCTCTATCCCATCCTATTTAGGAGTGTTTTTGAGGCCAGCACATGTGTGGAAGGCAGACGTGCGCACGAACCGGGCACATCCACGCCAGGAGTGGGTTCTACTTACCTTTACTCCCGGTTCGCAATAGGACCGCGTGCACAGAAACTTCCTGATGACATCCGGGTTAGTGAGCAGAGCCTCCCGCTAGTTTTACTACCGGTTCTTGTGAACCGGTCCGAACCGGGGGCAACCCACCACTAGTGCACGCACAAAGTGAGCGTACGCACGCAGGGCGAACCGGTAGTAACATAATGTGAAACCCACTGCTGATTGCATCGTTGAAGATTAATAATAATAACTTTATTGTCATTTTACATGTATACACAGTATACCCATACAACGAAATTCACTTAACACCCAAAGACTGGGTCCAACACACATAACAATCCCCAAACACACCCCTAACCACCACAACTTCCCCACCCCTAAAACCACCCAAACATCCACACAACAGACAAGTAATGCTGTCCAACAGCTCACTGATGGTGGCCCTTTAGTTCCTTGTTGAGTGCAATTATAGCTCTGGGATAAAAACTATTCAGAAGATGTGTGGTCCGAGTTTTAATTGTTCTGTATCTTCTGCCAGAAGGCAACAGTCCAAAAAGATTGTAAGTAGGATGGGATGAGTCTCTGAGATTGGGACAGCCTATGAGTCAACTAGGTAAGCAAACAAATAACTCCCTTTCAGACGTTCTAGGTGAACGTTTTCAGTCCTGCTACCTCCAGGAGCATCAACCTACAGTCCCTTATTATCCATCCCCAGCACTGACACTGGTTGTGATAGATGAAACTCCAACCCATCTATTCTGTTTTTATTAGATATCTAGCAATACAAGAAGGATGAGACTTAGACAGATCTGGAGAACATCAAGTTGGAGATGAAACTCCAACCCATCTCTTCTGGTTTTATTAGATGTCTAACAATAGAAAAAAGGATGAGAGTTATACTGAAATAGATCTGGAGAACATCAAGTTGGGGATGACATCTCCAGACCATCTGTTCTGTATTAGACCTCTAATACAGCTGTATAATTAAGAGGAGATACTCAAATAGATCTGGAGAACCTCAAGTTCTAGAAAAGCCAATATGAGTGTATAAAAACTGGATGAGTGGAGGACTTCCAGGCATTAGAAGCAAACAAACCAAAAATGAAACACGGACTTATTTTCTGGGACTAGTGAAAGTGTACTAGAATTGGGGAACACAAGTTGGGTTTATCTTGGCATTCCCACTGAACCCGGCAAACATCTTCAAATCAATTCACCATCGAGGTTGTCAGATCCATAACCACTTATAGAAAACACTTCCCCCCTCCCGTCTGCTCGCAGGCCAAAACATGTCCCTTAATCTTCTTTCTTACCTTATAGCTGAGGTAGATCAGAAGCATAGTCTCAAGAAAGCTAATGATGGCTACGCTGACCTGAAAGGAGAAGAAGACAGAAAGATAGGGAAGAAGTAACCAGGATGGGAGAGGAATAAAATGCTATAAATTTTGTAAGATCCAGCACCACGAACACACATCACACTTACTTGTATTGCCCACAACGGCTTGTTTCGATCCACCCACAAAATGGGAGCCCTGTAGAGAATATTTACAGAATAAAGCTCAACCACAACCAGAACAAGACTTAATCAGGAAATAAGAAACAGACCGGATCAAAAAATAGCGTGTCATTCAAATTTTGCAATTCTCCAATGTCCTTGATCACCATCTTCTTTTAAGGACCCCATAATCCATTGCGGGTGGAGTCTGGGCAACCGAATGGAGCCGAGTGATTACTGGCTGGATGCCCTTCCTGTTGCCAATGCGGAGTTATATTCAGCAGATACATTCTCACTGTGCCCAGAGAGAGAGAAATATCTGCCTCTACCTAGGATCGAACTCACAGCCTCTTGATTGTGAGGCGAGAGCTACACCTCTAGGCCACCGCACCACTCCTCCAATGATCTTGATTCAGGCTATAAAATATACATCAAAACATGCTGCAAAATAGATATAGCTGGACTAGTTAATAGGGTGCATAAAACTGCCAGTATATCCATGAATATTTTCTTGAATTGATGAGGTCCCATTGCCTATGTTATCTCCTTCTCCTTCTTCTAAAAGAGACAATTCCCGTTGCAAACTAAGGCACCATCTAGAATCTATTTCTAAGGGGCATTTAAAAGTCTTCATGGGTATAAATAAAATAGGTGGAGACCACAAGCCCTAGAGAAAAGCCCACCTACCCAGAAAAGAAAAGAAGAAAAATCAAAGGTAAGATGAAGATGAGATAGAGTGTCTTGGACCTTGGAGGAGACATCAAGGAGAAACATCATCATATAAGGGCAAAGGAGGTGGACCAACGAATGTGTTTGTCCAGTGTTTTGATGTTCGTTTGTTTTTTAATAGATTTCTATTTTAGCAGCCTGCCTTCTAGAAGATGGTTGTTTTCACTGCTTGATTTCACCCAGAAATTAAACTGACTCCTTGTTAAACTGAAGCTCAACAACAACCTTCAGAAAAGCTGCCAACCCCTTTACCAGTTGATTTCTGTTGATGATTGATTGAAGGAGGAGTAGATGCGTTTCTCACATTCCCAGCTGAATGGAAAGGAAAGAAGGGGCGTTTTAGAAGCAAAATTCAATCAAAGTAAATGGATGAATAAAAGATGAATATTACTGTATTTTTCGGAGTATGAGATGCACCTTTTTACCCCCAAAAAGAGGGTGAAAATCTGGGTGCATCTTATAGTCCAAATGTAGACCCCCCCAGCCTCTGAAACTTCATCAAATGTAATCCCTTAATTCAGGTTAAGAGTCAGGACGACTGGATGGAGCTGAGCGTTTACTGGACGGATGCCCTTCCTGATGCCTATATGGAGTTTGCAGCAGATATTTTTTTACTATGCGATTCATCGAATCAAACTAACTTTCTGAATCAGACTGATGACTGATTGATATGCTTTGGTCATCTGAGTCAGATGTTTCCCAATTTATTTATTTTATATAAAAAAAGGATTCAACAAAATTATCTCCATTTTCCCAAATCTTTCTGAATCAGACTGACAATCCAAATCCAATGGGTGATGCAAATCAAATTGGAGCCAATGTGCCCTTCCCTCCCCTTATCTGTAGAAATCTAAGCGATATCACGATTGCCACTGTTGTAAATGAGAATTTCTCACCATCCTATCTGTTTTGGGTCATCCAGCAGAACGCGGACAATATAAAGAAGGCAAGTGAGAAGCTTGAGTGAGAAGTTAAACAGACGTATCCTCAGGCCTGATGTAAAGAGAATAGATCAACGTTATTAGGCAAATCACAACAGCAATAATAACTTAAAAGCAGCACCAATAAAATAAGAACAGCTCGGTGGAAAAATCCCTGCACCTAGGGAATCCTGATCCTGCCAGCCCATGACACCACCATAGCAACTTTAGGATTGTAACCACTATTTTCATTAACCATGAAGTCAAACTTGACTTCTGGTGTCTTCATGGAAGCACTTTCCAAGTAAATTTGTGGGCAACAGAATGAAAGCTTGTCTAGTCGATGTGTTTTGCTAGAGTAGAGTAGAGTAGAGTAGAGTAGAGTAGAGTAGAGTAGAGTAGAGTAGAGTAGAGTAGAGTAGAGTAGAGTGTAGGGAGTAGAAGAGAGTAGAGTAGAGAAGAGGGTAGGGTAGGGTAGGGTAGGGTAGGGTAGGGTAGGGTAGAAGAGGAGAGGAGAGGAGAGGAGAGGAGAGGAGAGGAGAGGAGAGGAGAAGAGAAGAGAAGAGAAGAGAAGAGAAGAGAAGAGAAGAGAAGAGAAGAGAAGAGAAGAGAAGAGAAGAGAAGAGAAGAGAATGAAAGAGTTGGAAGGGACCTTGGAAGTCTTCTAGTCCAACCTCCTGCTCAGGCAGGAAACCCTATACCATTTCAGACAAATGATTGTCCAATCTCTTCTTAAAAACTTCCAGTGTTGGAGCATTCACAACTTCTGGAAGCAAGTTGTTCCACTGGTTAATTATTCTAACTGTCAGGAAATTTCTCCTTAGTTCTAGGATTAGTTTCCATCTGTTGCTTCTTGTCCAGCCTTCAGGTGCTTTGGAGAACAGGTTGACCCCTTCTTCTTTGTCTCTGTCTTCTTCTGAGTTGTTCTAGCCTCCCAGCTTAGCTCCCTCTTCCTTCCAAAATCAGTTTCTGCTTATCATATCCAATTTAGGCAAGATTGCATGCAACAGCCGAACAGCTTCCTCCGTGGAAGAGATGGAGAACAAGTCAACGAATCGAAGAAGTTTAAAAAAATAACCACAACAGGGTTGCAAGACACAAAATCACAAGGAAAAGTTGAACTCAAAAGTTTACAAGGAAAAGTTGAACTCAAAGTAGAGGCAGGTCCTTCAATCAGGAATTCGCCAAAGATATAGATCACATTTACACACACACACACACACACACACACACACACACACACACACACACACAATATATATAGAGGGACGCGGTGGCTCAGTGGCTAAGACACTGAGCTTGTCGATCGAAAGGTCGGCAGTTCAGCAGTTCGAATCCCTAGTGCCGCATAACGGGGTGAGCTCCCATGACTTGTCCCAGCTTCTGCCAACCTAGCAGTTCGAAAACACATTAAAAAAATGCAAGTAGAAAAGTAGGGACCACCTTTGGTGGGAAGGGAACAGCATTCCGTGCGCCTTTGGCATTGAGTCATGCCGGCTACCTGACCATGGAGACGTCTTCGGACAGCGCTGGCTCTTCGGCTTTGAAACGGAGATGAGCACTGCCCCCCCCCCCCAGAGTCAGGAATGACTAGCACATATGTGCAAGGGGAACCTTTACCTTTACCTTATACACATTTCACGCCCAGTACATTGTTGCTAGGCAGGACTCAGTGGAAAACTGGAAGCCACTGAAAAGAACCAAGCCTTGCAGCTACAAATTGCTGCGTTTTCCTAAACAGCACCCATCCACCGAAGACTGAGTGCTAGCAAAAAGAAAAATAGCTTAAAATCCGAAATAAGACAACCAGGAACAACAACCGATAATTCAAATTCCTAAGCAGGGAAGTGTGAAACCAAATGAGTCATTTTGCAATAAAGGATTGATTGCTTCTTTTTATAAAGATCAATTAAACCCCTTGGCAGAATCTGGCGGTACTTGCCTCCACCGAGGCGAGAAATCAAACGCTTTTCACATTTCAAAGACAGACGGATCTTCCTTAGCATCCCGCCCACTCTTTTTTTTTCTAATTCTCCTGCAATTTTCTCTAATTAAAAAAATAAAATAAAATTAAAATTCCACATGCCGGCATCGAAAGCTGCTTTTTCATCCCTGCAAAACAGACAGCGAGTCTTAAAAATATAATAATAATAATCCCACAGTTTGATCAGCTCCAAATGTCCTGATTAGAAGTGTGATTGTCGGCTTGGTCTCTCTCTCTCTCTCTCATCTATCTTTGGGAACATCTCTTTTAGAAAAAGACGCGGACGTGTGTTCATTTCGAAACCTGTCGTTCTTCCAAGACTTTCGTTTGCAGATGTCACGAAAGAAAGAAAGCTGGAGATGACACGGCAGCTGCTGTTCTTATAACCCAAAATGAGAAGCATCGGAAGCTGGTCAGGACTTGGGAAAGAGCCTTGGTAGTACAGTGGTCTAAGGCACCCTGTTATTAAGCTGGTTATTAAGACCAGCTGCCTGCAATTACTGCAGGTTCGAATCTCGCCAAGGCTCAAGGTTGACTCAGCCTTCCATCCTTTCTAAGGTAGGTAAATTGAGGACCCAGTTGTGGGGGCAATAAGCTGACTTTGTATAAATATACAAAAGGATGAAGGCTATTGCTTAGCGCATTGTAAGCCGCCCTGAGTCTCCGGAGAAGGGCGGCATATAAATCAAATTAAAATAATAATAATAATAATAATAATAATTCAGATAAGGCGTCGATGTCTTTTGGACGTTGCCGGTCTCCAAATCAAATCGATGCATTTTGCAAGACACCCTAACTCAGCGAGGAGGTGGGTCCCCAGGAGGCAGGGGCACCTTTTTGGCACCAAGTGTCCAAACCGGAATGTGCATGCATATGCGTGTGCTGGAGCACCGGAAGCCTGAAGACCAGCTGGCCAGTGCGTGCATGTCTTGGTTTTGAGCCATTTTCAGGCTGTTTTCCAGACCATTTTCAGGATGTTTTTCAGGATGTTTACAGGCCATTTTCAGGACGTTTTCCTGACCCTTTTTCGGGCTGTTTTCAGGCCGTTTTTCAGAAGAATCGCCATGTGTCATTCCTGGTTGACCCATGGGGACTGAGAAATGCTGAGAGTTGGAAGACCGCACACAGCAGCTGATGAATGTTGGGAGTTTGTCTATTCATGGTGGCTGAGAGATTCTGGGAGTTGAGTTCTACACATGATGTGATGGAATGTAGCAAGGAGGTGGATCTCCAGGAGGAAGGCAATGCATCCAAGAGGAGCAAGAGGCGGCTCAGCTCAGATATGTGTATGAGATAGAGGGCGAAGACAGCGTCTCCCTAATAGTTCCCATAGTATATTGCAGATGCAAATACTTGAGTCTGTCAAGATTCTGTCTACAGGTTTGAAACAATAAAGAACTCAACTTGGAAGAATTACGTGTCATTCTGGGCTTTGGACCTGACACTAACCCAGACCCAAACAAACCACGTTAGGGTTTGTGGGGAGCAAATTAAACCACCGATGATCGCATCATGAATTGGCTTGAAATATGTTAGCACCGACACTTACTCGATCGTTGGTTTTTGATGAAGAATAGTTTTAGACGTTCTTTAAAGGTGTTCTCATTGACGTAAAACTCCACTTCAACCCTGCCAGGATAAGAAGAAGAAAAAAAATAGAACAAGTGAGATTTCATTTCAGATCCCAATTGGAAATTTTGTCTCAAGCGATGGAGGCAAGATTGAATCTGCTCCGGCACAAAGAATGTGATCTCTCTTTTTTTTTAGCCGTTCTCTCAAAAGGTTTCTGAGTTCAAACATTGATTAGAAATTGTTAGACTTGGGGAGGAGGGCATCATGCAAAATGGAATCAGGCTGAAAGACACTATAAATGGCTATATATTTGCACAACTGGTAATTTAATTAATCCACTTTCTGGGCTTCTGAACTATAAATGAACCCAATCACAGCAAGTAAGAGCCTGGTAGTACAGTGGACAAAAGCACTGTTATTAACATCTGCTGCTTGCAATTACTGCAAGTTCAAATCTCACCAGCCTTCCATCCTTTCAAAGGTAGGTAAAATGAGGACCCAGATTGTGGGGGCAATAAGATGACTTTGTATAAATATACAAAAGTATGAAGGCTATTGCTTAACGCATTGTAAGCCTCCCTGAGTCTCCGGAGAAGGGCGGCATATAAATTAAAGCAAAAAAAAAAAAAAATTAAACCTCCAAAAAAAAATAATAATCTAACCAAGTTTAAACAAACCCATTTTAGCACATGGTGTGAATAAGGGTGTTAGGTTTGAAACTGATCTCCTAGACACATCCGGTGAACATTGTCAAGATATGTGTGGTCAAGGAACACACATTTTTGCGACTTTTTTTTTTTAAAAAAGGGATAAAATGATATAAAACCTTGGTAAAACAAAGCATCAAATCTGACCATCATTGTACAATATCTGTGGAGGGAAAAAAAATTGCATTGGGGTGCTTAGGGCTTTGAGAAGTATGTTAAGCACCATGACACTCTTTTACATTTTAATTATTGAGTAATCAGGAATATCAATCAGTGTTATCTTTGCTAATGGCGGCGTTCAAACAATCAAGAGAGAAAAATAGTTCTTTGAAAGAAAAAAAAACACCCTTTTTTTAAATCAATGCAAAGTGGAGCACAAGCTCGTTAGTTACGATCAAAATGTAACACCTATCGCAAGACAAGGAAAATAAATCAACTTTTTTTAAAAAAACAAAAACCCGTAAATAACGGTCTTGGTTCCTGAGCAAGAATTCTCAGGATGTGATGAGCTGTTTTCCTTTGATTTGTTGTTCACTCGTTTATCTGAACATTCCCAAGTGGCATTATGAATAGGAGGGAGAAAATAGATAATTTACAACTTATTTACAACTGTAGCTTATTTACAACTCTAATTCCTTGAGTGTATAACCACACTTGGCCAAATAAAGTATTCTAATTCTGTTATGTTCTCCATTCCATATTCTATTCTACTTTCTATGTTTTATTATTTTCTATTTTCCATTTTCTATTCCATTCCGTTCTGTTTAATGTCAGGGTTCCAAGTAATACACCCATAGCAAACAGAACTCAGAGGCAGGTAGGTTCCTCAAAGAATAAATGTATTGGATATATCATATTGGCACAGGGTGGTGAAAACCGACTCTAAAGGTTCCTGTGGTTTTCACTTAATTAAAAGTAAACATTTTTCCCCCTTGTCCCAAACTATCAGCCACCTGGTCCAATCAAGGTGCAACCCGATTGCTTGGGCAACATCACTCCTCCTTTCTTTAGCCACTTGTGAGAATGTCCTTGGTTCACAAGGGAAAGAATTTTGTTTTGGCTACCAAACCCCAGTTATCACTATTCCCTCCTCCCTAACCCTCATCTCCATTGTGGCACTCGTGGAGATTCAAAATGGCCTCCGTCAGGCCAGCTCCAGAGTTGACATCCATTCCATTCCATTCCATTCCACTCCACTTTACTCTACTCTATTATTATCTTCTACTTTACTCTCTTCTCTCCCCTCCCTCCCTTTCTCTCCCCTTCCTTTCCCTTCCATACCAGATATCAGGATTATTTATTAGGAGCTTCATGTCGGCAGGTTCCCAAGTGAAGCCAGCTCTGACCCTACATAATTTACGCCCCATCATGACTCTGTTTCCCCCCTCCCCCCAGGGTGTGTCATCAATCACATTCTCCAACAGAGCAATTTCGCAGGTTGTAGAGACCACTCCCCTCCAGCCGCTGTGGGTAACCCTGGGAGACAGCCTTGAGAGAGATAAGTCTGGAATGTGCATCTCTCTTTGGCTGCCATGCTGTTTTGTCTGTTTCCCACTCTCTTTGCTTACCGCAACTCAAGAGCAGGCCAGGGATGCTTTGCGAGTTGACACCAAAATGAAGACCTGATTGCATACAGATAACAATAGTTTTGCAATACGGCAAAACTGTCTCACCCCTCATGGATGGGGCAAGGAAGAGAAACATGTTCTTTGTACTTTGAAGGCCTTCCTGTTTTAAAAATTGCTGAACACACTTGCACACTGAAATCTACTTTTTGCAAGGGTGCGATGAATGCCGAAGCTGATATTCATTACACACGCTCAGTCCTAGTTACTAGATCTCTTGTTTCACACAAAGCAATGCACTCTCTAAATAAGCTGGGCTTGCACTAGAAAAACCACAATCCACCAACCAAGGTTAACCATAACTGAATTTCGTACGTTGACAGAATGTCCCTTAAGGATCTTTTAAGTGATGTTTGATTCAACTTCTCTGCACACCACCACAAAACATGTGTAAGAATGAGTCCATTAAGTCCACAGCAAAATATGCATCTGCACTCCAAACGCATTAGAGGAAAAATCAGCAAGGGATATATGTTAAGAAAACACATTTTATACACACGTTTTAAATGGGCAAAACAGAACGGAAGAAGCTGAGTTTAGGGGGGAAAAAAACAGAGACAGGAACTCGATTAGAAATGCAATTGTTTTTGTCTCATTTCACCCATTTTTAATCAAGAATATTGCCTTTTGGAGAAAATGGAACCAAGAGAATAGTTATATTTGAGCTCGAAAGAAAGAAAGCTGCCATTTTCTGGTGGTTTTCCCCAGAAAACACAATTACTGTGGTTGGTGAGAGTTAATAGATCCTTGATAATGTCTGATGAGTTTAGCTGCAGGTTTTTAAAACTTTCTGAACGTCGTCCTCATTGCTTGATCACGTAAGATGTTGGATAACCATTTGTCTGAAGTGGTGTAGGGTTGGACTAGAAGACCTCCAAGCTCCCTTCCAACTCTGTTATTCTATTCTATTCTATTCTATTCTATTCTATTCTATTCTATTCTATTCTATTCTATTCTATTCCATTCCATTCCATTCCATTCCATTCCATTCGTTCTCTATTCTATTCTATTCATTCCATTCCATTCCATTCATAATTTCTATTCTATTCTGTTCTGTTCTGTTCTGTTCTGTTCTGTTCTGTTCTGTTCTGTTCTGTTCCGTTCTGTTCCGTTCCGTTCTGTTCTCTATTCCATTCCATTCCATTCCATTCATAATTTCTATTCTATTCTATTCTATTCTTCTATTCTATTCTATTCTATTCTATTCTATTCTATTCTATTCCATTCATTCCATTCCATTCCATTCCATTCCATTCCATTTCGTTCTCTATTCTATTCTATTCTATTCATTCCATTCCATTCCATTCCATTCCATTCCATTCCATTCCATTCCATTCCATTCATAATTTCTATTCTGTTCTGTTCTGTTCTGTTCTGTTCCATTCCGTTCCGTTCTGTTCCGTTCCGTTCTCTATTCCATTCCATTCCATTCATTCCATTCCATTCCATTCATAATTTCTATTCTATTCTATTCTATTCTATTCTATTCTATTCTATTCTATTCTATTCTATTCTATTCTACTCTATTCTATTCCATTCCATTCCATTCCATTCCATTCCATTTCCTTCTCTATTCTATTCTATTCCATTCCATTCCATTCCATTCCATTCCATTCCATTCCATTCCATTCCATTCATAATTTCAATTCTATTCTACTCTGTTCCGTTCCATTCCATTCTCTGTTCTGTTTCTATTCTATTCTATTCTATTCTATTCTATTCTATTCTATTCTATTCTATTCTATTCTATTCTATTCTATTCTATTCTATTCCCTCTACAAAGGGCCACAAATGTTGTCGTGGCCCTTCCACAGCAATCCATCAATGTTCCTCCATTGATCCGAGTCCGTGCGAATAAAACTCTCGCTGTGGAGAATCGACGTTCCTCAAACCCTTCGTCTTGTTGAAAAACATTTGCATTAATAACCAGGAGCCAAAACAACGGAAACCTCATCTTACCTTTCGGTGGAACGTTGGTTGATGGATGGTTCTTCACTCCTCAATCAAAACAGTAAAAGGTATATTGGGGAAGAAAATTAAAAATGAAAGCCTGAATAGCTAGGCAAATAGACCTAGGTTGTGTTGGAACAAACTTGTGGAAGGCGCTTCTCCGAAGAATTCTGGGAAATGCAGTTAGTGGGGATACCGAGTGAGGATTACTGACAAGTTGAGGGTTATATGAAAAGACAAGAGGTCTTCCTAAAGAATACTCAGGGATGTATTTTTTCCCCCCCCTGCAAATTAAATGCAGCTCTATTTTCAGCTCTCATTCTTTCAGTTCTGCAATCATTCTCAGCTAAGGAAAACATCAACCGCAATCGATATTTTCGGAGACAGTCCACGTTAAAAAAAAGTCTCGTTTGGGGGGGAATCAAATGACTATAAATTTGTGTACTTAGTTCAGAACAAATACTTGGATATTGTTTCCCCTAGCAAACACATCCACAAACAAGACACAAAGGATCAGCAATGAAAATATTGGAAACTGACACAGATTGAAAAATAAGAATTCCATCACCCTGATGTCCTTTTCTCATCAAAATTCTGGAGAGAGGGATTATAACTAACTGAACATTACGTGTCGAACTAAATACTTCTCAGTGGAAGTGCACTAGAGTTGAGCAGTCAATCCATCTAAATAAAATTCCTCTCCCTTTTTACGATCCTATAATCCCTTAATTCAGGACAGAGTCATGGTAACTGGAGGGAGCTGAGCGTTTACTGG